ATGTTTAATCTAAAGGAAATATACAGGAGTTCGATTAAATAAGTGAAACACAAAACAATTTGAGATCATAATTTTTGAGCACGTTTTATTAAATAAAAACTTGACAAATTTTAATGTTTATTGTTTGATTATTAATGTATTCATGCAGTTAATTAATATTTTCTGCTTTTACAGCTATTACATAAAGTTTTTGTGCCTATAACCTTATAGAAACGGCAGACCTCTCTGACTTTCCCAGAGGCCTAATTGTTATTACCCGTATGGCAGGTGCTAGCGTGACAGAAACTTCCCGAATGCTTTACGTTTCTAGAAGGTACAGTCTCAAAAGTAACGACTGCTTTTAAAATAAAAGGAGAAACGTCCTCAGTAAAGCACAAGTCTGCACCGAAAGTCGAATTTGTCTGAGAGAGACCGTCATTACCTAAATCGAATTGTGAGGGACCATCGAAAAAACAGGGCTGCTAGGCAGACCTCAATGGAAACCTACAGAACCCAATTTCAACAAAGACTGTCCGCCCAGAGCTGCACAGATCTGGATTTTATGGAAGTGCTGCAATTAGAAAACCTCTGGTTTCAAATACAAGTGCTTCAAAGCGCTTAGAGTGGTGTAAAAACCTACAGAATTGGTCCCTTGAGCTGTGGAAAAATGTTATTTTCTCTGACAAATCCTCGTTTGCCTTGCCTCCAACCTCTGGCCGAGTTAACGTTTGGAGACAGCCAAAATTTAATCCTGACTGCCTCCCACCTACCGTAAAACATGACGGGATCAGTGATAATCTGGATTGCTATTTCTTGGAAATAAGGCAGACCAATGATCTCTCTTCATGGAAGAATCAACAGCCGTGATTGTTTAGGAATTTTGAAGGACCAAGTTCATCCGATGGTTCAAACACTGTTTCCGGAGGTAAACACCATCTTTCAAGATGATAATGACTCGATCCACACAGCTGGAGTTGTTGAAAAATGGCATGAGCAACATTCTAACGAAGTTGAGCATCTCATTTGGCCATCGCAATCCCCAGACCTGAATAATAGCGAGCATTTATTGTCGATTTCAGAGATGCAAGTCAGAAGTCGATTCCCGCCGCCGTTTACAAAGAGCTGGAGAGAGTTTTAACTGAAGAATGGGTTAAAATTCCTTTGGAAACAATTCACAATTTGCATTTATTCACACCTCGGAGAATAGAGGCTGTAATTACGGCAAAAGGTGGACCTACACCATACTTAAATACATATATTTTATGGATTTATCAGATGTTTACTTATTTTGTCTGCCCACTGTATCTGGTCAAAACCGTGCCGCAAGCCCGGCTGCGAAGGGTCATTTTTCTTGATGGGAAGCATGAGTAAATGTTTTTAAATGATCAGTAAAAAGGTATAAAATGCAAAATTCCTTTTCCTAGGAAATGCATTGAGATTACGGAACTGGCATTCGTTGAATGCAAGCTTCTTCGAGCTAAAAGTCATTATTTATATTAATTCCATTATTATAGTTTAATAATGTAATGTACAACATTAGTTAGTATTGCTAAGTTATATCACTTATTTTACGCAATGTATGTGAGATAAATAAAATGCAAAATAAATTTTGTATGTAAAATTATTAAGACGTTACTAGCCAGGTGAGTGTTCCGTATTTTTAGGCAACGTTTGTGCTTGATTATAGGCCCATGGTTATTTATGGATGTTTAGAGCCAATCTGAGGCAAATGAAGGCACGGTTGGCTTAAATTAAAAATAATTTTGCATTCAACATAAGATTTGATTCATATAAACCATCCATTTTACTAAAGACTGCAGTTCATGTTCTCATTAACGTTTTAACGACTAGCATTTTAATATTTAAGTCACCAAATGGCTGGAAAACTTACCGACCAACGACTAGAATGTGGATACTTAACTACCAGGAGACAATTGAGGTACTATTACAACGACTCTTGTGCCGTGCTATGAATCCTGGGTTGTGCATCATTTAACTGATTAGATCTCTGATCAGGGTTAGAATATCATCTTCAGAGTATCTGAGCTTGTGGAGAGCTCACAGGCACCATTATCACTTAGAAAACCTTGAAAATTACTTCCTCTAGCAAGTCCAGCACTTCCTCTGCAGATATCAGACCTCTGTAATGATTCATGGGTATTATCTGAATGAAACAGTATTTTTATACATCCTAATACCTTTATTATGTACAATTCACCTGCGAAACCGTCTGTTGTCAATTTTAAATAGAGTAAATACAAATTAAATATAATCGGCATTGAAAGCCAGTTAATCACGGCCAGTCTTAATATCTGTATTATCTGATGATTTTTTAATAGTTTCAAGATCTGGTAATAACAAATATTAACGAAAATTCTGGTATGCAGCGCTAATTTCAAATAAGCCCTCTAGCGTACAACTACGCGACGCCATTCGATTTTCCGGCGCGCTAAAAATGAGTGACTATTATTTTCTCTGGTCGGGTTCTTTAAAATTATATAATCCATCGTATGCGTGTAAAAGTTAATGATGGCTCATGTATGTAATGTAGAAGTATATTTGTTTGTACTTTAAATTCAAGTGAAAGAAATTGTAGGAACTCAGAGTCAGACTTTATAGGAGGCCATGGCTCACATAGCTTATGCTGACCCCCAATCGTTATGTTGACTGAGATCCTCATTAAGCTGATTTTGTTTTAGTGAAACCAAATGAAGTTGAAGTATTTAATCTCAGTTGATATTCTTTGGCTAGAGTGATGTTATCAGTGAAACTATTTTGTCACTTATGAGAGGAATTGAGTCATTAGGTAGAATTATAGCGCATTAAATCTCAAATCCTTGAGAATCATCTGTGTTGCTTTGTGAACCTTAATATTTAACCTAAATAATAATAGTTACGAGTATTAAATGTCCCAATATAGATTTTGTTGCGCGCAATTCTGGAATATTAAATTCCATGTGAAATTCATGTTCTAGTTATGACCTAATTCGCAGGTCTCTCTATTGGGCATTATATTTTACAGTTTCCTCAGATCATGCCATATTCCATAACCTCTTTACTCTTAGGCATGTTTTACTTATTCAATTCTGGCCATCTTTTCATGGCTCCTAACTGAGTCGACCTCTTGCCAAACTACCTGAATAAACTAGCATATATGATATATCTTTAGTCAGCTCTGTTATTATCCTCCTTACTGCAGCCTCGGTATAACCTCTGAATTCTTATATACAATAACCTTTTTCTAATCATCTTTGCACCAGTCAAGTGAAGAAAAATACCCTTACAAGTTACAACATGAATTCCAAGGTCTTGAAAATTGATGATATTAACTATCAGTAGCTTCTCAAGACTTAAGAAGGGAACAAAGATTTGTAGGTTAACGAATCGTCCCGTTTGTATAAATTGTGTCTAAAATATAACATCAAATAAAAAAATATTTGTCTCTCCTTTTCCTTGTCATCATTTTTTACGTTATTATTTGGAGTACGTTATAAATGAATACCATCCATTTGCCTATAGAAAAGATTGTAACGAAGAAGCCTTAACCTTAGAACATAATTGGCAAATCAATTCTTTACATTCATGGAATTCACCATTTAAATTTTTATGATTGTATACTTATTCATTAGAAACCCCTTTGGCACAATTATAGTCTTAAAGATGCAACAAAAATTTATGGCTTCACGATTATAAAATTTCTATAGCTTAATCTTTATTTATATATATTACAATTATTACTTATGATTTGGAATCCAGTCATTCCTAAAACTTTGCTGTTGCCAATAGTTAAGCGTTTTTTTCAAATAGCGTCTAGTCATATGCAGGTGTGGCATGGATGTCAAACCGAACTTTAAAAGTGATGTGGCCGTTCAATGGAGCATGTAGTGACTCGAATTTATATCTCGCACTGCATTTTCTTGTGAGTATCGTAAATAATTTAATAATTAAATGACAGACAGTCAATTAAACTTTCAAGCTAGTGATTATCAACCTCTGTACCTATATGTAACTTAATTATCATTATCTCTATTGTTTATTCCGGATTTTATAAATTTCATTATTAAATCATTATACAAATATCCTGTCAGTTTATCATCAATTCTCAAGCACGAAAAACATTCGTGTCATTTCTAAAGAATAAAAAGTTTAGTAAATGGCGAAAATACTTTTATGTTTGAATCGCGCCATCAAATAGTGTGAATTTTGTTTAGAATGCCCCATGGGTATCCATTAGCCAATCGCCATTTAGCTTAGCGTCATTTTCTGTCTGCCGCCGCGGAGTTAACTTCTGCTGAGGTTAGCTGCTAAGCTTTTCAATAGAATTCAATTCCTATAATGCAATAGAAAATTTCAGTCTAACTGTCATAACTGAATTACTAATTGTATTCACTGTGTTCTTTTGATATTGTTACTCCATTGTATTCATGTCATGTTTATTCTACCGACCTACAACTCCTGTAGGTGTGGGTCGGCGTCTGCATTCTTCTGAATAAAGTAGGTAATATTGAACATATATTATGGGTAGATGTTAAGAATGCTAAGAATGCGGCGCGGTTGTTTCGAGACCGTGGGAAGCATTGAATTCGAAACGTTGCAATCTATTAAAATGTCATTCGGAAACCTGCTTTTCGATCTCCCGGCTCCAGCTAGAAATTTGGTTCGACTCATTGAAAAGACGAACAAGAAGATTGTAAATAAAAAGCATGCTCTGGTCTTCAATCAAACTTGCATAAGAGAAAATATTAAATACCATATGAAGAACCAGGCCATTATTTGCTACAAATTAGACAGTATGAGTTCCAACTATACATGTTTTTTGGAAGCTTGGCGAAGAATAAAAGATCGTCATGTACATCCCTGCGGGGAACTAAATTAAGCCTGTGAATTAGCCTCACAGCTTGATTTTATACATATAATTTAGTATCTACTACTCATGCCACAATTATTTATTTCAATCAAACATGACTTTTTTTTTATAAAATTCATGAATACACTACAATTGTTTTTTTTTCAAAGCACGTTCACAACAGACAGCTCCGTTCACCGCTCGAGTCGTTGCAGTCGTCGCCGTCGCATTCAGAAGTTTCTGTGATGCTGATGCATCTCCCGTTTGAGCAGGAATATAGGCTGCTGCTACTGTCTGTGCCTTACGGTAAAAAATTAACTAGAGTAATTAAATGTTCAAGAAATCATTGTTTTGTTTAAAACAGACCATCTTATATATAATTTCGTATGGTTCATCAACGTTGGGGTTATGTTAGGATTATTCGTGCAACAAGACACGCCAATACATTGACATGAGATTGAATAAAGTAGGTAATATTGAACATAGGTAATATTGAACATGTATTAGGCATAGATGTTAAGAATGCGGCGGCGCGGTTGTTTCGAGACCGTGGGAAACATTGAACGAAACATTGAACACGCTTTTTCCGGTAATATTAGATGATTTAATGATGTTAGCTTTGGACTTTTGATTGTGAACAGATTACATTTTTCATGTACTAGAGATTTTTGTTAACGTAGGATGTGAACTTGAATTTCTCAATTTAATATGAAATGTATCAGTGTTTCATTACACCCTCTCTTTGTACTATATTTTGCCGAACCTGTCCAAAAAGAGAACCTTATTCACGTGCCAATCAAGTGCCACTCGGCAAACCACCTGACAAAACGATTAGTAATGAATACTGGTATCTTGAATCTGAACCTGAACGTAACGTAAAATTGGTGGAGTAATCACTCCGATTCTCCAACTTTAAAATATATGAGACGATAAGAAACGTCGTCTATTTCTTCTCTTTTTTTTTAAACCCAAATTTAATCATGGTGTCAGGATTGTGGGGTTTGGAAGGTTTTACGGCAAAGTACATTGAGAGGTTTGTATTCATAGAAGAAATTCCGTTTTTAATGCTGACATTTTTAGTTCTGCCGAAAATTTACTTTAGCCACTGTGTGAAATTTAGCCTGCCTCGATACTATGCCAGAATTTGTTTGAGAAGAACTTGTTCTTTCTCATGCAATAGTGATGGCAACAAAATCATTACTTGTGCGATGTCTTTAAAAAAATTATTGACCGTATAGTGAGTGCAGTGAGTCTGATTCCATGCGAGTGTTCTCATAAAAAGTCGAAGTGTAAGATTAATTCGAAATAATTTGTAGAGATAATGCATAGCTTATTAAAGAAGAATTTAGAGATTAAGGTGGTCAGGCGGGCAGAATTTTTTTTACTTGTGTAGTGATTTCTAGTGATTCATCTAAACCATTTTTTTCTGCACGGTATAGTTTCACGTTCAGAAAATTATTGTTTGTCTGTGATTTTATTTTTTTTGCTAGGTGTCGAAATTATGTTTGCGCTGTGATTTTTTTTATGAGCGCAAACGGGCATTTTTTTATCAAATAGATATTTTCTGATATTTTTTTGCTGAGAAGAAATTTGCGCAGATTTAAAAAAAATTGTAATTTGTTTTCATAACTCGATGCCGCAAGATTTATGTTTATTGAAACTTTTCAGAAATTAAATTTTAGTAGGAAATTTTTATGCCCAGTATTTTGACTTGTAGGTGTAGAAGTTGTCGCGTTCATTTTAACTTAGAATTACGTTAGACTACCGAGCGATTGATGACGATATACGAATGTGATTGAGTCCATTGTTTACAAGAATTTAATTGCGTACGAATTTGGTTGATATAACTATAGTAATGAGTTTAATGAGCGAGAACGAGTTCAGATAATTGTAGAGGGAGATGTAACTATTATAGGATGTGTGAGTACAGTGTGACGTACGAAGATTTCGAATGGGGTGCTGCCGCTTTGAAGGCAAGGTTATCACGAGCGAGTCATAAAAACTTACGGGGATTTGAGAGGTAATGGAAACGATAGATTCTATTGAGATATTAAAGACCGAGGTGATGATGAATTTTGCTGCATATGATGATGAATTACGAGAAGTTTGTTGAATAGTTCTGCGAGAACTAAATGATAAGGAAATGTTTAGGGAAACGATTCAGGCATGCCAGGAAGGGAACTCGTGTTGCCGGGGTGGCAGAGATATTGTTGAAATGATGAGACGCCGTTGAAAGGGCGGAGATTTGATGCGATAATGCGCGATTGATAGGCGCCACGATTTTTGATCGAGTGAAGGCTCTAGAAAATGCACACTGGTCAAGTTGAGGATATGTTGTAGGTAGGGATAGGTTTTTATTTTTTCTTTTTTTTTTAGTTCGCCAACCTGCCTGTCTGAATTCTTAAACAGGAGATACGCAGGAGACATTGTTATCGCTGCAACCCGTAAATTTTGAAACTCACGTAGTGCTTTAGTTCTGCGACAAATGAGTGTAAAATCCGGTGTTCGGAGTAATATGATTTAATAAAGTAAAAGGTGATAAAGATGTAAGAATTGAATAGGGAATGATATTAATGTGTTTGAGTTGTATGGATGATTCTTGTCTGTGCGAAGACTACTTAATAGAAATGTAACGTTGTTGTATCATGAGTTGATAGGAATAATTATTGTTTTAGGTGGATATTTTGTAGGATGTTTCATTTTTCATGTGTTTACGAAGGAATTTAGGGACCGTGAGATATTAGGCTAACGATTTGTATGTTGGAATAATGATCGTTTACTGATAATGTCAAGAAATAATTCATTTGTACGAATGGTGGTCACGAATAATTTAATTTTATCAATTGATTGCAATGTAAGTTTGTTCGGTTTCAACATTAACAAATATCACTAGGATAGAAAAAAAAGTCTTGAGCCTTTTTTTAGGGAAGTTAAATGGAAATGAATAAAGTAGGTAATATTGAACATAGGGAATATTGAACATGTATTATGCATAGATGTTAAGGATGCTAAGAATGCGGCGGCGCAGTTGTTTCGAGACCGTGGGAAACATTGAACGAGCGTTGCGAGGGAAATTCCATTCGAAGGAATGTAGCGTCAGTTCGAGGGTTAGGCTTAAGTGTGCGCGACACTAGCGTATATAAGGACCTTAGAATTCGCGCCAAGGGTTGTTGGTTCTAAGGAGTTGACCGTCGCGCACGTACGGTCTGCAGGCCGGCGGTGTTACCGTTTTCGAACATTGACGGTTGACGGTCGCAAGAAACCCAGACTTATCGAAGCAGCCAAGATTCCAGTGAGCGCGTCAAACATATACAATGGACGGCTACGACTTTAACATATTATACGGTCAACATCAACACTACGGCTGCGACTCAGTCGTGAGACAACGCGAGAGCCACGAGATGTACAACGATAATAACGCACGTCATCAGAAGATCTAAGTTTCGAGCTCTACACCAAGAATCATCAGTACGATACGGTCACGATTTCCATCAAGAAGAAGCGGTACGATTACATTCATCTTCAACCGCCGAAGCACCGCATTGAGCCGAAGTAACAACATCGACGATGAAGACTACGCCACTATTCTGAAGTACGGTCGTTGTAAAACAACCTACGGCCAGACTGGCCGTGTGGCATCTATATCAACGAGATACGACAGCTATGAAGAAACGGCAACTGTGAAGAGAGACGCGCGGTACAGCTGCAGTACGGCCACTTGAAATACGGCTGCAATGCGCGGTGACAACCGCGGTACGGTCGCTGAACACACGACCGTGACCGGGTGCGCGAGTTACGGTCGTTGACAACTGTCATACGCATTGGAACTGCAACGGATCACACGCTTTTTCCGGTAATATTAGATGATTTAATGATGTTAGCTTTGGACTTTTGATTGTGAACAGATTACATTTTTCATGTACTAGAGATTTTTGTTAACGTAGGATGTGAACTTGAATTTCTCAATTTAATATGAAATGTATCAGTGTTTCATTACACCCTCTCTTTGTACTATATTTTGCCGAACCTGTCCAAAAAGAGAACCTTATTCACGTGCCAATCAAGTGCCACTCGGCAAACCACCTGACAAAACGATAAGTAATGAATACCGGTATCTTGAACCTGAACGTAACGTAAAATTGGTGGAGTAATCACTCCGATTCTCCAACTTTAAATAATATGAGACGCTAAGAAACGTCTCTCTTTTATTATATATATTTTTTCCTATTTAATCAAGATCCTCATTAAAGAGATTCATCATGAACATTTATTTTTGTATATTATTCTTCATTCCCCAAATACCATTAATTACTCATGATAATAATAGGAACAATGTAGCACACTGAAGAGCAAACGAAAAACAAAATTTGTTTCAAAGAATCAACGAATTAATCTGAAGAGGTCTTTTCTTATCAAGTAAATTTTAGATGGAAAATGGAAACGTATAGTGTGACAATGTTAACAGTTGATGAGCCAAGCCCATAAAGCTAATTAAGACATAAAAGCCCAGTCGAAATTTTAGGATTCTGGTGAAGTGTTTCGACCAGAAGCGAGCAACACTGTCGTAAAACTCTAACTCAAATTTCAATGAATTGCTTCTCATAATGTATCAATCAAGTCATTATAAAAAGGTTTAAAAAGATCTTACAACATCAGAGTTGTTGTCCTAATTGCCCAATCATATTCACGAAGTTCTTTGACGTACTGGAGTTGGATGACGATGAGCCAGAACAGTCGCGCTCATCGCTGCTGTCGCCGCAATCGTTATCTCCGTCACATTGCCACGTCCTTTTAATGCAACGGCCTGTGTTCTCGCACTTGAACTTTTCCGGGGAGCACTCGCCTGTGGGGATTTAAAAACAAAATTTTTGTATCGATGCTATCAAACACTTGTTGCCGGTAGTGAGGAAAAAATGGCGAAGAGTCAAACATTACAACCGTCCACGCCAAAACTTTCGAGGTAATTAAAGTAAAAATTTAACAGTTTTTCAGGGTTCACTTGTTCATGTGGCATCTTTTTACCATGTAAAAAACTCAAACTATTCACAATACTAGAAAAATGAGAATGGAACACTATATAATTGTTACCCTGCCAAAGTGCCAACCAAAATCACAAAAATTTAGTTTTTCTAGTTGCAATGATACCTTTCGTTGGTCGTAGAATTTTCCACACTCTACCAGTAACAATGGAAATACCAAATTTGTGATAGTTCAACGTCTCTTAAATATTAATGTGGAGTTTTTGGATAGTTTATGGCTAAAACTACGCGGAACTTCACATAGTTATTAGGGTAGTGTTTGCCTATGCCTACACGGCTCCCGCATCTACACGAACTGCCATAATTTCCTACTAGGAAAAAAATCCGAAGCTCCGATAGTAATGGTGCTAAATTCTCAGACAGTAATATTTTTCAATTGCATATCATCTTTTATTAAATTTGAATGTGACACTTAAGAATTATGGGCATTCTGCACATCCACGTCACTCACAGTGCAGTTCATCGCTCCAGTCGGAGCAGTCGTTGGCGCCGTCACATTCGTAGCTTCCCGTGATGCAGCTGCCATTTGCGCAGGAATATTGGCCGCTGCTGCAGCCTACATCAAATAGACAACGATTTAAGATACCAGACGATTACGAATATCGGTTGCAGTGGCACTAAAATTTTTGCTAGTAAAATAATTCCAAAGAAGAAAAGATACTGTCATGTCTTACTAGCTCATGTTTGAAGTGATTTGACTTAAAGGAAAAAAAACAGCGTAAAAATGGGTGACTCAAACGTTAATTATTCGTATCTCATAATGTATATACAGTATTTGATCACGTCATCCTGAAAAAAGTCGAATAAGATGCATGCAGGCATAGTCGAACGTACCAGATGATATAAGCAACATAAGAACAACATTCAACAAAAAATATTTAACCCTATAAGAGAGCCTGCATAATTAGGGTTGTTATCTCAATGGCACGATATTAATAAGAAAGTTTTCTTACTTACCTGAACTGGACGGCGATGACCCAGAACAGTCGCGCTCGTCGCTGCTGTCGCCGCAGTCGTCATCGCCATCACATCGAAACGTTCCTCTGATGCAACGGCCGGTGTTCTCGCACTTGAACTGTCCCGAGGAACACGCGCCTGCAAGGAATTAAAACCAAAATTTTCGTAATGATGCAAGCAAACACTAGTTGCCAGCAGTGAGGAACTAATGGTGATGAGGAAAATGTTACCGACTACGTTGACACTTGCGAGTTAATTAAAATGAAAACATAACATTTTTTCAGGTTTCAATTATTCATGCGGCATCTTCTTACCTTGCAATGAACTCAAACTCCCCAAATTACTAAAAAATTAGAGGGGAATTTTTGATAATTGTTGCGATGCTAACGTGTCAAAGTCACAAAAAAATTAGCTTTTCTAGTTGCAACGAGACCCTTCGATGGTCGTGGAATTTTCCACTCTTCACCAGTAACAAAGAAAATATCAAATTTGTGATAGTTTAGCATCTCTAAAATACTACTATGAAGCATTTGGCTAGTCTATGGCCTAATTTACGCAGGACTACGCATCTAAAAGTTCCACAGATTCCTAGGTGGCTCCCGCATCTACACCAACTTCCCTAATTCCATACTTTGGGAAAAATTCTGGGGCTCCGATAGTAATGATGCTAAATTCTCGTGCAGTAAAATATTTCAATTGCATGCAATCTTTTATTAAATTTGAATGTGTCCCTTGTGAATTATTGGGATTATGTACATCCACGTCACTCACAGTGCCGTTCATCGCTCCAGTCGGAGCAATCGTTGTCGCCGTCGCATTCGTAGCGTCCTGCGATGCAGTTGCCATTTGCGCAGGAATATTGGTCGCTGCTGCAGCCTACATAGAATAGACAATGATTTAAGATACCAGATGATTACGAATATTTATTACATATTACGAAAATTAGAATTTAAGAATAATAACTTTAGTGCCGGATTATCAAAACTTATCTTTTTATGCATGCGTACAGGAAGATACGTGTTACGTAAGTACACCCTAATTTTGGCATTATCAAAACTCTCGTACCCAAGACTCATCTGTAAAGCTATTATCAAAACTATCTCCCTAACTGACCAATCAGAGGCTTTGAATTTGCTATTCTAGCTCCTGTCGACTCGCTGCGCAGTGCGCGTGGATAAAAGGAGACTGTGTCGTGTCAGCGGCATCTGCGTTGACTGACTAGGGAGCATATGGAGAAATTGAATAGAATAGAAGTGTCGGCATTGAAGAAATAGGCCCATGGTCTGTTGTCGATTCTTGAACATTTCGTGCCTTGATTCACAAGGGATCCAGCCTTTGGAACCCGATCTTTCCATAACTGACGATTATTGAGATAGCTGCTGGACTTATTGCCTGGGCAGAGATTAACGAAACTTCGCTAAGTACACGTAACTTTTTGTGCTTACGTTCAAAAAGTTACGTATTGCCTAAGTCAGTCAAAATTTGGCATTAACAAAACTGTCTTACGCAAGACTCATCTGAAAAGGTACTATCGAAACCATCCAACTAACTGACCAATCAGAGGCTTCGAATTTGCCATTCCTAGCTCCTGTAGACTCAGTGCGCAGTGCGCGTGGATGAAAGAAGGTTGTATTGTGTCAGCGTCATCTGCGTTGACTGACTAGGGAACATATGGAGAAATGAGTGAGACGTTGTCTAAATAGCAATGACAACGCCTTGATTGCAAATTTTTGCAATCAAGGCAAAAAATTAAATTTTTCCCATTCAAAATTTGAGGACTTTTAGAGAGCTACCTAGAATTTAGAACATTTTGTGAGTTGGAGTTCAACCATCAGCGGAGAAAGAAAGGAATTTGTGTACGTAGTTAGAAAAATGGTAGGCTTGTCAAACTCCACTTAGATTTGAATCAAAAAGTCATGAAGATATTATTTTAGTGAATGATCATAAAACTCTTAGATACGAATATCAAGATTTGCTTGCAAATTATAGCACAAAAGGAAAAGAAATTAGCTGGCATAACTTAATTGAAATTTTTTCTCAAAAAGCACCGTTTAGCACGATCATATATTATGCCTATGTTGAATTATTGACAAAATTCTATCACAATTCACCGTGTTGCGAGTAAATTAATAGTTTTATATTGCTTCGGCACACTCAAAACGTCTACGTAACTCCACTTACGACACCTCCGAGCAGGCGTAGAGCTACGTACGGCTTATTGTACGTAGCTTCCCGCGCAAATGTTTTGATAATACCACCGCTAGAGTTACTTCTTCATATCAGCAAGTCGCTACGTGTACTTAGAGATGTTTTGATAATCCGGCCCCTGGGGCCGTATTATCGAAACTTCGTAACTTTTTGTACTTCCGACAAAAAAGTTACGTGTTACGTAAGTACACCCTAATTTTGGCATTATCAAAACATTCGTACGTAAGACTTAGCTAATAGCGTACTATCAAAACCATCTGGCCAACTGACCAATCAGAGGCTTTGGATTTGTTTACATTTTGTGAACTTCGATGGCGGGAATCGATGCCTTCGATGGTATGACTATCGAATGCTGTCTATCGGTATTGCCCTTGTTGGCCCAGAAAAAGCCGTTCTAAAATAGTTGTGAAGTCTTTTTATTAAACAGCGTGAGTTGAAGAAGAAATCTGTGTACGGAGCTAAAAATTATGGTTGGCAGAGATATAAAGTACCGACTAGAAGGAATGAATTAATTGAATTTTTGAAAATGAATGAAAAAATTTGTGAAATTTTTTGAAAAAATGAATTGAATTTTTTTCCAATAGCACTGTTTAGCACGATCACATATTTTGATCGTGCTAATGTTGCACGATCAAGTAGTGGAGCCATCACAAGTAGAGCCATCATTCTATGCGTGTATAATCCGCGCTGTCGGATTATTGACAAAATTCTATCACAAGTCAAGGTGTTGCTACTTGCTAGTAAATCAATAGTTTCGTATCGCTTCAGCAGACACTCTAAACTTGTGCGGAACTCCACTTACGACATCTCCGAGCAGGCGCCCAGTTACGTTACTTATCTTCCCGCGCAAATGTTTGGATAATACCACCTCTAGAGTTACGTCGTCAAGTCAGCACTTACGCCACTCGCAAGTCGATTTTGCGTACTTCCGAAGTTTTGATAATACGGCCCCTGGTCCGTAAGTTGCAAGGCAGTTTAAGACTGAACATATGCTCGTGCATAGCTTCGTCTAGTCTGTTCTTGAAGGCGCTCATACCCGGAGTGTCAACGATGCTATCAGGGAGGCTGTTCCACATGTCGGTGACTCGAAGAGAAAAGAAATGTTGTCGCATGGATGTATTACTACGCAGTTTTTTTAGTTTATAGCCGTGGCTCCTGGTGTTGGTTCTTGTTTAAAATTCTAGTAATTATTCTGGGACCTTGGATAAGCCATACTTGTATGCTTCAATGAGGTCCCCACGCAAACGTGGATAACTGAGGCTTGGAAGCTTCATAATCTTTAATCTTTACTCATAAGACTTGCCTTTCAAGCCCGGAATTATTCTTGTTGAGCGTCTTTGAATAATCTCTATTAAATTTTGTCCTTTTCAAATTTCTGTGACCACACGACGTTTCCAAACTCTAGGATCGGGCGCACGACAGCAACAAACTACTGCTTCATCGCTTCTGCATCTAGGAACTCGAAAGAGCGTCTGATCAGTCCAAGTCGTTTATTGGCTTTATTAACTTGACCTTCAATATGCTTAGAAAATTTCAACTCATTGTCGATATTAACTACTAAATCTTTTTCCATTGTCGACTACCACATCATCACTCAGTCGTTGCAACCGTGTCTTCTCATACTGTAATCTTGCTGTTCATTATTCATGCCAAGGTGGATAACTTTTCATTTGTCAGCGTTAAAACGCAGCTGCCACTTATCAGCCCAGTCAACCAGCCGGTCAAGATCACCTTGCAACTGTACTTTTTGCGATGTATTCTTCACTGTATTTAAATTTTTGTGTCGTCAGCATACATCGAGCGAACGCTAGACACAGTTTGTGACAGATCGTTTATAAACACAACGAATAAAATAGGCCCGAGAACGCTTCCTTAATTGTGGCACGCCGCTGCGCACTGAAGCCCAGTCTGATACGGACCCATTAATACTGACACGTTGTTGCCTCTCTACTAGAAAATCTCTGATCCATTTGAGTACATTACTCTCAATTCCCAAAGACTTCAATTTACGCAACAGCCGCGCATGTCGTACACTGTACAATACCATGGCAAAATCGAAGTACGCTGCATCTACTGGCTCCCTTTCGTCCAGCAGGCGGGTCAATTCGTTTAGAGTAGACAAGAGGTTTGTGGTGCAGGATCTCCCGGCAATAAAGCCATGTTCACAGCCTGAGTGAGACGTTGTCCAAATGGCAATGACAACGCCTTGATTGCTATTTTTCGCAATCAAGGCGAAAAATTACATTATTCCTATTCAAAATTAGAGGACTTTTTAAAGAGCTACCTAGAATTTAGAACATTTTGTTAGTTGGAGTTGCGACTATCAGGGAAGAAAGAAAGGAATTTGTGTACGTAGCTAGAGAAATGGTCGGCTTGTCAACTTCAACGTAATTTTGAATCAAAAAGTCATGAAGATATTGTTTTAGTACATGATCATAAAACTCTTAGATATGAATGTCAACATTTGCTTGAAAGTTATAGCACAAAAGGAAAAGAAATTAGCTGGCATAAACTCAATTGAAATTTTTTTCCCGAAAACACCGTTCAGCACGATCACATATTATGCCTATGTTGAGTAATTGACTAAATTCTATCACAATTCACCATGTTGCAAGTAAATCAATAGTTTTATATTTCTTCGGCACACTCAAAACTTGTACGTAACTCCACCTACGACACCTCCAAGCAGGCGCAGAGCTACTTACGGCTTTCTTTACGTAGGTTCCCTTGCAAATGTTTTGATAATACCCCCGCTAGAGTTATGTCTTCATATCAACAATTACGCCACACGTAAGTCGCTACGTGTATTCAACGATGTTTTGATAATCCGGCCCCTGAAGAGTCGGTGAACCATGCTAATAGAGCTAATGAAGACATACTGCCATGTTAAAATCTTACTACCTCATGTTTGAAGTAATTCTACTTGAAGAGATATGACGCTGCCTCAAAATTGGTGACTCATGCGTTAATTATTTGCATCTCATAATGTATGTATTTGATCAAGTCATTCTGAAAAAAGTCTAATAAGATGCATGTAGGCATATATCCGTTGCACGCACCAGATGATATAAGCAACATATGCACAACATTTAACAAAACAAATTTAACCCATAAGAGAGCCTGCATAATTACGGTTGTTATTTTAAAGCACGATTTTAACAAGAAAGTTCTCTGACGTACTTGAGTTAGACGGCGATGACCCCGATGACCCCGAACAGTCGCGCTCGTCGCTGCCGTCGCCGCAGTCGTTATCGCCGTCACATCGCCACGTCCCTCTGATGCAACGGCCGGTGTTCTCGCACTTGAACTGTCCCGAGAAACACGCGCCTGCATCGGAGGAATTAAAACAAAAATAATTGCATTGCTGCTTGTGAACGTTTGTATGCGGTACTGAGAAGCAAATATCGGCGATTTGCACGTAAGGGTGGGAAATATATTTTTTTTCATCGGACGAAAAATCTCGAGACGCTGGAGTTTGGGTATTTGCGCAGGTAAAAAAGTTCAGGCAGCATCAACTTGGCTGTTAAATAGTATATTATTCTTATTAAAACGAGACCCTTTAAGGGTTAAAAAGTTTACAGAATTTTCCAAAATAAATATACGTATATGATGATCTAACGTCTCGAAAATTTTACTTTTCAGCTCCATCCACGAGCTGAATTTTTCATTTTTTTTTCTACTGAAAGTACCGCCATATAGCGGCCATTTATATGTCTTGTGATGCAGTTGCCGTTTGCGCAAGAGTATTGGTCGCTGCTACAGCCTACATCACGTAGAAATTAATTAAAGATACAAGATGACTGCTGGTACATTAAAAATTTCTCTAGTGTAACAATGTTAAGAGTAGGTAACCCATGAGAAAAAGGTAAAGAAAACATAAGGGTCGTGTAAAAATTTTGGGATTCTGTTTGAAGTGATTCGACCAGAAGATAGCAACTCTGTCACAAGATTAGAAACTCAAATTTGAGTGAATTGCATCTCAAAATGTATCAAATCAATGAAATCATTCTATTAAAGTTAAATAAGATCTTACACCAACAGATCTTGTTGTTCTAATAGACCAATCATATTCAGAAAGTTCTCTAACGTACTGGAGGTGGATGACGATGACCCAGAACAGTCGCGCTCGTCGCTGCTGTCGCCGCAGTCGTTATCGCCGTCACATCGCCACGTCCCTCTGATGCAACGGCCGGTGTTCTCGCACTTGAAATATTCCGAGGAACACGCGCCTGTAACGAATTAAAATTAAAGCTTTCGTGATGATGCAAGCAAAAACTTGTTGCCGGTAGTGAGGATTAAATGGTGAAGAGTAAAATGTTATTTCCTTCGACGGCGAAACTGGGGAATGAATTAGGATACAAATGTAAAAGATTTTCAGGTTTCATTCGTTCATGCGGCCTCTTCTTACATTGCAAAAAACTCAAACTTTTCATATATCCAAAAAAATGAGAGTGGAACTCTTGGTAATTGTTACCCTGCTAAAGTGCCAAAGTCACAAAAAAATTAGTTTTTTTAGTTGCAATGAGACCCTCAGACGGTCGTAGAATTTTTCACACTCCACCAGTAACAAGGGAAATACCAAATTTCTTATAGTTCAACGTCTCTAAAGTATTACTGTGTAGCTTTTGCCTATTTTATGGCCTAAACTACGCAGAACCACGCATAGTTATGAAGGTAGAGTTCCACTAATACCTACGCGGCTCCTGAGTCCACGTAAACTGTGCTAATATCCGCTTTAGGAAAAAAATTCGGGGCTCAAATAATAATGATGCCTATTTCTCATAACACCAATAATCTCAATCATACGTGGTCTTTTGTTAAATTTGAATGTGTCTATTATGCCTGTTTGGGATTAGGGACATTCACGTCACTCACAGTGCCGTTCATCGCTCCAGTCGTTACAATCGTTGTCGCCGTCGCATTCGTGGCTTGCTATGATGCATCTACCGTTTGCACAGGAATATTGTGCGCTGCTGCAACCTGCATCATATAGACAATTATTTAATGTATAAGATGATTTGGGACATAATGGTGCAGGTACATCAAAATTTTCGCTAGTATACCGAAGATTTCGCTAGTATACCGCTAGTATACTCCCATTCGAAGCCTTAGGCTTATGTTTAAAGTGATTCGACCCAAAGAGAAATAACACTAACTTAATATTGTTAACTCAAACTTAAACTAACAGCTTTTCATAATGTATTGATTTCATATAGTAATTCTGAAAATATTCGAATAATCAGCACCCAAGCCTATCCGTTGATCATACCAGGTGATCTAATTAGCTTAAGCTCAACGTTCAACAAAACATATTCTACTCTAATATTCTACACCATAAGATTTGTTATCTGGATAACACGATCTTAATAAGAAACTTCTTTCACGTACTTGAACTGGACGAAGATGACCCAGAACAGTCGCGCTCGTCGCTGCTGTCGCCGCAGTCGTTATCGCCGTCACATCGAAACGTTCCTCTGATGCAACGGCCGGTGTTCTCGCACTTGAACTGTTCCGAGGAACACTCGCCTACGCGAAGAAAATAAAATCAATTTTAGTGCAAAGGTTGGCTTATCATACATTCAATACAGCAGTTACAGTTCAAACTGAAATGAATATCCGTATTGCATAAACAGGCTTGTATGTTTCAGATGAACACTTCAGAGATGTGTTTGAATACGTCAGAGATGTGTACAATTTGATAAAAATCAAGTAGACTGAATTATTTCTATTTACAACGCCGATTCCAAAAAAATGCGAAAACCGAAAATTTTTAGATAATTCATCTATAATAGTTACTTACAAGTAATATTCCCCAGTAAAGTGGTTCACAGGGAATATATGAAAGGCGTGTATCTCTATGTAGAATCCATTTTACAAAGTTATTCCTAAATTTATAAAATGAAATGAATTCAAGAACACTGTAACAAACCATATATAAAACGATGACTTGATAAAAAATTTAGCAGGAAAATTAGAATACTGAAAGAGTGCTGCATGTTGTTGTCTTATCAGCTAAATGCACTGTGGGTAATTTCAAACGCACTCGAGTTGGGTGACGATGAACCAGAACAGTCGCGCTCGTCGCTGCCGTCGCCGCAATCGTTATCGCCGTCGCACCGCCACGCTCGTCTGATGCAGCGACTTGTGTTCTCGCACCTGAACTGTTCCGAAGTACATGTGCCTGTTGCGAGAAACGTTATTTTGGTTACAGAACAAGTAGAAAACTGAAATAAAAATAGTCGTGAAGTTGTCTTATCTAAAAGATGCAACGAGAGTTACTGACAGCGCATTTTAGGTCTAAATGCAGGATCAATATTAACGTATTGCATTTACTGTCCTTAAACACCGTTAGATCTATTATTGACTGTCCTATCTCCAGCCCAATGCACAAGCCTACACTGGCAGGGAGCACGAAGTTTGGTGCAATATAGTTCTTGCGGGTTCAGTAGTTGTCTCAAGTTCTCAAATGCAATTATCAAACAGCCTTTCTGAAAAAATTTGACCGGTCTATATGTTAGGTTCTTATCGCAATGCATATGAAAAAATGTTGTATCAGATGTTGGACACTAACCTAATAGGCAAAATGGTCGAGTACATATAATAAAAATTAACGGAAGTAATGAAACTAAGTTACACATCTATGAAAACGTTACCGTAAATCTTGAATAAAAGACCATGAAAGGGAAGGGAGTCCAGTCACTTTTTCATTCATCTGCAACGCGTTGTAAATCGATTGCTGAGGTTGCTGTCATTCGTCAGCAACCTCAAGTTGTCGACAACCTGAGGTTGTCGATTGAGGTTTCAGCCACTCGAAATCATTTGCAAGCGAGAAATGTGTTGCAAAATTTTTACCTAGTTTATCGCTAACCATTCTGGGAATTCATGCCACCGTAACTTGTGTAAGTAATCGTGTACAACACTTACAGTTCCTTTCATCGCTCCAGTCGATGCAATCGTTCAGGCTGTTGCACAGATACTCATTAGAGATGCAACGACCGGTGCTCTCGCACTTAAACTGTTCCGAGGAACACACACCTGCCACAAAAATGTGAATTCGTGACAAGATCAATGGGATTCTTAGTTCCAAAAATAATCATAAATTTCTCATGAATATTTGAGTTTTGTGACACGATTCAGATATGAAAAAAGTAAAGGCAGTTACCAAACCTCCTCCTGCATATGCTCACACTGAAATTATTTTTTACTGAAGCATGGGATCTGTATCGTACCTTCTGGTCAATTAAGTGCACATTTATTCACTTTTTTTTCGGATATAATGGTGCTATAACATTGGTTTGTAATCTAGAACAATCGTGTCACTAACAATGCCCTTCATCGCTCCAGTCGCTACAGTCGTTGTCGCCGTCGCATTCGTAGCGTCCTGTGATACATTTCCCGTTTGCACAGGAATATTGGTCGCTGCTGCACCCTACCGCTAAGAAGAGGGGATTAAGGAAATATGTTTAGTTACATTAATCCTTTTGCTTGTGTAACAATGTTTGAAGAGTTGGGGAACGATGCCAACTGAGCTGCGAACAACATGCTACGAAACCTCGGGTTCCTCTTTGACGTGGATTTACCACAGGAAAGTAATACTGCATTTTGATAAGTAACTCAAAAATGAATGAATTGCATTATTTAATGTATGAATTGAAGAAGATTATTCTCGCAACATGACACAAGTAGCTTTGGCACTGAATTTGACATAATTATCACATTTTACCCCGAAAGCCTATTAGCCAATACATTTTTATGAGAACTCTAACGCACTCGAGTTAGGTGATGATGAACCTGGGCAGTCGCGCTCGTCGCTGCCGTCGCCGCAGTCGTTATCGCCGTCGCACCGCCACGTTCGTCTGATGCAACGACTTGTTTCCTCGCACCTGAACTGTTCCGAAGTACATGTGCCTGTTGCGAGAAACGCTTGTTAAATTACAGGAAGATGGAAAAAATAGTCGTGCAGTTGTCTCACGTAAAAGATGCAACGAGAGTTCCTGACGGCGCATTTTTGGTCTAAATGCAGAATCAATATTAAAGTATTGCATTTACTGTCCTTAAACGCAGTTAGAGCTTTTATTGCCTGTCCTTACCCCAGCCCAATGCACAAGCCAATTCTGGCAGTGTCAAGTACCCAGGTTGGTACGCCAAGCACCCAGGATGATACAACAACCAACAAGCAGACGACAGAGGTATAGACTTAGCCACTCAACATCACATTCCACATCAAGCAGACAGACAAGCCACCTCTCCAGACATAACATTCTGGTTTCCAAACCTAGCCAACACAACTACATGGAGAACAGGAACAGACACAAGTGTGTGTGTGTGCTTTGTTGAAGGTGAAGAGATGACCTCACGCAGGCCGGCTGTCACACCTGGACATGGCATTAATTGCTGGCTTTCCAAATTTTCCAATTGCAGCCACAGTCAAATTTTCCTGCTTGTAGGAGGTGGCTGTTATAGACAAGATCAATGGGATTCTTAGTTCCAAAAATAATCATAAATTTCTCATGAATATTTGAGTTTTGTGACACGATTCAGATATGAAAAAAGTAAAGGCAGTTACCAAACCTCCTCCTGCATATGCTCACATTGAAATTATTTTTTACTGAAGCATGGGATCTGTATCGTACCTTCTGGTCAATTAAGTGCACATTTATTCACTTTTTTTTCGGATATAATGGTGCTATAACATTGGTTTGTAATCTAGAACAATCGTGTCACTAACAATGCCCTTCATCGCTCCAGTCGCTACAGTCGTTGTCGCCGTCGCATTCGTAGCGTCCTGTGATACATTTCCCGTTTGCACAGGAATATTGGTCGCTGCTGCACCCTACCGCTAAGAAGAGGGGATTAAGGAAATATGTTTAGTTACATTAATCCTTTTGCTTGTGTAACAATGTTTGAAGAGTTGGGGAACGATGCCAACTGAGCTGCGAACAACATGCTACGAAACCTCGGGTTCCTCTTTGACGTGGATTTACCACAGGAAAGTAATACTGCATTTTGATAAGTAACTCAAAAATGAATGAATTGCATTATTTAATGTATGAATTGAAGAAGATTATTCTCGCAACATGACACAAGTAGCTTTGGCACTGAATTTGACATAATTATCACATTTTACCCCGAAAGCCTATTAGCCAATACATTTTTATGAGAACTCTAACGCACTCGAGTTAGGTGATGATGAACCTGGGCAGTCGCGCTCGTCGCTGCCGTCGCCGCAGTCGTTATCGCCGTCGCACCGCCACGTTCGTCTGATGCAACGACTTGTTTCCTCGCACCTGAACTGTTCCGAAGTACATGTGCCTGTTGCGAGAAACGCTTGTTAAATTACAGGAAGATGGAAAAAATAGTCGTGCAGTTGTCTCACGTAAAAGATGCAACGAGAGTTCCTGACGGCGCATTTTTGGTCTAAATGCAGAATCAATATTAAAGTATTGCATTTACTGTCCTTAAACGCAGTTAGAGCTTTTATTGCCTGTCCTTACCCCAGCCCAATGCACAAGCCAATTCTGGCAGTGTCAAGTACCCAGGTTGGTACGCCAAGCACCCAGGATGATACAACAACCAACAAGCAGACGACAGAGGTATAGACTTAGCCACTCAACATCACATTCCACATCAAGCAGACAGACAAGCCACCTCTCCAGACATAACATTCTGGTTTCCAAACCTAGCCAACACAACTACATGGAGAACAGGAACAGACACAAGTGTGTGTGTGTGCTTTGTTGAAGGTGAAGAGATGACCTCACGCAGGCCGGCTGTCACACCTGGACATGGCATTAATTGCTGGCTTTCCAAATTTTCCAATTGCAGCCACAGTCAAATTTTCCTGCTTGTAGGAGGTGGCTGTTATTTCAGGATTTCCCTGGTATTATTTCCAGATAGATGGCAGTTGCTTGGGCTGCTGCTATAATTTTCATTGTTTGTCAGACACAAGTTCAGACAACTTACCACCATCGTTAAAACACAATCCAAAACCAACAAAACAACCACGCAAAACACACAACAACTTTAAACGCGCGAACTGGTAGAAATTAAAATGAAACAGAAGCACAATTAGAACACCTGAACCTCTTCCCAATCACAAAAATTTACCGCACTGTTGCCCAATTTAACACAATCAATAAGAGGCAGACAAGAAACACATACCAAGGAGCAACAGAAAATAACACAACCCTAACTTCTCACCTGAGATGGTCAGCCTCATCCATCAATGCAACAGTCTCAGACAAACATCCACCCCTCACTCCCCAATTACTACTCAAGAAATCCAAGAACTAAACGCACAAATTCAGAGCAAAATACACTGGACCACAAATCCAACACCATACAACTTTACAGAACAATCCGCAGCATACACAACTTAGAACAGCAAACAAAAACTCACCCCCGCTGCAATCACTACCAACACAGATAACATTCCCACCAGACAAGCACAAGCAAACATACTAATACAACACTACGCAAACATAAGTAGGTTACCCAAATACAAAAAGACAGACGCATCATCAGACGCAAACAGCAATTTCCGCTAGATCCAACAGCTATCCTAGCCACTACAGACGACACTAAAAGGATCATAAAACAAATTAAAAACTCTTCCGAAGCTGGGCCCGACAACATTACAGACATACACCTCATACACATTGGTCCACACAGAATCATGACACTTATAAACATTGCCAACTTCTACTCGCATTCCAAAATACCATACATCTGGAAAGTTGGCAAAATAATTACACTTCTCAAACCCAACAAATAGTCTGAGGCCGCTTGATACAGACCAACAAACTGAGGCCGCCACATACAGACCAATCACACTACTCTGTACATCATCAAAAGTCATAGAGCGCCTCATACTGAACTCAGCCACTCCGCACATTACACTTGATCCCAACACAACACGGATTCAGACCTCACCACTCAACCACAACACTACTCACAAACCTCACACAAAGCATAAAACGATGGCATCAACTCCCGCAAACCCGCACACAGAACACTACTCCATACAATAGACATCAGTAAAGCCTTTGATGTCATCCCTCGCCTCCCTTTCTCAACAAAATTTACAACACCCCACTACACAACAACAACAAACGCTGGCTTGCCAATTACCTATCAGGAAGACAAGCATACTTACACTACTCTGGCAAGTCATCATGCACATCACTCATACCTAACGTAATCCCACAGGGCTCCGTCCTATCACCCTCACTCTTCAATCTATACATGCACGACATACCCGAACCACCTCAAAATATCCACATTGCCTCCTACGCAGACGACGTTACAATAACATCCACTCACACATCCGAAAACATATGTATCTACAGGCACAATCATATCTCAACACTTTATCACAATGGCTTACACTGAACAGACCCAAGGTTGCTCTTCAAGCAAATTAATGACCAGCTACACAAAGGAGCACCAATACAGACCAAACATCACATTAAACAACACCCCGATCCCGCACGCACACGAAACAAAGAAATTAGAGGTCACTTACAACACCTCCACGACTTTAGCCCCTACATCAACAACATAGTGAACAACGCAAACATCAGACTCGACTCACTTCGGTCCCTAGGTGGTACCAAATTTGTTAAAGACAAAAAAACACTGGCACCCACATACAAGCAATTCATCAGAACAATGCTAGCATATGCCAGAACCACCTGGGCGCCCGCACTTTCCAGCACCAACTTACAGAAACTCAAAACATTACAAAACAAAGCACTCAAAATAATCACAGGTTGCACACAAAGCACTCAAATCGAACACCTTTACGCTGAAACAAAAATATTTCCCATAAAAGCACACTTCGACATGAGAGGAACACAGTTCATAGCTGCAGCCAGAAATAACACAGATCACAAATGCCACTACCTGCGCGACAACCCACCTACACACAGACAAATAGTGCAAACCCCAAATAGATACTACACCAGCATACCAAACACAGTACCCCCACCCCAAGACAACACCAGCACAAAAAAAAAAACACACACAATTATGACGCTGGAGCTGGCCGGCAACAAGTAAGCCCTTAGACACCCACCACCTGACATAAGCAGCACAGAAGCCCAGCTCTCTAGACCTGGCCAGGCTGCGCTGCGGCCACCACCCTTCACTACAAACATACGCAAACAGAATTGGTCAAACAGACTCAGACACCTTTCCACCCTGCCAGAGAGCTCCCCACTCAATTACGCATTTTCTCCTGGAATGTCCGCTCTGGCAGGATCTCAGACAACACCACCACATAAACTCGGCCCTACAGCTCTGGAGCGGCCTCTTGTCGTTGGTATCGTACTTGCGCGAGGGAGGTCTCTTCTAAAAAGTGAGACCGGGGAACCACAACAAAAACCAAAACTCTGGCAAGGAGCACGAGGTTTTGAGCAGAAAATAGTTATGGAGGGTCAGCGAGCCAGTGATGGTCGTGGAACTACCAGTGGCATTTGTGCCCGGAAAAACTGACCTATCATCCCCTCCCTTACCTAGTCGCTACTACAAGGATGGGCAATTACAACACCAACAGGTTTTGTGCAGCATATTTCTCGCGGGTTCAGTGGTTGCTTCAAGTTCTCAAATGCAAAGCGACTCTCAAATATCAAACAGTCTATTCTGAAAACAATTTGCACGGTCTACTACATAAGGTTCTCATCGCAATATATATGAAAAAATGTTTTATAAGATGTTGGACGCTTACCCAATAAGCAAAATGGTCGAGTACATATAATAAAAATTAACGGAAGTAATGAAACTAAAGTATGCATCTATGAAAACGTTACCGCAAATCTTGAATAAAATAGCATGAAAGAGACGGGAGTCCAGTCACTTTTTCAATCATCTACAACGCGTTGTATATCGATTGCTGAGGTTGCGTTCATTCGTCAGCAAACTCAAGTTGTCGACAACCTGAGGTTGTCGATTGAGGTTGCTGCCACTCGAAATAATTTGCAAGCGAAAAATGTGTTGCAAAATCTTTACCTAGTTTATCGCTTACCATTCCGGGAATTCATGTTACCATAACTTGCGTAAGTAATCGTGTACAACACTTACAGTTCCTTTCATCGCTCCAGTCGATGCAATCGTTTAGGCTGTTGCACCGATACTCATTAGAGATGCAACGACCGGTGCTCTCGCACTTAAACTGTTCCGAGGAACACACACCTGCCACAAAAATGTGAATTCGTGACAAGATCAAGGGGATTCTTAGTTCCAAAAAACAGTCATAAATTTACTATTTACTTTACAAGGAGCCTCTCTGTGAGCAACATATTTGATTTGAGGATTTCCATAACTATCGTTTATTCCGCTATTTATTTGATTGTCTCTCCAGGAATTTAGAGTGCAGTTGATAACATAGATGCTTGTAAAGAACTACATGTGAAAGTCAATACCAACTGTCATTGCAGCAGCCGACGATGGATGCAGAAAGATCCTCGCTTGCTATGAACTGTGAACAACTGAAAGCTGCAATCAAGTTAGTGCCGTATCTAGATTTTGTTAAGATTAACATGTGCTACTCTGTTCTATTGTGTGATCTTTTGTCAATAAACGCAGAAATTCGAGGCCATTGCAGAACTGTTTGCTCTATAGAAATTTAATGTGACGAAAGTTACATGAAATGAAACGGAAAATAATTCGATTATTTTAAACACAACGTTGTTCATTCAGTAGGATATATGGATTTAATAGGAGAAATTGGCTTGACTTGCATTACCTCGAATCAGGGATACCTTTCGATGTATCGATTGAATTTTTTTATTTGCGATTATTGCCCTCATTTCTAACCAAGCCATGTCATAATAGTTACTAGCTGTAAACGTCTTTGCATGAAATTGAGCCTCTGGTAGACTGCTCTGATCTTAAAACTGAGCGAGTAGTGCAATATAGACTGCATATATATATAACTTACAGAGATTGAAATGCCCCATCCCTTCCCCCCATAAGGGGGGGGAAGGGAGGGGGCATTTTTTTAAAGCATATTTCATATTCGGCCGTGTCTGTCCCGAACGTATCAGGTACCAAATACGCGCGCCCCACGATCGCCCCAAGCTCGAAGAGCAGTTTCACAAGATTCCATTTCGGTGCTTATTTCGCTACGGCAACCGGAACCTAAAGCGGACATAGAGCTTCTATAATTTACCCTGTCATAAGAACTTGGGGCGTCCGTGTGCCAGCGGCTGACAGGTCTTCGAATTTCGATAGGGTATATATGAAAATGTTTCCGTAAAGCTTGAATAAAATAGCACGAAAGGGACGGGAGTCCTGGCATTTTTTCAATCATCTACAACGCGCTGTAAATCGATTGCTGAGATTTCTGTCATTCGACAGCAACCTCAAGTTGTCGACAACCTGCGGTTGTCGATTGAGGTTGCAGCCACTCGAAATCATTTGCAAGCGAGAAATGTGTTGCAAAATCTTTACCTAGTTTATCGCTAACCATTCCGATAATTCATGCTACCGTAACATGTGTAAGTAATCGTGTACAACACTTACAGTTACTTTCATCGCTCCAGTCGATGCAATCGTTTAGGCTGTTGCACCGAGACTCATTAGAGATGCAACGACCGGTGCTCTCGCACTTAAACTGTTCCGAGGAACACAAACCTGCCACAAAAATGTGAATTCTTGATAAGGTCAATGGGATTCTTAGTTTCAAAAGCTGCCGTGAATATCTCTTGAATATTTTATTTCGTGACAGGATTCCAAAATAAAATAGCAACTAATTTTATAGGCAGTTTCCAAACCAACTCCTGCATATTATCATAGTGAAATGTTTTTTACTATATTATGCGGTCAGGTCAATTAAGTGCACATTTATTCATTTTTACCGAATTTAATGGTGCTATAACATAGGTTTGTAATCTAGAACAATCGTGTTACTCACAGTGCCGTTCATCGCTCCAGTCGCTACAGTCGTTGTCGCCGTCGCATTCGAAGCGTCCTGTGATACATTTCCCGTTTGCACAGGAATATTGGTCGCTGCTGCACCCTACCGCTAATAAGAGGGATTAAGGAAACATGTTCAGTTACATTAATACTTATGCTAATGCAAATTTTTGACGAGTTGGGGAACGATGCCAAATAAACTGCGAACAGTATGCTCCAAAATCTCTCACAGTAAAAAGATGATTAACCCAAAGCTGAATAAATTGCATTTTATAATGTATTAATTCAATAATATTGTTCGCACTTGATTACTATTATTCTCACGCAGTTTTAGCGTTGTCACATAATTTGACATAATTATCATACCTAGCCCTGAAGGCCTCTAGCCTACTAATTTCAATGAGAACTCTAACGTACTCGAGTTGGATAACGATGAGCCAGAACAGTCGCGCTCGTCGCTGCTGTCGCCGCAGTCGTTATCGCCGTCGCATCGCCAAGTCCCTCTGATGCAACGGCCGGTGTTCTCGCACTTGAACTGTTCCGAAGAACACTCGCCTGTCACGATAAATATTAAAAACGTGACGGAAACAAGAGTGTTCTTAATTTCGAAACAGTAGCAGTAATTCTATCAAATGAATAGGGTGTCGTGACTGGATGCTGATTTGGGAACACAAAACAAGTGTCATCAACCTTTTTCAGCCTTCCTCCAGCATATTCTTACTTCCCAAATTTTTTTTATGTTTCATGACCCATGCTGGCCATGCATCGTACCATTTGGTCAATTAAGTGTGCCGTTATTCATTAATTTCCGATGTAATGCTGCTCTACTCTGAGGTTTTAATCTTATACTTTCATGGCACTCACAATGACGCTCGTCGCTCCAGTCGGAGCAATCGTTGTCGCCGTCGCATTCGTAGCGTCCTGTGATGCAGTTGCCATTTGCGCAGGAATATTGGCCGCTGCTGCAGCCTACATCACATTTAACGAAATGATAAAAATTCAAGACTGGTTGAATTGGCACTGTTGGTCTAAGATTCGCACTCATATAATAATCCTTAAGAGTAAAAAAGAGAAGCCAATTACAACGTGAAAAACGCAACATGAAATTTATAGCGCAAGATATAAGCGGTAAAGTGCTTCGAAGGTAAAAAATTGAAGAGACTTCCTTATGATTGCAAACAGAAAGCATGGATCGATGCACCTAGATAGGGCAAAGAATTCATTCAGTTAATTCAGAAATCATTGATCGATATACACTGAATAAAAGCCGTAGACATGGAATTCAAAAGGACATATTTCCCTTTCAAGTATTTCAGATCGAATTTCATTTTCTCGTTCGCTGTTTCATTTGATGTTCATAGAACGTACTCGAGTTGGATGACGATGAGACAGAACAGTCGCGCTCGTCGCTGCTGTCGCCGCAGTCGTTATCGCCGTCACATCGCCACGCCCCTCTGATGCAACGGCCGGTGTTCTCGCACTTGAACTGTTCCGAGGAACACGCGCCTAACACACAACTTATCATTAAAATAACGAGTCTAAAAGAGTTACTAATTAAAAAACAGAACAATGTTTAGCATATTACACTTGAAGGATTTTGTTTTATTATTGAATTAAGGTTACAAAAAAAATGTTACGGACATTTTCCAACTTCTGCATTTGCTGACATCGGAACTGTTTCATACCTTCTTCAAGACCACGCTATTGAAAAACTATTTATTCGTGCAACGCTATTTATTGTTTAGAATAAAATATTACCATAATATGTGGTGTAAATATTGCACATTCCCAACACTCACAGTGCCGTTCATCGCTCCAGTCATTACAATCGTTGTCGCCGTCGCATTCGTAGCTTCCTCTGATGCATCTCCCGTTTGCACAGGAATATTGGTCGTTGCTGCAGTCTGAATTATTAAACGGAGGAGTTAACAATTCATTGAATTATCTTTATATTAGTTATCTTGAAATTTGATAAAAAAAATATCAACATGTCATTTAAAAAAATAGATTTATAAAACGATGAAAATTTCTAAAAAACAGTGAATAAAAATAGTATGGTAGCTGATATTATGGTTTTAATTTGATTTAAAAACTTGATCATCGAAAAGAGAAAGGGGACAGTCAGTAAGTGAGGAGCTCTCACGGACGGTTGCGACCGAGTGAATGATATAACAATCGTTAGAAGAGGACAGGCAGCAAGCCGTAGAAGTTGTTAAAGTGTGATTGATACGTTATGAAAGCATCTAAAAAATGTTCAATACGTTTTCAATTATCGGTTATATTTTTTGAAAACTGAATATATGTTGGAAGAGAAGACCCGCAACCAGAGTGCAAGTCTAAATCAAACTGTTAAAATGTCTTATAACGGTTCTAGTTACTCCTCTAACATGAACCAATTTGCGACAGGTAAGCCATACCAGACCCAAATAGGAACATATCAAATTCAGTTTAACATGAAGGAGAGATATCAGCCAGCACTGATATCTTCTTTCTTTCCGATCCGTGTTAGGAACATTTCAAGAAGCAAAATTTACCATTATTCTCCTATTCGTGGCTCTCGTTTTTGCGAATAAAAATCGCATTTAAACCAAGTAATGCTGCTTAGTTAGACCAATACCTAAGAATCACCTGCAGAAGCTGAGTTAATCATTAGGTCATCATTTGCATCTTAACTCTTTCTAATTTGTTAAAGCCTATATATGTGATTCTCCCATCATATCGAATGCAGCCCAACGACTGCTGACCAGGAAAGTTGGTCTCACTTCCTTCAGGAGATCCACTGCAGTTGCGCTCATCACTCATGTCACCGCAGTCGTTGTCGCCATCGCATCGGAAACGTTCAGGCACACATCTCGCGTTGTCGCATTTCATGTAGTTATCTTTGCATGAACCTGTGTGCATAATATTCTCCTTCGTTAGCAATTCATTCATTCAGACCTGCAAAATTTCGATGAACAGGGGTCCAATACGCTCCAAAAATGGTACATTTGATAAAGTTTCGTTAGGTTCATATAAAGTTTGATAAATGTCTCAGATGATATAATTCAACAGAGGATATAATTCACGACACAACATACGTGAGGACATAGAAACGTAACGGGTTAGGCCTTGATAATTTAGGGTTATTTATTTCGTTTCTGTGCTTCACTCCCTCTGTGAAATTGTCTTCCGTCTTCTTGCAATTTTATTACCACAAAAGATACTGATTATTCAGTTACAGAGTGAATTTTGAAACGTTAGTGTATTTGATCAGATGACGCAAGATATTCAAAATTCAGAGTTATCCGACAATCTTTTCATATTTATCAATTATTTTTCTATAATTATGAAATGCGATTGTATAAACTGTGTCATACACGAACAAAGAGTACAAAAATGTAGGATCTACCAGCAGGATTGGAAGTGAATAATGATATGTGGAATTGTGCATCGCTAGAACAGAGAAAGTTATAAAATTAGATCGATTTAATTGAGGCAATTGTGCAATTTATTGCAAATTATTCAGTGAGTAAAAGCCTTAGTTATCTTGAAAAGTCCTATTTACAGGAGAAGGTCTTAATTATTCAATGGTTCTAATGCCAAAACTTACATTCACTTTCATCAGATCCATCACGACAGTCAACAGTCTCATCACAGACTTGCAGTGTGGTGATGCAGGTGGAATCGTTCCGGCACAAGAAGCCCTGGCAAAGCTCTGATGAAACACAAAAATAGACAACATTTTCACAATTAGATATGACTCGATGTTTTGAAGAAGATTTATTTTAAATTGCTTAATTCAATTAAATTGCTTAATTGCTCAAAATCTTAATTCAATATTTTCGGTCACAATAAATACAGGCCTTGTTTGAGCGTTGATTACAGTTGTTACCGAAATCTCGAGTACCAGCTTTCTTCACCACAGTGTACGTACGTCATCACTATGATCATGATAATTCTTAACAATAAATACCTTGGGTACAATCTCGCTCATCACTGGCGTCATAGCAGTCAGGGCCTCCATCACACCGGAGGATGGCAGGCAGACATTCCCTGCCGTTGAGGCACGCGAACTGAGAGTCGGGGCACTGTCCTGCAGTTCCAGTGACATCTTAGTGACATGTTTCAAGTGGCATGATCTACCTATAGTGACATGTTTCAAGTGGCATGATCTTCCTATAGTGACATGTTTCAAGTGGCATGATCTTCCTATAGTGACATGTTTCAAGTGGCATGATNTGGTTTCATCAGCTTTATTTCGGCACTCAGCCAGGCCGTCACAGCGATGGTCCAGAGGAACGCAGCCAACGCCGCCACAGTCGAACTCATCCTCGGCACACTCGCCTGCAGATTATGACAACCTGGTCAGCTGACTTGTAAAGAGCGATTTCACTCTAGCAGTTTGGAGGAATTTATATTCATATTGTTTCCAATTTAAAATGCTATCTTAAGTTATTCTATAAAATACATCTAAGACAGGTTTATCATTAGGTAATATCTACTAGACAAGTTTATCATTAGGTATTTCTCAAAGGTGAAATTTCGTCACATTAAAAATTTACTTCATAAATGAACTGAATCAAATACTGAGTACGTATTTGCTTCACTTTTTATGTTTCCTGAATTTCTTCATATATAGATTTACTCTTAATAAGAATAAATTGAAGCTCAATAATTATTTTTACACAAGGATATTCCCTTTCACATGAGGAGAAATTTTCAATTCAAATTAAATGATAAAAGTGCAAATGATAACTTGCGCTGACGTGCAGCGTCAAGTCCTTAGTAAAGGTTTCCAGTTGGGATAACACGAAAATTTATCCATCAGACGAACTCGATTTTAAATTGTGCAAGAAATTGCATATATTTAGTTTCTAATTAATTTAAAAACAATGACATCAGCATCGACGAACAACTCAAAAGACTCTTCATTTAAAATAATTTATCAATTACATTATTCATTTGGGACGCATTCATTTACTATGATCCGAGATATTATTGAAAGTTGAATGGCGATTCCCGTATTGTTTAATTACTTCCGTTTGTGATTGAAGAATTCCCAGTGAAAAAAAAAAGAATTGGACACCAAAAATGTGGAATATCATGGGAAACCTAAGCCTAAAGTTGAAATGATTTGATGATATAAGCAGTAAAGAGAAATAAAGTGGCAGAATATATACGAAAATATGAAATACCAAGCATACTATATGCAACAAAGAGAACGAGCAAGCATTGCATGAGCCAAACAAAAAGAAATGTCATTCATAATATAGAAAAAATATAACTCAGTACTCACAGCAGCATGAGTGACAGAGAGCGTATTTGCTCGTCGACGAAAACTTGAGGTCACGGACGGACGGACAGACGGACAGACGGACGGACGGACAGACAGACGGACATGGCGAGCACAATAGTGCATTTTTTCCATAAATGAGAAAATGCGCTAAAAAGGAAGCAATGCCATGCAAAACATAAGTTTAAAGTAAAAATGGCAATCATTTAAAGGCTAAAACATAAAGACTATGCATAATATTTGCTAGAAAAAGACGTGGTATTTAAAACACTTGGAAGTTTCACGTCTCAGAAAACATGCAATGATATTTCCAGTTTTTTTCTTGCACTAAGAATTACTTTTATTAAGACTAGTGAGATTCATGTCTGTTTATAGCAGACACCAATAGACTCTGCATGTATTGGTATTATTAAGACTAGTGAGATTCATGTCGGTTTATAGCAGACACCAATAAACTCTGCATGTATTGGTATTATTAAGACTAGTGAGATTCATGTCTGTTTATAGCAGACACCAATAGACTCTGCATGTATTGGTATTATTAAGACTAGTGAGATTCATGTCGGTTNTTTGATGGTCAATATAAATGCTGGTTTCCTCACTGTAGTTCTCGCACTCGAGCTCGTCTTCTCCGTCGTCGCAGTCGCTGTCGCCGTCGCAGCGGAAGTTCACGGGCACGCAGCGGCGGCCGCCGCACAGGAAACCAGCGGTGCAAGTGCCTGCAGGGTTCCGAGAATGAAATTAGAACTAATCTTCATATTTGATTAAAACTTGGATCCGGGTCATTACAATTCGGTATCAGCACGCTGTCGTGGGAAATATACAAATGCAAAACCTATTTTATTCAAAATTTAAGCATTAATTGAATTCGTTTGGTTAGACCATTGAATGAGAACAACGGAGAAAACTAATACCAATGTACCAATTTTAATGTTACATATAAAAAAATGTGTTTCAAAGTGTCAATTATCCATATCCTACCTGGAACTAATCTTGCTCTATCGAATAAAAAACTGACTTCTGGAATTTTTAACGTGACACATCTATTGAAGTCCCTCCCTGAATAACTCAGCGCCTGCACACAGCAGGTGCAGGCACTCCCTAACTCAGCAGCTGCACAGCAGGTGCAGTATCACTCAGCAGCTGCACAACAGGTGCAGTAACACTCAGCAGCTGCACAGCAGGTGCAGTTCCACTCAGCAGCTGCACAGCAGGTGCAGTACCACTCAGCAGCTGCACAGCAGGTGTAGTACCACGCAACAGCTGCATCTCACCCTCAGGACAGTCGCGCTCGTCGCTGTCGTCGCCACAATCGTTGTCGCCGTCGCACCGCTGCTCCTGTGGCACGCAGAGGCCGCTCCCGCACGTGAAATCTACGCCGCACGAACCTAAACAAAGAATTTTTAAAAATTATTGTTTTGAATACTAAAGGCATACTTACTAATACTAAAGGTATTAAGAATTGTTTTAAATGAGCGGCAGTTTCTATTCACTTATAAGAAATTTGAATTAATCCATGTAATCAGGATCTCTAAAATTGAAATGTCTTGATTTTCGTTTTACTGTCGAAGAAAATTTAGTTTTGATGTAGGTTTTCGAAGTACGAAGGAGTTTTTAAGAAGAAATAAGTGTTATACAATACAAATAAAATTATTTGTTATACAAATGAAAAAATGTTAAAAATTTAGGAGTTTCAGTTCATTTTTTGGTACCAGACAATCAGTGAAACATTTACATAGTTTGACCTCAGGACAGTCGCGCTCGTCGCTGCCGTCGCCACAGTCGTTGTCGCCGTCGCACCGCTGCTCCTGTGGCACGCAGAGGCCGCTCCCGCACGTGAAATCTGCGCCGCACGAACCTAACAAACAATTTTTACGTATAAAACTAAGGTAATACAAATTGTTTAAAATAAGCGGCAGTTTCAATTCACTTACAAGAAATTTGAATTAATCTGTGGAATCAGGATCTCTAAAAATAAATGACTAATTTTCGTTTTACTGTTGCAAAAAAATTAGTGTTGTTGTGGGTGTTCGAAGTTACGGAGGAATTTTTAAGAAGTTATTATTATAGTATATTAATTGTTATACAAATGAAAAACAGATATTAATAAGTTAAGAGTTTGTTAAAATTTATTGTCTATTTAATTTGTTAACGTTTATACGCTTATCGTTTGTCTCGTGTTAAGAGGCAAAGTCGACTCTCGTTAGCTCTATCATTATGATCAGGGGAACAGGAGGGATATGTAATGATCAGCATGGGGGTCCCGAATTTGACTGATTTTCGAATTTAAGAGGAAAATTTCATATATTTGTACTATGAATGAAAATTTCATTACTCCCCAACTCTCACCGGAAGTTGCGGAAGGCTCAGAGCTTGCGACGGCTGCGCAGAGCCAAGCCAGCAACAGCAGCTGCGGCCACCAGTTCAAACGAATGCGCTTCTGCTGCATTCAAGGGAGGCTATAAAATCTACTTTACAAAACGAATAATCTAATAAGTATTACATTTTTATTTGACAATTATTTTGAGAACAGTGAGGTAGCTGGACTGATTTGTTGCAATCGATCACAATTTTTTCAAATTTGATTAGAAAAAGACAAGAATATAACCTAAGAAATCCTAATGTTTGAAGCATCACATATTTATAAGAGAACACTAATACAAAATTTCGGATTCAACGAAAATGTGCGCCCCCAATATACTTTATTCCGAAAATGGTGTGCAACGCATTAAAATCTCGTGATCTGCTACGCATCAAAAGGAATTTAGTCATGCAACGAAGAATTTCAGTTGATTTGCGTCAACCAGCGTCATTCATGCGCATAGGGCCATAAGCTAAAATTTAATTAGAATTTTATACTAATCCTAGTCAGTACAACCTATTGTCCCGGTGCAAGGTACATTTAGATTGAAATTAAAGTTTATAGTAAGCCAAACGTCTTCCAATGTTTACGACAAAAATGATTTTTGATCAGTGCTCTGCAAAAATCGATATTGCAACAAAATCAGTACAGTAAAAAAAATTTGGTGTTGAAAAAAAATTTGGCCCACTGTGCACTGACCGTCATAGTTGTGCAGCTGGTCCTCAGCTGGAGAAGATGTCCCCCGGCTTCGACACGTATTTTTTAGTTGAGAAAAAAATATTCTTTTCCGAAACCTGGAACCAGAAAATGAGCAAAATCAATGGTGGCTTGAAATTTTAGATGAAAAATGTCACATTTGTTTATGGAAACTGTTGGGTGACTAGAAAGATTATTATATATCGAAAAAAGTGATGAAGTGCAATATAAACATAATCAAATAGTTATCTCGACGAAAAAATAACACATTGCTTATTTTCGTGCCCATCTTCTGCCAGTTAAGTGCCTCTGAGATGGGATGGAAATCCTTGAAGAAAAATATTGTGTTTTGACTGAGATGGAGAACAGATTTCAGATGTTAGAAAAGAGTTGATTTTGCTGCACAGCGGGCATTAAAAGTAATCCAATTCGAACATTTATGGTAAGAAAATTTTGTTCAGCAATTAGATTTTTACAATTTAATCATTAAAATATTCATACGAAGAGGCGAAATCAACTGAACCCTCTTTCTCCAGCGGTCTTACCTAAATGCTCGAAGTAGATTTTAATATTTTTTTTGGCATATAATTTGCGTGGTCATGAATATATTTAATATTTTCAATATATCTATAAATTGGCATTGGTTATATACGCTATAGATATACGATGCGCACTCCACAGGTATATGATGCGGTGCGCGCGCTCTATAGACGAAAGTATCGAACTTAGCTTTATAAAGATTGCTGCGAATGCCATTTTTCAACATTCGTCAATCGAACCTCGCCAGTATTCTTCGCTATTACCTTCCTCAAAGCTCTGATCGTTGATTTATTCTCTACAAAACATTCCAACACAGTCTGATTAATTGACTTCAGAAAATATCGATTATGTCTTCAAAATTTGCTAAATGAACGAATTCCACAGTGACAGTCAATCAGTCGCAAAAAGTGTATGTTTAATTCTATTAAAAAATCTTGAGTATAATGTATGCAATTCAGATTCTATTAAAGACATTCGAAAAATATAACTTAAAGTGAAAGATAATAATCTAAGACGAAATAAAATTTTATGCACACTGTGGGAAATTGATAATTTTTGTTACGTAGAACCTGGCTTCTTAGTTGCAATATTTGCATTCTAAAATCGAAAATAAAGCAAACAGAGAAATTAATAACATAAATTTTCACCTCGTTAAGAATAGTTTTAAAGACAATGGCAGATTTGTATCAGAATTTATAAAAAGCGAGGTAAATATTCAACAAAATCTACTATGAAGAGATTGCACGTTTAATTTTACATAAATACATTATACATAAATATTTTAATTTGTTTTTATTACATTCCGGAAACTGGAAACTAGCTAAAACCATATACTCGAAAATATAGTTTATATGGCTAGTTTTGCAACTCGAAACTAAACCAGACTAGGTTAACAAACTAACAATGTACTAGAAACTAGCAAAAAAATCCTGAATGTGAATCGAAATATTTTCAAATTTGCAACATGCCTACAATTCCTGATGCAATTCAGTTAACGCTCTAAGTTAAGGTGTTAAGACATCCTTAATTAACCGAATATACATGAGGTAACTTTGCCAATTAAAAAAAACATTACCAACAAAATGTTTACAATACCTTGGCCACAGTTAGGGAGACCGAAATGCAATGATGGCTCTCTGTGAGCCACCTGCCTGATATTGCAACTGCTGCAACCGCTGCTGCCGTGACTGATAATTGCTGCTGGCGATAATTGCCTGAGTTACCCCGAAATTTTTTCTATGATAAGGACTTGCGCTGGCAATAACCATCTCAAGCTTCATTAGGCTCCAGTTATCTGGCGAGGCGCTTAACTAAATGTCAACCCATGTCATTAGCATAAAGGGTAGAATTGTAAAATATTTACATCACAGGAGTGCAATTGTAACATTAAATGCTAAATCCTTTCTAATCGAAAATTGTAACTATTGACATTATACAATTTTATTTACATAAAACGTAAAATGGCTTGAAGACAATTCGGATTTTCTATAATTTTTTTCAGCTACTGCTCAAAAATATTCAGGTTTTCTATGGTTCATCCCCGTGAGCAGGTTTGATATGTTCGGTCGACCAAAATAATTTTTTAAGTTGGGGTACGCAGCCATGACACGGGAGGTTCAAGTTAACCAGATGTCGCGGGAAGACAAAGTAAATTAATATTATAAATTGGTGACATTAATAACAGACTATCCATATGAGTGAAATCTTCAAAAATGGTACATATTCTTTGATATTTCCGAGTGGGTACAATTAGTATACGTAGCGGCTTAGGTGAACGTAACGGCCTAAGCACACTTGGCGACCTTAGTATGCGTAGCGGCCTTAATTGGTGCACGTAACGGCCTATATATGGCAAGGCGGAGATTTTGACATCCCCTGTGGATGCAACACGATTCGAAAGAGCCAGTTAGTTTGTGGGTAGGAAATAACAGGGAGAAATTATGAAAAATATAATAGCTATTGTTTTATTGACATTTAACAGCAGTTCAAAAGTATTTGTCTTTGTTTTAGAAATACGTCAATTCCCCTTTTACAGTGTAAGAGACCTGAAATAGCAGAGAAAGAAAGACATAATTATATAATGAATTGTCCTTGCTAATTTATTATGGATTCTGTCTTTTATAGGAAAAAACGCGATATTTTATTGGCGAATAATACGTATTCGATGAGTTGCAATTCCTGGGTTTGGCAGGATTTCAATTTTTGTAATTCGAATTATGACAATTGAGATAGTCGGGAAGAAATTTTGTCTAGAATTAGGCTCAACTTCCTGTACAGCTGTATAAACTTAACAAAGAAAAAAATAATGGCATGTCATGAAAATGGCAATAAAACAAACAACAAAATAAAATGGAGTATTGAAAAATGACATGAATATTACAACAGCAGCTTGGTTGCAGAGTTTTTGATATTTTGAAATTCGTACTGTTTGCGGACACAACTAAAGCAAGCCTTGATCTTACTTTATTTAATCCACCGTTAATGTTATTATTTAACTGTTAATAGTCATTTAAAGGCACATGGAGGTTCAAGCTAATTAATGACACGGGAGGTTCAAGTTAATGACCGCGAGAAAATATTAATTTCTCGCGGCGATCAAAATTTCAATTACGATGCTAACTTTTCCGTGTTGTGAAGTTGATTTACGTTGTGAAGTTAACTAAGTCTTTTTCATGCACTTACAGAGAATTGAAAGTTAGAATAAATGTGTTTAAATCCATAAATGAACCTTATATAATTGCATTATAAATCTAACCTTTGCCCTTCTTAGTCAACCCAGCGAAGCTCATTAGGAGCTTCAGGCGCCCCCCGCAAGTCGAGATGTGGAGCGGCAAGTGATTAGCTGACAGTGATAATAAACAACAAAGAGTGAACATAATTAAGCTCTGCGCAGGAGTGAAAACTATCTAATATTTGAATGCATGAAACTAAATTTTAAAATCTTAAAACTATTTTATGCATTTAAAGTTTTCTGTAGTTTTTGATGAATAGCAGAGGAAATGGGGATCATTTAATTAAAAATTTAAACATGAAACTGCATACCACAATCTTGAAAGTAACTTTGCATATGTATTAAAACCTTTCCACATGACCGCAAACAACATCCGAAATTTTATTCTGCTTAAAACACGAAAATAACAAATGCAAATTCCAAGAACTACTCAAATACTAATGTATTAACCAATTAGAATGGTGAAAGATATAAGATATTGAAGTTATCACATGTGAACATCGTTAATTAAAGAAGAAACTTCTTATTATCATTAATTAATGATTGATAAAAATAATTTCTCTAATAATAAATAATTAGAATAACAATTCGAATGATAACATATAATTATTTCCAATTCTGAATTCTATTAATTCTATACCTACATTTATAGGGATATTTAAATAACGTGTTGTAGTCGGATCGCTCGTTCTAGTTTGGTTCAGTAAAATGTAGAATCAGGAATAGATAAACAGCCTATATTTCAATACAGTGAGTTACAGTACAACATAACCGGGACGGTTATGTTGTTGCATTTATTAAATTATGTATGCATTGTCTCCGTCTTTACGTGAGTGCGCAAAATTTAGAATTGATTCGACAGGTAGAAGTGTGTAAAAGATCGGTTATAAGATTTGCAGCAGAAAAAATTATTTTTTCAATTTTTAATATAAATTTTTTACATTTTTAAGATTATTTATTCTGTCAATTGATTCATGCATTGTCTCCAACTTTACGCAAGTGCATAAAATTTCAGATCGATTGGAGAAGTAGAGTTGTGTTAAATATCGATTATAAGATTTGTAGCAGACAAATAAACAAATAAACAAACAAGAAGTGAAGTTAAAGAGAAGTCTTGTAATAATAAAAATTGTGAATATATGTTAGAAATGCCTTTACAACATCAAAAAATATATTGTGTGTAAATATTTTTATATATAATAGCGTAAATATTTTTATTATTTACTAAGTTAAGAATTTACTTTGGCTGCTGTTAAGAAAGCTTAGAGCGCAAATGTTCGCGCCTGCCTGATATGGCAGCTGCTGCATTCGCTGCTGCACAAACTGATAACTGCTGCATGGATGCTCATGCGCGGTTGCCCCCAAAAAATTAACTTCTAAAGGGCCAGATTCATATTCATTTTCGTACAGAACTCAATATTGGCCTTTATTATTTCGGAATCGCCTATTCAGAACCATTTTCATTTTGATACTCAAATATTCCGTCGACTAATTTTTCGAGATCAATCGAATATGCTATGCAGCCTGTCAAGTATTGTAAATATAAGTTAGCCAAAATGTCCTTAGTTACAATTAAACCAAATATAAGTCAGTGTTTACAGTTCTATATCATACCAGCAATGCTCATTAGCAGCTTTAACTTGACCCGTTGGAGACGAGTGACAAGCAATGATAGTGACCAACTCAAACTGAGTACAAATGTTTATATTTGGAACATTATTGAAAAAATAACTGATGTCCCGTGTATGTTACAAAGCTTTCTTTCCTATAGTTTTATCATGACAACAATGCGTTTATTCAAATTCTCGTTTTTTCCCGTTTCTTTGAATATATTTTTGATATAATTAGATAATAATAATTCAGGTGACAAACTAATATGATTTTTGGGCTAAAATGTGGACGTTCAGCTAATCTGGTCTCGTAAAGTATGTAAGTATTCGTTTTTATATCTACTGTTCTATGCACAACTGAAGTGATGAATGTGATGAAGATAATTCAGTTATAATAAACATTTAAACAATAAATAATAAAAGTCGGAAAATTTGAAGTTTTTGAACATATCCACAAAATTTACAGATAAATCTACTAGTTTTCACCATTGTTGCGGTTAATCCTTCACTATTCCAGAGACAATATTTCAATATTATTGCATCATAAATTTTTGACAAAAAATGTCGACTTTCCTAATTCATCAATGATACAATGACTGCTAGCTAAGTTGTCATACTTCAAAATCTTACGTTCACTAGCCATGAATTTACTTACAGTGAAAATTTGGTCTAGAGCGGTAAACTTTAGATTTCGCGTGATGAACAAATCTATTTTTTGCTGAACAAAGAAGCTCTTCAACTTTATTAAATTGTGTGATTTTAACTGAGAAGAGAGGAAGAGGACTCGCCTTGTTGATGATATCCTTCAAATTTCTACCTTATTCCCAAACTATATGTCAGAAAGATTTCCTACCATCACAAACTCCTACATTAGTTTTAAGTAACTTTATGTTCTTTCCAAAGGAACTTATTTTTCTTAGAGTTATTTGCTTTAATTATCTCAAAGTCCTTTAAAGCTTTTAGATCAAATAAACTTCTACTTAGCTACGCATTCATTACGATACAAACAAATGCACGGATTCTTCTTGCATTTATCTTGCATTTAAAAAGCTTATTTGACAAACTTGTTTATTGAGCTCATTTCTGACTCTGACTTCCGAGTCATATTCCCGCGCATCTGGTCCATTTTCCTGGTTTCATAAAACATTTTGCCCCACGAAATAATTTGTATAGAGTTTTATAAAAGACGCTGTATTTGTTTTAATTTTTGTGATCTCCTCTCTTATGATCGCTCAATTGTGTTTTTTCTTTTGGCTGTTTCATTTTCTTTCGATGAATCTGAGGCTCTTTACACACCATGCGTCTTTTTATACACAATGATATTTATATGCATTATTGAAGATAGGTTAAAAAGTACGCAATTCAAGCAAATTTGTCTGTATAGAAGTAACTTATTGAACGTGTATGCTTACTTGCTAAAAATAAAGATGTATTGATATATGCCAAAAAGAAATTCAATGAAATGAATAATACTCTGCATAAAAAAATGTTTTGATGCCGTCTTCTGCAGATTATGATAGTTAGCGGATATTTATTATGCGAGTACCTAATTAATTTGGCTCCTGAAATTTCATTGAAAAAATTGAAGAATTCAGTTGATAATTTAACGGACAATGCTGAATGCTTGGAATGATTTATTCCATTACAGTAACTGCCGATGAAACATAGATCTGAATTCAATCGGTTTTACTCTGAGATCCTTTCAAGATGCTGGGAGCAATAAGAATCAATGACCGCCATTAGCTGCATCGGCAGCTAAATGAGCTTATTTGGAACTCAAAAACCTTCAACTTCTTGATTATAGTTGTACAATTTAAGTGAAAGTATAAATAAGTAAATTGAAGATAATTTTACAGTGATGAAAGTTTTATGATATCACTGTATAGAAGCATGTGTAGTGGTATCAGGTATGTAGGAGTTACATTTTATTTGCATTGCATGTTGGTCGTTGTCAAATGCACGTCAGCAAAACAGTATCACCGGATGAGAGCTGGAGAACCTGGACTAGACACCTCAACCTGCAAGGGTGCATGTAGATTAGTCATAGTTTATTATAAATTGAAAGCATAAAAACATCTTAACCTTTAGAAGAAGTGATCATTGTGAACTTGAATTTTCGCAACTCGTAAGAGAGTTTAAATCGTTAAAGCGTTTAAATCGTTGAATCTAATTTAACTCTCAGATTTTTTCAATTTAATGGCGTTAGGAAACATTTAAAATTGTCGGTTATAAATTATAAACGCTAACTTTAACTGCCACACCAAGGGAATAACTTTGGTAAAATCGAAATATTCGTTTACAACCGTTATCTTGGTGATTATACGCATCGGATAGATTATATACACTTCCTTTAAATCTTTTTTTTTCTTCCTCTAGTTTCGAATCAATATACAGCAATAATTACTGCACAAGATAAAACCAGTAAAGTGAGACTTGCCACGAATGCAGTCAAGTTCATCGCTGCGATCACGGCAGTCGTCGACGTAGTCGCACCGGAAGAGCGTCGGGATACAACGTCTGTTGGAGCATCGGAACTCGTCCTCCCCGCACGGGACTGATATTTAAATTGACTGACAATCATCACGAAAATTTAACATAGAAATGGTTTTTAAATTGTTCTTAAGGGTTATTTGGATTAAATTTTGTCTTGCAGAGTTCATTGATATTTAACACAACTGAACAAATTGGAAATGTAACCATTTTATTTTGCACAAAACCTATTTTTCAGGAAGAGGGAGTGAAGGTCTTTGCACTTCCGTGCAACATAACTGTCCGCTTTCGCACTAGCGTACCTATAAATATATAGTGTCGTGACTGCGAAGAGTAGCAGTTAAGCCACCGCACTCTATCTCAAGACAAATTCCCTATCAAAACCTATTGATAAAATGCCACTAACCATCGGGGTAGTTGCAGTTGCTCTCATCACTGCCGTCTCCACAGTCATTGTCAAAGTCACAGACGTACCATTTCCTGATGCACTTTCTGTTTTCGCACTCAAACTCACTTATTGTGCAGGTCTGGCCAGCTATCGGATAATGAGTTTTTCAATGATTTACAAGCTTCAATATTCCTAATAATCATTTGTTTTATTTTAAAATTCCCTAACTTGGTCGAAGAGTTAGTAATATGGTAAGAAGGAGAGAACGGTTGGATTGAATATTGAATTAACATTTAAAGTTCAAACGTTTTTTAAACTTAGTTACAATAAAAGTTAGAAAATTTTAACTTCGTTCAAAGTTAAAAATTGTATAAACCGTATAAATATATAAATATATATTATTATAAATAGTATAATTAAATAGATAACTGACAAGACTGTTTGAATACACGGGATTATCAGGTTTCTGGGACTTGAAATAACTATTCCGATAATCGACGGATCAACCTGCTTCTCAAACAGCTTCAACATGTTACCTGCACAACCTTCAAACTGTTAACACACTTCTTCTACAACCGTGCTTGGTATTTCTTGTTGATCAGCAGTGTAAAAGCATCGTGTATATACGCTTGCTGATCAGCAGTATATAAAAGCATCGTGTATACGCTTGTTGATTAGCAGTATAAAAGCATCGTGTATACGCTTGTTGATCAGCAGTATAAAAGCATCGTGTATACGCTAGTTGCTCAGCAGGATAAAAGTATCACGTATATGCTTGTTACTCAGTGGTATAAAAACATCGTGTACACGCTTGCTGATTCGCGGTATAAAAACATCGTGTGCACGTTTGCTAATCAGCAGTATATCAGAAGTGTGCATAAGCTAACTAAGCTACCTCGGATAAGTTCGTTTCAAAATCATCCTCTTGAAATTAATCAATGTCGATAGTTCCTCGCTGAAAATGTTGAGTTCTCCGTCAGAACTCGAGGAAAATGTATAATAAAGTATTATAAGACTGAGTCTAGTACTAAAATTTGATGATATTATAACGCTGAAACGGATTGAAAATAATTATTCTCGCGTGTTTGATAAAATCGTTTCGGAACAGAATGATGAATTTAAGTGAAGAAGCAATTCCGCCATTTCTTCACATTTAATTTGATCGCTGGCTAAGTTATGTAAAGTTCAACGTTAATAAGTACTTTTTGTGTTTTTCGATACGTTGTAGAATAAATTCATAATGAATAAAGACAGAGAGGCAATAAATCTTTGTTGTAAACTTACGTAGAATACACTCGAGTTCATCGCTGCCATCTTGACAGTCGTCGTCGTTGTCACACCTGAAGTGACCATTAATGCAATGGCCGTTAGCGCACACGAACTGGCTTTCGTCGCACGGCTCTGCGCATGGAAACTCGGTGATAAATTAGGCTCTTCATTTCACTGACCGTCCTTCTTATACAAATTAGAATATATGTAAAGAATCCATTTAATTAAAATCATTAAATTTTCATCCCTATCATCAGGTGCGATTCGGCATTTTCTGTATAAAAATGAGAAAATACAACGCCATAGACTCCTTGAAAATATACTGGCAGGGATTTTGACAATATATTGATACTGGAATTATTTGATACTTAAACGACTTCGACCGAAAATGCCGAAGCTATCATTTGATTCATTTGAATCATTTAATAAAAAACTCTGCTAAAATTGTCTTCCAGTGCTGAGATTATAATGGAGAGCTTAAAAAACTTCTCGTATATGTATGTAAGAACATTCGAGGAAACGGACCGACTACCGGCAATAAAAATCGCAGTAAAACCTTCTTCGTGTACACGGTTTCGTGTGGCATCCCGTGTACCTAGTAAGTAAATGAAGGAAAACACGAGCTCCGTTTGCCTAAATTCGACGAATTTTGTGAGATCTGAGATAGATTTCGTGCTAAATAAGTGCAATTACATAAAAATCTCACCGGTGCTATCGGTAGGATTTGCACTTGCGACCGTGCAGAGCAGAACCGCCATCAGAAGCTGCGGCCACCCGTCGAAACGACAAAACTTTAGCTGAAATGGAAAAAAATAAACCACGGATTTTTTTTAGACAAATATGAATAATATTTAACGAAAATTAAAAATTGTTATTAGGAAGTGTCTTAATTTTTAAGCCGCGAATATGTACGGGGAACGATTTTCCAGTGATTATAGATGATCCACAAAGTTAGTTAAAAGGAACAATCGAGACCATGCTAGTGGACTGAATCACTTAGTTATATTTTACACTGGTGGTGCAGGTAAACGACAAGAAGATTAAATTACTCAAAAATTTAATTTCTTTCAAATTTCAAAAATCATTTCTCTCACAATTATCAACCAAAAATGTGCTGCATGGCAAAAATTATCGAACATAAAATACAGCAATTACAGCTGATGTCAGAAAATCCGCAAACGTTGAAGACTTACATTCATCGCTGTGCCGGTGATTCTACGATGGTCCTCATGAACTTGTTCGATTCAACTGGTCTGTCCCAACAAAGGAAAGTGAATTTTTCGCATTTCTCAACTTAACATATTTTTTTAATTTTCTCCGGTTAGGAAAACATATTTTCTAATTTGATAGACTTATTAAAGCCCCCCAAAACAGGTCCAAGAAAACAGTTATACCGGTATAACTTGGTAAACAAATGAATTTACACTAAACCTTACTAAAAAATCACTAAACTAAAACACTAGCGCTTAATAAAATCACTAAAGCGCTACACGACGTTAGGAAAAAAATGACTGAATGCACTGCATTCCCTTAATTTATTATAGAACTCTTTTGCTCTATTTTACTTTAAACTCTAACGTTTCTCACTCCGGTAGCTAGGAAATTACTTATATTTATTCCAAGTGCATCGGACCTCCACATGACGTATAATTCTTACTTTTCTCAGAATAATTTCAGCTTTAACTTTAAAGTACAAATAGCAAGAATCACAAGATAAAAAATGCTTATGATTCATTTTCGAACTTACTAAGATTGTTTCACTTTAACCTGGATTTTATTTTATATCATTTGCATCGAAAAGCGGTATGAATAATAAATTTATTATTATTATTCATTATTAAATGAATATTACAACACAAATTATGGTAGAGCCTGAATTTTCGATAAAATTTAAATTGGAAAATCAAAATATTCGTTTGAAACTTTCTACGATATTCTTCAAACTCTCTGGGTTCAATCTAAACCTCTCGTTCTCTGTTCTTGGAGCTCAATTTTAATGATAAATATCGTTATTAATATTCGAAAATTAAATAAAATGATTTAATGAATTTTTATTTCTGTCAGTTTTCTACCTTGGCTGCAGTGAAGAAGACCGAAATGCAAATGATCGCTCTTGGCTTTTGTCCTGCCTGACATTTCATGTGCAGCAGACGCAGCTTCCTAAACTGATATTTGCTGCCGGTTATAATTGGCTGAGTTACCCCAGAGTTTTCTCTAATGAAAAGCCCGATGTGCTCACACCATCTTAACCTTCATTAGGCCACTCTAATATCAATCTGCAGTTTTGTCAGGAGCTAAACTGAATACAGGCAGCTGAAAATTTAAGTCGTCTTCAATGCCTGGACGAATATACAGCATCGTCAACAATATTATTCACTTGTTCCTATGGTATTGAGAGAGCAATAAAATTTCGTTCCCTGGAAACAATATATCCAATTTAATGAATAAACAGGACTGATTTAGCTTAAGGCAGAAGTGAAGCAAAGGTGTGCGTGAAGTTCGTTCTTAGAACCATTCATTAAGCGTGACTGAGAAAACGAAACATTTTTGCAGCTCTGCATGTGCTGAGGGATTAACTAAGTTTGGGCCATATAACTTCATTCAATCTTGGATAAAATCCCACATATTATATCATATTAATTATTAAGAAAAAACTTCTTATCATTATTGCCTTTTTGAATGCATTCGTGAGAATATATTGTTTGGAATATTTTCTGAAAGCCAATGCTTTACAATCGTTGTTTCAAATCCATTTTAATTGATCCTTGTCAAAATCTCTAGAGAATTTTCTATTTTCCGTCATTATTATTTCATGAGAATTATATCACTACTAAAATCAGAATAAATGTATTTATAAAATCTATTATATATCGTATTATATGATTGTGTAATGCTGTAAATGTATAGACGCCGTTCGAGTATCTCAAAGACATGTCAGATAAAAATATTTCTTTGGAGTGAATTACATTGTTGACCGTGAATTCTTGAACATTTGATAAATGTGAAGAAAAAGATGTGTGAAAATTATAAATGTGATTTTTCCACCCGTAGGTGTAAATTGTATTCAAATGTTAGCTGGATTAGCTCTCTCTGCAATTAGCACTGCTTTTGTTTGAAAATTATCGAAGATATATTGGGGTTTCGGGATGTGGGAGAAAGGGTTCACAAATCCCATGGAAAAGTTTCAGTCGCTGGTAGCACTCGGTCCTCTTACCAAAGTTGTAAAATCACATGGTTCATATAAATCGTGATCACTGAGTAGATTCATAGGCACATATTTTCCTTATCGAATTTCAAAATTTATATTCTTTTAACTCTTTTCATCGCATTAAAACTTCAAAAGATCATTATTATTTCGTATTACAAAAAGAATTTTTTTTAAATTCTGTAAATGAAGCTATGAGAGTTGTAAATTTTGCTGTCTATAACACATAAACAAAGCTCATTAGTAGATTTCTTCTGGCCCGCTGGCGGGACAAGTGATAAGCAAGACGTGATATAATGACGGTCACTAGATAAACGTGAAGTTCTAATTAGCGAAGAAAGCGAAAGCATAAGAGAGTCTGAATGATTAAACTACGTTTTTGAGCCTTGAAACTTATTTCGATACTCACGACAGGCTCCCATTATGGCCAAATCGAAGAACTTATATGTACGATCAGTTTCAAATTCTCGCTTGACTTTTCTGTGCATAAACTAAAATAAATCTGTTCTTCTGAAATATTTAAATTGGATAACTGTTTATGAAAAATTTGGACCCAGGATTTGAACGCGCGAGTTCATTAATGGCGCATGATTTGAATTCATCTTCAAATTTCTGGGATTTACTATCCCGATATAAAAAATTTTATACCTATACTTCATGTAAAAGAATTATCTCCACATTGTACAAAATTGGTCATTCGAAAGATTTTGAAAGTACATTTCTATATTAAAAAATTAGGGGTAAAAAATACGACTGTATACATAGGCGAACTTATCTCTCTGGGTAACTCGTTTGCAACTAAATTGGAACTGGTGACATAAAAATTGATTTCAGGTCAATCCAAACAACTCACAAGTTCTAAAATGCGATAAAAATACGTCGAAAAGATGTATATAACACGCTTCCTCATTTTAATTACATATATGCAGTCCTTGAAATATGCAGTCCTTGAAAGAGTTGATTTCCTGGCTAAATTTATCCTTTATTCCTCTTCCGCAGTGAAGGAGTTTTCATAAGAAGAGGAACATGCCGAGCCCGTGGCAGCACCAAGCCAGGAGAGTTAAATTTGCCAAGTAAATTAATGGGACACCGGCGCAAGTTGTCACTCCGCTCCTCTGACCATCTGTAACACGATGCTCATCAATTTACTTTATTTCACTGCTTCGGCAATTTATCTTAATATTTGGCAATTACTATTAATACAAATAAATTTTGCCATACCATCTACCTGCAACATTTTGAACGTTCAAGTGGCTTGCAATCCAAGTGAGAGATTCAAGTTATTCTTAAATCTAGTAGGATTAAGAAAATGGTGGTGACCCAGTGCATTGTCTTTCAAGAAAAGTAATATTTGGAATATTAATACTGTTGAAAAAGTTATTTTGCATCGAAAAGTCAATTTTAAATTCGCAGTTCTAAATCATATTTCTACCCTTCAACGCAAGCACTATCCTAAGCTGAAGATCAACAAATAAATTTGTTTTCAAAACATTGTAATGAACTTCTACTCACATTCATACTTAGCTTCATCACTTTCGTCATCACAGTCTAAGATTCAGTCAAATATGTAGGTTGTCATGATGCATTTGCTGATGGGCTCTCAAAGTTGCAATTTACTAATATAGTAAAAATATAAATAAATATAAAATATAAATAAAAAATGAATTTAATATAAATAAAAAAATAAATATAAAATTTTGGAACCTTTCCGTTTCAATTTTAAAAGACTTTCCTGTGATCAGTGCACGGAACAGTACAAAAATGATGACGTGGATTAAGATCAAGAAATTTATTTCATTTGAGGATTTTGTATAAATGGCTGAACATTAAAGTAGACTTAATATGTGTGCAATGAACGAGCTACTTTTGACCAGTTCATATTAATGCCACACTCAATTAACTTCATGGTAAATGATGTTAATCATGAGTTGTCAATAACATCAACGACTTTTTTATATAGCTATATTTTATATGAGAGAGAAAATATAACGGAAGAGCGAATAGATGCTTATTTTTATTTTAAATAATTTTAAATGAAGCATAAATAAATTTTGCGCTCGAGCGATCAAATTCATTTCATTAAAATTAAATCATTAAAGGGAATCACCTAAAAATTAGTCCGTTTATCGGAATGATAAAACGTATGCTCATTATTTCCTTGAACCGGAATAGGCAGCAAGGTAAGTGTCATAAAATTCTCCCCTTTCCTGGAGTTTCGATTTTGCTGGCGATGGCGATTTTTTGCAGGCAAATAAAAATGCAGTAAAACATTTTTTAATAAAATGCATTCAAATATGAGACTTAAAGAGTGCAGTTCAGTTCATTGCTGCCGATGAACTCAAAGTTTCCTTATGAAAATGAAAAATTTCATCAATAATATAGCCGTAGACCATGCATATCCGGGAACCATTGGAAGCACGTCGCAATCGAGTCACAGTGCATATAACGGGGAACGAAAACCTGGAGAGTTTGGGGCTTGTTCAGTCAATATGTTCGATAAATCTCTGAGTTATTATAATTTGAGTCTCATGTTTGTCCGGTAAAGACGTAATTTCTCGTAATTTATATCAACCGATATGTTGCATTAGAGCGCCAAAATGATTTGATTATATATGAACTTATCTTTTATGTAGGCATACTAGAGTACATTTAGCGCCTGATAGATAAAATGACTTACTATGTCTCGTGTATGTTACAATGCTCTATTTTCTATAGTCTTATCTTGCTACGAGCGCATCTATTTAGATTCTTGTTTTTCAATTTTCTTTGAATTTAACATATAGTTTTGAAATCGCTAGGCAATATTAATTCGGGTGACAAACTAACATGATTTTTGGGCGAAAATGTGGTCATTCAACTAACCAGGTCTCGTAAAGTATGTAAGGATTCGTTTTATATCTACTGTTCTATGCACAACTGTAGCGATGAACGATCTACGAATTCAAACACAGAATCTCCACCTTTGATGCAGTGGAACATTCACTTCTCTAGAAACAAATTTCGATTTCAACATTATTTCATCATAAAATTTTGGCACTTTTCCGCTTTTCCTAATTCATCTGTAATACAATGACTAAACTTTCTTAACTGCTATTAAAGCTATCGTACTTTCGAATTTTCACTTTCGTTGGCCATGAATATTCTTACTGTGAAATTTTATTCTAGAGCGGTGAAACATTATATTTCGCGTGATGAACAAATATATTTGTTACTGATCAAATAATCTATTCAAGTTTTTTAATTCTGTGATTTGAACTGTGAAGAGAGGACATGATTAACAAGGCGTCGAGTTTCGGCTTGTTAATGATGTCCATTAAATTTTTAATATATTCCCCCTCTATTTGTCGTTACACTATTCGTGTTACCACTACATCCGTTAAGGAATTTTATATTCTTCCTGGGGAAACAAAGTTTTCAGAGTTATTTGCTTCAATTATCTCAAAATACTTATAAGCATCTAATTTATATAAACTTCTACTTAGCTAGCTATTCATTACGATATAAACAAGTGCACAGAATCTTCTTGCATTTATCTTCCATTCCAAAAGCAAATTTGAAAAACCTGTTTTTTTTAACTCATTTCTGACTCCGACTTCAGGGTCATTTTCCGGCGCATCTCGTCCAATTTCCTGGTTTCATAAAACATTTTGCTTCACAAAATAATTTTGTGCAGAGTTTCGTACAAGACGCTGTCTTTGTTTTAATTTCGTTATCTCCATTCTTATGACTGTATAATTGTGTTCTTTTTTGTTTCTTTGTTTTCTCTTGATGAATCTGAGGCTCTTTACATACCATGCGTAATTGTATACACGATGCCATTTTTATGCATTAATGAAGATAGGTTAAAAAGTACACAATACAAGCAAATTTGTCTGTATGGAAGCAACATATTGAACGTGTGTGCTTAGTTGCTATGAAATAAAGATGTATTAATATAAGAAAAAATTCAAGGAAATGTATATCTATTTGCATAAAGAATGTTTGAAGTTATCTTCTGCACATTACAAGGGTTAGCTGATATTTATTATGCGAGTCCCAAATTTATTTGGCTCTTGAAATTTCCTTGAAAACATTTAAGAATACAGCTGATAATTTAACGGACAATGCTGAATGATTGCAATGATTTATTCCATTACAGTAACTACCGATGAAACATAGATCTGAATTTAATCGGTTTTGCTCTGAGATCCTTTCAAGCTTCGAGGATCAATCAAAATCAATGACAGCCATTAGCTGCATCTGCAGCTAAATGAGCTTATTTTGAACACAAAAGCCTTTCAACTTCTTGGTTACAATTGTATAGTTTAAGTGATAGTATAAACAAGTAAATTGAAGCTGACAACAATACAATTATGAATGTTTTGATATATCAATAGATAGGAGCATGTGTAATGGTATACGAGAGTGGCTTTTTATTTGTGTTGCATGTTGGTCGTTGTCGAATGTACGTCGGTTAAACAGTATTACCAGATGAAATCTGGAGAACCTGGACCGGACGCCTCAACCTGCAAGGAAGCATGAGGATTAGTCATATGTTCTTTATAAATTGAGAGCATGAAAATATCCTAACCTATAGAAGAAGTCATCATTGCGAACCTGAATTTTCCAAACTCGTAATTTGAAAGAGTTTAAATCGTTAGAGAGTTTAAAGAGTTTAACTGTGATTTAATTGAGTTCAATGTTTAATTTAATTCTTATTGAGGCGTACCGTTAGTGCAGTTGCGCTCATCGCTGTGATCGCTACAGTCGTTGTCACCATCACACTCATATGAACCTGTAATACAGTCACCATTGTCGCATCTGAACTCCGTTGGCCCACATGAAGTCTCTGTTGCATCTGTAGCAAGAACGAAATTATTTGTTTGAGTAAAATGAACTGCAATGAAGTTCATTTTCATTTTATTTTATTCATTTTATATGATTGAAATGGACACGTTTTACAAACAGAGGCCGCATCAAATGCTGTACGTGATTATGAACAATTTTAAATGTTAGGTGGCGCAGTTTCGAATCGAAATTCGACTCACCTTGGTTACAGTTGCGTTCATCACTTCTGTCCCAACAGTCGTTGTCGCCGTCACAGACGAAGCGCGCCGTGATGCATCTTCCGTTGTCGCACTCGTACAGATCAGTCCTGCATCGCCTTCCCTCTGCTATAGATAGAAGTTTATTTGCAATTACTGACTCTACACTCTTTCTAAATGTAAATTAACAGAAAAAATTATGTATCCTAATGAGGGAAAGTTGAAACCTAACATCCTGGAGATGTCCAAAGGACTATGATCTATACGTGCGTATTCATGAACTCCATCAGTGAATATGGTGACTGTACTAAATGATTTATTTTACTACATTGAAATGCATTGAGTAGGTTGCAAATTTACATTGGCGCTTAATTAAAAAAATTACTGGCCAAACAAACGGAAACTTAATAATCGTATGGTAAGACTAAGGTTACACGCAAGGGAAGATGCTTCTCATACAGAACATCTCAGCTATGCAATGTTCTTTCATTTTTCTAGACTGATATCAGTTATGTTAGTTCAGTGGGCTGATAACAGTTCTTGCTCTAATTGCGTAAAAACTAATAGCATTTATCACGAAAAAAATTCATGATTGTCAATCATGAACAACTATAACATTCCTTGTACAACGGTAACAGAGATGTGTTGGCACCACAGGGTAACAAAATTTTACTTACGCAGAGTACAGTTGCGTTCATCACTCATGTCTCCACTGTCGTTGTCGCCATCACAGATGAAGTGGGCCGGAAAGCACCTTCCGTCGTCACATTCATGCTGAGTTATTTTGCAGTTCCTGCCAGCTGTCGGAGAAAAATTTCGTTGCACATATTCACATACTGCAAACTTTTTTTAGATAATCGCTCATTTAAAAGCGAGTTGTTGATGTAATAATTAACCCAAGCGCCTCCTGGCAATTATTGTGAATCCACTCCAACGATCAGGTCACCAGTGCCTGTCGCCAAATATAAATGGTAATGTTTATCGCCAAACAATGAGATCTGTAGCAATTTTCAATAGAATAAATTGAAAAGAGGTTGCCGTCACCAAAATCGTGGTAAGACTACGAATAGTACAGGCGATTTAGTCACTGCAATTACCACAGTTATCATGTGACTTACGAACAGTGCCGTCAAGTTCGTCGCTGTTGTCACCACAGTCGTTGTGAGACTTACGAACAGTGCAGCTGAACTCGTCGCAGCCGTCACCACATTCGTTGCAAAACTTACGAAAAAGGCTCTTACTTTACCTAGGAGGCAGACACCGACTTAATATTGGGCATTGCTCTTTACCATGGTGTAACCACCTTGGCCGCAGGCTTATAAACTTAAGTTAAATTCCTCGATAGATATATTCCTACCTTGATAACAAGAACCGAGTTCTTCCAGCTAAATTTATTATTGCTTCGGATTCTGCCTCTCCTACTTTCATAATTTTCCCTTATATGGCCTCCTATTTGCCTCTTAAAATTGTTTACCGCTTAGTCGCAAAAGATTTTGAGGTGGGTTCAAGAGGTTGCTATAAACTTGTTAAACAGTGTGATATAGATTGGATATTGATCAAATTCTTTGTTGGTCGATTGTTTACATGCGTTTGAAACTATTGTATCTTTCTTTCCATAGAATAACTATTATTCTGGTGGGGTCCGTCGGCAACTTTTTTGGCTCGAGACCGCAACCACTTAACTAAACTATAATTTCGCTATTTACCTGTTTCTGAGATGTATGGTTTATTGCATCATTATTTGTTGAATGTCCATTATTGAAATATTTGACAGCCAAATGAATTGACATTTACTAGCTGGAATCTAAAGGCTTGGTTTGTTTACTTTACAGTTATGTTGAGTCGAGTATTCGTCAGTTACGACGAACCTGTACTAAGTCGACTAAGCTGTTTGACCTTAAGTTTGGACCGATTGTCAACGAGCTTGACTTGATTCTGGGACAGACTGGATACGAGAATTAATTCGATAAATAACATTTTTTTGGAAAATATTTGTTTAAACTTAACACTTACGAACAGAGCAGCCGAAATTGTCGCAGCTGTGTCACCGCAGTCATTGTGACGCTGTGTGTCGCAGTCATTGTGAGACTTACGAACAGCACAGCCAAACTTGTTCTGCTATCGCCACAGTCGTTGTGAGACTTACGAACAGTACAACCGAACTTGTCGCTGCTGTCACCACAGTCTATGCGAGATTTACGAACAGTGCAGCAGAACTCTTCACTGCTGTCACTACAGTCGTTGTGAGACTTACGAACAGTGCAGCCGAGCTCATCGCTGCTGTCACTACAGTCGTTGTGAGACTTACGAATAGTGCAGCCGAACTCTTCACTGCTGTCACTACAGTCGTTGTGAGACTTACGAACAGTGCAGCCGAGTTCGTCGCTGCCATCACCACAGTCGTCGGCGTCGTCGCACCTGTAGCTCTCCGGGACGCAGCGATTGTTGGCGCACCTCAGCTGTCCATCCTCGCACGGGTCTGTGGGCGAAAGTTCAGAGGCATTGTCTATCAACATCATACATTCAAGATCATATTGACTGAATCTCATGATAGAACATCGATGTAAGGTCTACCTATAAGTTTCGAATATTCCTGGATTATATGCTTATTTATTCGTTTCGAACTAGGTGTGCCTGGATGAGGTTCGGTGCAGTGCTGTAGCCTGGAGCTCGATTTAACGTAAATATACATTGGAATAAAGACTGTTAGACATTGAGTGCGAAATGTGAACCTCGTACAAAAATTGTTTATGTAACCATAAGCATGAAATGAGGAGAAGCCGAGAAGTCCGGTCCGATATCTTATGAGAGTCAATAAAATTGTGTTTAGAATGGTTAAAGGCGAAATAGTTCCTGTTTGTCTCAGTTATTAGATAACCATCACCGCCTTGTAGCCCAACTGGAGAATGGTGCTTGCGTAGACGTTGTGTACGTGGACTTTGCTAGAGCTTCTGACAAAGTTGACCATGGTGTACTATTTAGAAAGCTGAGGCTGTTGGGGGTAGGAGGGAACCTGTTAAAATGGATCCGCAACTTCCTTACAGATGGAGTACAAGCTGCCGCAATTTGAAAATCGAAATTGAGAAAAGCGAGGGTGAAAAGCGGAGTGCCTCAGGGTTCGGTGATTGGACCGATCCTCTTCTTCATCCACATCGTCGACATTGATTCGGAACTTACCCACGCATCTACATCGTCATTTTCGGACGATACAAGAGTGCCGATGTAGATAACAGATGACTTAGACTGAGATAACAGAGGTTACAGGATGACTTGTAGACATTCTACTATTGGGCCATAGTCAATAATATGCATTTCAACGGCACAATAATATGTAATTCTATTAAGTGCAAAGTTATGAGATATAGAGTCGGCACAGAGACCTGGATGCCTCATCGCTACTTGGCAACGGTTGGCACTGAAATTAAGGAGAAACAACTTATTCGAGATTTCGGAGTGCTGATGAATACCAAAGACACGTTCGATGACCGCATCTAGGAAATAGTTGCGAAAGGTAGATAACGGATGGGTTGGATCTTGCGGACATTCCGAACGAGAGAAGCAGCACCAATGATAACTCTCTTCTGAGCACTCGTGCTCCCCAATCTTGGGTACTGCTGCCAGCTTTGGGCGCCGCTCAAGGCGGGCGCGGTGCGGAAACTGGAGGCAGTACAGCGGACCTTCACGTCCAGTATCAACGGCATGAAGGCGCTCAAGCTGGAGTGGACTACTGGGGAATATTGAAAAACCTGGGACTGTACTCACTGGAGAGGAGAAGAGAGAGGTATATCATACTGTATACTTGGAAGATAATAACCGGACTGGCTCCCAACTTTGAGAGTGAGACCTCCAAAAGAGCGACATATTACAACGAAAGGAGGGGGAGACTGTGCAGGATTCCCCCATTTAATAACCGAGCCGCGATTAGAGTACAGACACTTTGGGAGGGATCACTGTCCGTAACAGGACCGAGGCTGTTTAAAGCTTTGCCAAAGGTCCTGAGAGGAGGGAGTTCACCCTTGTGTCAAGATTGGAATTAAACAGACTGGATCTGTGGATTTTATTTAAAAAACTATCCAAAAAGTCGTCCTTGGAAAATGAATTCTAAGAAAAGGAGCAAAGTAATTAATACCCTTGGTAACTAAATGACCAGTTAAGAAGTGAATCCAATAAATAATCGTCGTTTAAGAGATTAAAAGGCAATTAAAAAACAATGTAATAGTTATTCAGATGATTAAAAATAAACCTGACAGAGCCTAAACTCACTAAACTACTTTACATGAGGATCGGACGGAAGATAATGATGAAGGACTAAATATGCAAACAAGACGTAATAACTACCTACGCAGTGTTGTTAATTCAAAGGAAAAAGTTAAATTTATTCGAAAATAAAACTCGTACGTTCTGGTATACTGCCTCTATACAAAAAATATTGGGTATTGGAAATTTTGCAGTGATTAATTTCTAATTGCACCCAGTGGATATTTTTTTCTATATTTTGCCTATGAACACGCATTCATCAAATTTTTCTTTTGCCAGAATATTAATGTAAATTTTCTGTCATTTTTCTTATCTTTTATTATGCACAGTAGATAATGTGTATCTTTAATATAAACCCTTGAAATTTCAAGCGGACTGCGGCCAGAAATGAATTGGATAAAAACGGTGAAATTAAATAATTTATTGGCTAAATATCGGACTTAAAAATACTAAAAAAACTTAATATGTCAATATCACGGGAACAGGAGGGTCCATAATTAGACTGATTTTCGAATGGGAGAAGAAAATTTCAAATTTTTGTACTTTGAATGAAAATTTCATTACTCCGCATCTCTCACCGGAAGTTGCGGATGCCTCAGAGCTTGCGACGGCTGCGCAGAGCCAAGCCAGCAGCACCAGCAGCTGCGGCCACCAGTTCAAACGAATGCGCTTTTGCTGCATTCATGGAAGGAAATTAAATCAACTTTAAAAAACATATAATCATATAATAAAAATGGTTATTTTGACTTTTAATGAGAACAGCATGATAAATGGACCGATTTGTTGACATCGATCAAAATTTAATAATTCTAATTTTATCGATTTTTCGCGGGTGTCATTTGGGGCCAAGTATTTTTCCGTTGTGCTACTGTAAATACCGCGAACCTTTGAAAATTTGGCTCTGGTTATAATCGTGAGAAAGATCACCATTTTTCAAATTTAGTTAGAAAAAAGTAGAATATAACCTAAGAAATCCTAATGTTGAAGTACCTCATATCTATAAGAAAACATTAATATGAAAATTCAAATTCAACGAAAATATCGTTAATGTATTTAATTCTAAATAGAATAGAATAGAAGTGTCGGCGCTGAAGAAATAGGCCCATGGCCTGTTGCCGATTCTTGAACTTTTCGTGACTTGATTCACAAGGGATATTATGCATTTAAATATTACTTTGAAGAAACAACACTTCTAAAGAGGCCAGTGTCTCTGATGTTACACATGTACAATGAATTTCTTATTTTATTTTCATATATAAAAATTTTTTTACAAGTTTTCCTTTATATTAATTTTTTATTTTTAAAAGTATTTATTCTGTCAATTGATTAAAGCATTGTCTCTGACTTTACGCAAGTGTGCAAAATTTCCAATCGATTGGACAGGTAAAAGTGTGTTAAATACCGATTATAAGATTTGTAGTAGGCAAACAAACAAACAAACAAGAAGTAAAGTTAAAGAGAAATGTTTTAAAAATGGTGTGCAATATATTAAAATCACCTGATCTGCCACGTAGATAAATAAATTTAGTTATGCAACGAAGAATATCAGTTTATTTGCGTCAACCAACGTCATTCATGCGCGTTGGGCCATAAGCTATAATTTAATTGGAATTCTCTATTATTCCTAGCCAGTGCTACCTATTTTTCCGGTGCAAGTTAAATTACATAGGAAATTATGGTTATTTGTATAAGATATATATAATTTATTCCTATAATTGTATATACTTATAAAATAATGATTTATTTATATAATTATAGTTATTTATATATCTATATAGTTATATAGTTATTTATTATACCGCCTGACATAGTAAGTCAAAAGTCTTTCAATGTTTACAACGGAAAATTATTTTTCATTTGTGCACTAAAAATTATCGACAATGCAACAAAATCAGTTTGAACTTTGAAGAAAATTTTTGGCAAATTCGGAGTTTGAAGAAAAAATTTGGCACACGGTGCACTGACCGTCATAGTTGTGCAGCTGGTCCTCAGCTGGAAAAGATGTCCTGGGCTTCGACACGTATTGTTAAGTTGAGAAAATATATTCTTTTCCGAAACCTGGAATCAGAAAATGAGAAAAATCAATGGTGGCTTGAAAATTTTAAATGAAATGACACATTTATCTTAGGAAACTGTGCGAAACCAGGAATCATAATTAACTCAAAAATAATAAAAATTTGATGTAGTGCAATATAAACAGAATCAAATAATTTTATCTCGACGAAAAAATAGCACATCAATTATTTTTTGTGCTTATCTTTTGCCAGTAGAGATGAGATGAAAATTTCTAAAGCCAAATATTGCGTTTTGACTGCGATGGAGGGCAGAATTCGATATTAGGAAAGAGTTGATATGCTGTACAGCGGGCATTAAGTAGAGACTGATTCGAACATTTATGGCAAGAAGATTTTTATCAACCAATTAGACTATAAAAAAATTTAAATTAAAACATTCATACGAAGCGGCGGATTCAACTGAACTCTCTTTCTCCAGCTCTGTTACCTGAATGCTTGAGCTGAATTTCCTCAAAGCTCTGAACGTTAATCTATCCTCTTCAAAAAATTCCAACATAGTCTATTTACTTGACTTCAGAAAATATCGATTGTGTCTTCAAAATTTGTTAAATCAACGAATTTCATAATGACAGTCGGTTAATCGCATAAATTACATGTTTGATTCTATTACATCTTGTGTTTAATGTATAGGTACAATTAAGATTTTACTAAAGACATTTAAAAAAACTTACATTGAAAGATTATAATCAAAGACGAAATAAAACTTTATGCACACAGTTTTAAATTGTTTATTTCTGTAACGTAGAACCTGGCTTCTCCGTTATAAAATCGAAAATAAAACTAATAGGAATAAATAAAACATATAAAAAACTTTTAAAAACCACGTTTTCTTAACGGACAAAAAAGGAAAATATTTACTCTTACATAACATTTAAGTTATGTAAAATGTTATGTAATGTTATGTAGGAGTAAATATTTTTCTTTTTTGTCCGTTGACAAAACGTTGTTTTTGAAAGTTTTTTTTATATGTTTTATTTCATTATTTTTAGTTTTGTAAAAACCAGAAAAACGTGGTTTTTAAAAATGTTTTTATATTTATTTATTTTCCACTTTTTAGTTTAGCAATTTTAGCAATTCAAATCAATTTCCAGGGTTGGAAAGTCTGGATGTTCGAGAAAAAACTCGATTCCGAAACGTGAATTTTTAGTTTTATTAAATTTTTTTGTTAATTTGTTATTCTAAAAAAATTTTTTAATTCTTATTTCTGATGAAAAAATCTTCTATTGTTAGGCAGCATAAGCATGCATGCCAAATTTCAAGTTTCTATGATGTTCAGAAGAGCTCTTAACCAAGGTCTGAATTTTTGATGACAGACAGACAGACACGAAGCGAAGCTAAGAAAAACGTGGTAATAACATAAATTTTCACCACGTTAAGAATAGTTTTAAAGATAATGGCAAAATTTGTGCCAGAATTGATGAACAAACAAGGCATGTATTCAACTAAATCTACTAGGAAGAGATTGCACGTTTAATTCTGACTTAAATAAATATTTTCATTCGTTTTTATTATGTACCGGAAACTAGAAACTAGCTAAAACTATGTATATACTCGCGTTTCAAACATATAGTTTATACAGTTAGTTTTGAAACTCAAAACTAAGCAATACTAGGTTAACAAACTAACAATGTGCTAGAAACTAGCAAAAAATCCGGAATATGAAGCGAAACTTTTTCGAATTTTTAACATGCATACAAATCCTGATGCAATTAAATTTACGCTATGAGTTCGGTGGCTAGGACTTCATTAATTAACAGAATATACATGAGGCAACTTTGTCAATTCTTAAAAAATTTATTACGAACAAAATGTTTACAATACCTTGGCTACAGTTAGTGAGACCGAAATGCAATGATGGCTCTCTGCAAGCCACCTGCAACTGCTGCAGCCGCTGCTGCCGTGACTGAAAATTGCTGCTGGCGATAATTGCCTGAGTTACCCCGAAATTTTTTCTATAATTAAGAGACTTGAGCTGACAATCTCTTTCGCGAGCTTCGTTAGACTCCAGTTATCTTGCGAGGCGCTTAACTAAATGTTAACCCATGCGCAATTAGCATAATTTGAGGTATTATTATCTATGGTTTTATTTGCATTTAACAGCAGTTTAAAAGTATTGGTCTTTTATTGAGAAATACGTTATTTCCCCGTTTATAGTGTAAGAAAACAGCAATAGTAGAGAATAAAGATAGATAATGATATAATGAATTGTCCTTGCTAATTTATTGATTCCGTCTTTTATAGGAAAAAACGTAATATTTTATTGAACACACGTATTTCATGAGTTGCAATTCTTGGGTTGGACAGGATTTAACTTTTTGTAATTCGAGTTACAACTACTGAGATAGTCGTGAAAAAATTTTGTCTAAAATTAGGCTCAACTTCCTGTCCAAATGTAAATATACTGAATGAAGCAAAGAAATGATGGTTTAAATTGAAAATGGCAATAAAACAAACAAAAAATAAAACGGTGTATAGAAAGATGACAGGAATATTACAACAGCAGCTTGGTTGCAGAGTTTTTGATATTCCTACTGTTCGCGGACAACTAAAGCCGTGATCTTACTTTATTTAATCAACCGATAATTTTATCCTTTTCTGGTTCACGCCCGCAGTATTTGCTACAATTTATCAATAGGTGACGCAACCTTTACGCAAGTAAAAAAAATCACTTACGCAACGCACTAGTGACAAAAAGTATTCTAAAATAATAATAATTTAAATGAGCCTTAAATAGTTCTAAGAAGAAATCAATTCCTGGTGGCGATCAAAATTTAAATTTCGTTGATAAGTTGTGTTGTGAAGTTGATTGCCGTTTAAGCCTTTATCAGATACGTATGTAGCGGTTCCGTTTAAGATTTTGTATAAATATAATACAAAAATTTACAAATTTAGAATTAGATTCAAGTGTAAAAATAATATTTTGTTTATATATGAACGTCACCTAAATGAATACAACAATAGTTAACTTTATTCCAGCCTATAGTATTTTGCTTCATTTCACTAAAACCTCTTATTAGAGTAAGTACTTATAGGTGTTGCCACAGTCATCCTGTTCTAATCATTTTGTTTAATAGATAATTTGATTTATTTTATTTACTTTCCGTTTTCTATCTATTTCTTTTTGTAACTTATAACGATTTGTTATTCATACAGGGTTCTTTACTGAGACCAGAAAAAGCGTCTTTCTTTCCCTAAAATCGAACGTGCGATGCTCTACGTACAGCGTATTGAAAGTTAAACTAAACATGTTATAATCCAAAATGTGTTATAATCCATAAATGGACCTCATATAATTGCATTATAAATCTAACCTTTGCCCTTCTTAGTCAACAAAGCAAAGCTCAGTAGGAGCTTCAGGCGCCCCGCGCAAGTCGAGATGTGGAGCGTTATGTGATAAGTTAACAGTGATAATAAATAACACTGAGTGAACACAGCGCAAGAGTGGAAACTATATAATATTTGTACGCATGTAAAAAGATTTTCTAATCTTAAAATACATTTTAGCATCCAAAGTTTTCTTTGAGTTTTGGTAAATTACAGATGAAATGAGGATCATTTAATTTAAAAATTTAACATGAAATTTCATACCACGAAGTTGAAAATAACTTTGCATATGTATTAAAATCGTTTCGCAGTCATATAATTGAAATGCCTCAGGATCATCGCCAACAACATCCTAAACTTTTACTTGCTTTAAACACGAAAATGACAAATGCAAATTACAAAAACTACTCAAATACTAACGTAATAACCAGTTAGAATAGCAAAAAATATTGAAGTTATCGCTTGTGACTATCGTTAATTAAAGAACAAACTTATTTTTATCATTAATTGCAAATTAAAAAAGATAATTTCTCTAAAAATGATTAATTAGAATAACACTAATTAAAAAAAATAACACTTATATAATATAACTATTTAACATTCTGAATTCTATTAATTCTATACTTACATTTATAGGGATGTTTAAATAAAATATTGTAGTCGGGTCGCTCGTTCTGGTTTGGTTCAGTAAAATGTAGCGCCAGGAATAGATAAAGAGCCTATATTTTATTCAGACATTTATTATGTTTGAATTATGTCATTATTAAGTTATGTCATTATCAGCCTATATTTTGATACAGGGAGTTACAGTTCAACATAACCGGGGGGCAGGAGCAGAATGACGGAACAAAACATGCTTCCAACTATGTGTTTTATGCGAATGTTGATCGTCAGTAAACATTTCGACGTCAAATGAAAATTTTGACGGCAAAATGCTTAAAAATTGATTATTTAAAATCTAAGGAATATTTTTTATTGCATATGTATTAACATCGTTTCGCAGTCATATAATTGAAATGCCTCTGGATCATCGCAAAGAACATCCTAAACTTATATCTGCTTTAAACACAAATGCACATTACAGAAACTACTCAAATACTAACGTAATAACCAGTTAGAATAGTAAAAAATATTGAAGTTATCGCTTGTGACTATCGTTGACTATTAGTTCTATATCTACATTTATAGGGATGTTTAAATAAAGTGTTGTAGTCGGGTCGCTCGTTCTATAGTTTGGTTCAGTAAAATGTAGCGTCAGGAATAGATAAACAGCCTATATTTTGATACAGGGAGTTACAGTACAACATAACCGGGGGGCAAGAGCTGAATGACGGAACAAAACATGCTTCCAACAATGTGTTTTATGCGCATGTTGATCGTCTGCAAACATTTCGACGTCGAATGAAAATTTTGACCGGAAAATGTTAAGAAATTAAGTCTAAGTAATGTAAGGAATATTACACTAAGTAATATTATCGATATTATATATATTAGTATATAATATCGATATAATTCGATATTATATTAGTAATATCGAATTACAATAAGGAATATTACACTTAGTAAATATAGTGGATTATGCTCATTTCTGCCATGGTTTTTCATAATAGTTTTGAAATACTTCCAAGACATTCAAATAAAGAATAAAATTTTCGAAACCAAAAGCAACTGCACGAGTTATAATTTTATTTGTAGTAGTAATAAAATACTACTAATGTCATAAGTTATGATAAAGTTTTCCAATGTTTTGTCAAAATTATGCGGGAGGTTAGGCAGTGTAATATCAGAGTAATATAAGGATACAATCAAAAGGATACAAAAGACTGACATATATTAGTTTATATTGTAACTAACAAAATTTGACGAGCTTATATTTCCAATACTTGACAGGCTGCATATATAGCATGTTCGCTTCATCTCGGAAGATTTTTCGACGGAAAATATGAGGATTCAATTAAAAATGTTACAGGACAGGTGATTCCGAAATAACTAATGCCACTATTGAGGCCTATAAGACAATGATTACGAATCTGGCCCTTATTAATTAAAACTTTTTGGAGGGCTTAACCGCGCTCGTCCACCCAGCAGCAGTTATCAGTTTCTGCAGCAGCGGATGCAGCAGCTGCCATATCAGGCAGGCGTCTCGCAAGGAGCGAACATTTGCACTCTGGACTTTCTTAACAGCAGCCAAGGTAAATTCTTAAGTTACTAAATATAAGAATATATACAGTGGTAAAATTTGTTTATGCTGTTGTAACTGTTATTACCTCTTTTACTCATCGCTTTTTTTTGTTTATACCCTAGTCGTCTTTTCTGTATGTATAACGTTGTATCATCTGTATCCTGTAAACAACGCAAAATATTTGATTATTATATTGTTGATGCAGGAAATGCATAATTATTATGAACGTCCAAATACTTTTATTGTTTGTGCAACATTGCTTATCAATTTCTGTAATTACTTTATCTCTCAATAAAATCAGTAATGACTTCACACTGAAGTTTAACACCAGAAGCAAAATATCCACGTACAGAAACTTCTATTGCCTAGAGCAAAACACAATGGTTGATTTTTCAAAGGCAAAATTTCGCTGCTAAATGAACTTTTTCCGTTGAAAGAATTAGTTAACAATTTGGCACGAGGTTACAAATTTTTCTATTCTTGTCAGACACACGACTAATTTTCAAATCAAATTTTATTAATTTATATATTAATTCATGAATTCATTAAACTTCTTTGATGAATTCCCTACACATAAGCCATATCATAAATAAAGACTATATTTAGCTCTGGCTTTCAAACGACAGTAATTTACCAACAAATTTTTAAACCAAAATAAAATTGGACAAAAATAATTAGGTTAATTTAGCACGAATCTTGATGAAGTTCATGAACTAAAATTTATCATGAATCTTGATTATGAATATTTTTCTCGGCCTTCTTAGAATTTTTAAGAGACCTTTATTGACCTGCTTTTCAAGTTTGATAGTCATCATTTATTTTTTCAATATAAATAAATTTTATTGTTTTTTCATTGCAGATGAAGTTCTTCACATTTGGTTGGATGCTGTCTCTGTTGCTGGTCGTTGTACTCTGCGCTGTTGTGAGTTCGAGTCCAACGGCCACTACAGGTACGATCTTCTGTTTTGTTAACGATAAGGCATCAAAGCATGAATTATTTAGAGCATTAATCATAATTCAGAACTCGCATATAAAAATCTTGTGAATTTCATGCTTATACCGCACCCGCTACATCACCGCTCACTGTAACGAAGTCAATAAAAAACCAATCCGCACGAGCATTTTCAGCGCATTTTCTCATTTATGGAAAAAAGGCGCTATTGTCCTCGTCATGTCCGTCCGTCCGTCCGTCTGTGTGTCCGTCCGTGACTCCACGTTTTCGTTGACGAGAAAATGCGCTCTCTGTCACTCACTGCAGTGAGTACTGAGTTATATATAATTTTTTAGGGGGGGGGGGGCGTGGCCGTTGAATGGAGCGCTCAAGAGATGAAAAATAGACGCTCTCGGTCGGCTTTAGTTTATGCCTGGTGGACGCCACTATAGAATTGCTTTTAAGGAATCGCCTTGAGATCATTGAAATCACGTCGGTTGATTTACTTGTGAAATTTTACTAATCACATCCGCAAAATAGCGTCCAAGTGCCCCTCCAAAAAGTGGCCAACTTAAAGCTAACCGTGTTCTAAGATTTACGGGTTTCTTACGGTATGAGGAGTGATGAGATTAAAATACTACTTCATCCTCGTCCACAGAACCCTGCGGAGACGACGAGTTCACGTGCGCCAACAAACGCTGCATCCCGACGCTCTTCAGGTGCGACGACGATGATGACTGTGACGACGGCAGCGACGAACTCGACTGCACTGTTCGTAAGTTTTACGTCACTGGTTTGCCCTCTTTGATGGCTACACGTCTTTCACAGTCACTAAAATTACATGTGAGAAAAGAAGTTTGCGAATTCTCGAATAAATTCTCAGATATATATTAAAATAGTAACTATAAGCATTTGGAACTATCCTTTATCCGCCGTATTGCTTCGGTTCTCCAAATCGAAACCTGCAAGTCCGAATTAATACCACTTCTGCATAACACAATATTTCAGAGACTTGTAAATCTTAATAGTTCAATATGCAGCAGCGCAGTCCCATGGCTATTTTCTATGCCTTTTTTCAGAAATTGAATATTTCATATTAACATTAATAAATCCAAAAATTTCCAATCTTTTTGTTTAACACTTCTCTTTATTTACAATTGCTCTGCACTTCCAATGCTTCAAATTATCCATTACATTACATAGCATGACAGGCGAAAGACTTTTCTCTAAGAGCGAATTTTCGAAATTATCTTGTGAGTTAATACAACGATAATTGCTGTACAAGATGATACCAAGTACCTCCGTGTTAGCTACGGGAAAATTTTGGCAGCAGAAAAGCCTCAACTGCTTTTTAATCTTTGATTCAAATCCTTACAAGAATTTCTTGCTTTAATTTCCTCTGACTTTACGAGTGCGGGGCCGTAGAATTTGAAATAAATGTGGGTGAGAAAATATGCAATGAAAGCATAAGAAACGATCATTTTTATCCAACAGCTGGCAAAAGATGCAAACTTAGACAGTTTGAGTGCGCCAACGGAAACTGCATCAACAATCTTTTCGTTTGCGACGCTGATAACGACTGTGAAGACGGGAGTGATGAGCGCAACTGCCACCAATGTGAGTTGGAGTTCATGACAAATTTTAATGACATAACAACATTACGATTTAATGCAAGTGAAATGTTCTTGTTAGGAACATAGTAGAAATTAACTTCGTCATTTTAGGATAATGCGAGTAAAGAATCAACGAAAGTGCAATAATTAACTTCTATAGTGTGAAACTGTCATTGAAAAATGCACCAGTTCGCATATGACACATTTTAAAACTCAGTACTAACTGTTATTGAACTCACATAGGCAGAGGATAAAATTTTTCAAATCTATTGAACTACATTTTCATCTTGATTAGACATAGATTTTGACAATTGACTTTAAAATTGCTGCCTGAGTTATAAAGAGAAGTGAAGAAATTTTATTATTACAATAATATTTTAAATGATCTCCTCTACCTTGAATGATGCTTTTCGTTACGTAAAAACTATTGGCTGTCCATCAAGAAAAAATAAAAAGTATACACTCGTAGTGATAACTTCTTTGGCCCGGTGGTCACAGTTCAGAGTAACAGGATTGGAACAGAGAGGTGCGGGTTCGACCCCAGCTACCTGTGACAGTTTCTGGTAAGAATCGGCGAGGAGGCCGAGCGGTTAAGCACAGCATGATTGGAGTAGTGAGTTGCGTGTACGAGACCGCAACAAGCTGTGAATATTCTGCGAAGTCAAGAATCGGTAACATGCCTATGGCCAAATAAACGATGAAGCCGCTATTATTATCATTATTATTATTATTATAATTTTCGAACAATTTCTGACTTAGGAAACAATTCACTCGGTAACACTTTTTTTGATGCCATGCTTTCTCCCCTGTCACATTACACCCGTGTCCGTGGATCAAGATTTTATCACAAAAATAAACCTTCGAGTTTCCATGCGCAGTGCCGTGCGACGACAACGAATTTGCTTGTGCCAACACGCGCTGCATTCCGACGCACTACAGATGTGATGACGACAACGACTGCGGCGACGGCAGCGATGAACTCGACTGTCCTTTTCGTAAGTCCAAGCTCACTGATTTGCTAAGACCTCGTTTTTATTCTTTTTCCGTTAATGATTCGAAATTTATGGAAAGAATATTATATAAAACATTTTCCACATGGCATTCTTATTCGACAAATTTGCTGCTCTCATTGACAGAAATATTTATTGTCAGTACAATTTCCAGGTTCTCAATGCAAAATAATCATCAATTGATTCACTTAATAATTTGCAGGTTGATGCCTCTGGTCCCGGTTCTCCAGTAATCCTGATCGGCGATGCTGCTTTTACGACAACGCAAACATGCATGAACTAAAACTTATCTTGGATGGAACACGTAACATAGACAATAGAGAAGAATACAAATAAGAATTGTCAACATTGAACATATATACATAACATAGCGTGAACATTATTTTACGAGCAATGAAATGCTTCTTATTTTGACATGGCTTCATTTGAAAACTCTCATACCTTTGAAATTTGATGGTACTTGTCGGGTGAGAACCTCCAGTAGACAGTTATTAAGTAGACAGACATGCAGTCACCACACTAATACTAATGTTATATATACCAATGTTAGGTATTTTACGTTAGTTCACAATAGCAATAGAATAGAGCTGCTCTGAATAATTGACTTCATCACGAGAATCGACGTTAAATTCTGAAATTAATATATACATCTTTACCGACATTTAATTAGGCATTTTCAATAAAATTAATATGAATAGCTACATAAATCACAAATTTTAGTATGGTATATAATTTTTTAATCGAAATATGCTGTTGAAGATGGCTGCGCACGGTTTTATTTTATTGTCTGCTTCCAGAATATTTGATAATTATAACTCATGCTTTTATTGTAATTAATTTCTTTTTTCCTAAGATTGCAATGTTTCACCTGCTATTGAGGACTAATTGATATATTAATAGGCGGTGGGGTCCTGGCTGTAGCTTCGCTGCAGAGAGCCTTCAGAACGAGCAAATTGTTTTCCATTCCGTGTTTACAAAGTCAGAGGAACAGAAGGTCAACTTTCTCTTGTAGTCTGGATCGACTGAAAATCATGAATTCGTCAGCATTTAAAGCATAATATCCTTCATTGAACACAACACCAATAAAGGAGGCGTTACGATAGAAGATACATAATTTGCACATATCAATTTCTCGGCGAAGGTGGAGGAGCCTTAGCGAATAGGGTGAAAACATTCCACACATTACTTTAATAAAGACATTAGCTTAGGCTGGTGTATTTTTTTCCTATTGCATTCACCTTCATATGATGATAAGAGGGTAACTGTAGGTTAGATAATTTCATCATCTGCTAGTTTGTTTGGATAGTCATTAGAACACGGTCATAAATGGTACGAGTTCTATAAGAAATTTACAGTTTATTCATTCTTCATGTAAGGATTCTCGGCTGAGAAGAACACATCATATGAAGGATATCAACCGAGAGCAAATTAAGAAATGTGTGAAAATTAATGTCTCTTGTATGCACAAAAAATATATTGTGGAAATATTCGTTGCACATTTTCAATCAAATACAATTTCAGCTTCACGTGAATATGGTTAGAAAAATTCAGGCACCTTTAATGGCTGCAGTTGACATGGCATCCATGCATCGATGAAAAGAAATCATCAATATATTCATGATTTAATTTTGGTTAATTTTCTCCACTCATTGTTGAAGGAATAAAGTTCACATCATTAACAAGAAAAGATATAGTTTAAATTGTACCGTGCAGAGCACAGTAAAATGGATCAGTTTATGAAGCCAGAGCTTCAGTATCTTTCAGTATCTTTACAAAGAAAATTATAACTCGTACAGTTGCTTTTGATTTCGAAAATTCTATTCTGTATTTGAATGTCTTGGAAGCGTTTAAAAAATTTCATGAAAAACCATGTCAGAAATGAACATAATCCACCATGTTTACTAAGTGTAATATTCCTTAGATTTTATAGAATTAATTTTTAGGCATTTTGCCGTCAAAATTTTCATTCGACATCGAAATGTTTACTGACGATCAACATTCGCATAAAACACATAGTTGGGAGCATGCTGTGTTCCGTCATTCTGCTCTTGCCCCCGGTTATGTTGTACTGTAACTCCCTGAATCAAAATATAGGCTGTTTACCTATTCCTGACACTACATTTTACTGAACCAAACAAGAACGAGCGAACCGACTACACCATTTATTTAAACAGCTCAATAAATGTAGAGAATTAATAGAATTTAGAATTGAAAATACTTATATATGTTAACATTGTTAGTATTCTTATTAATTACTTTTATTATAATTAATTATTTTCAGAGAAATTATCTTTATCAATTTACGATTATTGATAAAAATAAGTTTTTCTCTACTTAACTAAAGGCAAATTAACGAAGGGCAAAGAAGTCTTAAATTTGATGATCCTCATTTTCTCTGTTATTCATAAAAAATTAAGAAAACTTTGTGCCGAAATTAGTTTTAAGATTATAAAATTTAATTGCATGCATTCAAATATTAGATAGTTTTCACTCCTGCGCAGAGCTTAGTTATGTTCACTCTTTGTTGTTTATTATCACTGTTAGCTAATCACTTACCGCTCCACATCTCGACTTGCGCGGGGCGCCTGAAGCTCCTAATGAGCTTCGCTGGGTTGATTAAGTAGGGAAAAGGATAGAATCAAGATGAAATTATAGAAGGTTCATTTATATAATTTAACATACTTTAACTAATTTCCAATATGCTATAAGTGTTTGTTTTATTGCCATTTTCATGTCATGCCCTTATTACTTTGCTGTAATAAGTTTACTCAAATTTGTACAGGAAATTGAGCCTAATTTTGGAAAAAATTCTTCACGGCCAATAATAATTAAATACAATCTATAAGGAAATTTGAAATGTGATAAATTTGAACAGCGTATACTGAAGTACGTCTGCTATTGGGAACTCGATAACAGAGCCACATTAGACCACGTGGCTTCTAATTTGCCGTGATAAGACAGACATAAGTCGTTGGGAACTTTCTCGAATAATCTACTGTACTAACATATTAACCCAATCGCCGTTACGGCAATTTCTGGGTTCAAAAATAAGGACATACCAAAAAAATGACGATATTGAAAGTTGATTCAATTCAAATTCATGCATAACTACTGAACATTACGAGTACATTTGACGTATTAGAAAATAATTGTATCCATAACTAAACTATTCCAACGCCCTGGCCTCCAAACATCAATACATATCAGTTGCCTCACATCAAAAAATAAAGAAAAACTTTGTGCTGAAATTAGTTTTAAGATTTTAAAATCTAATTGCATGCGTTCAAATATTAGATAGTTTCCACTCTTGCGCTGTGTTCACTCAGTGTTATTTATTATAACTGTTAGCTAATCACTTACCGCTCCACATCAATTATAGCAATTATAGAAGGTCCATTTATGTAATTTAACATACTTCAACTAACTTCCAATTTGCTATAAGTGTTTGTTTTATTGCCATTTTCATGTCATGCCATTATTTCTTTGATGTAATAAGTTTATTTACATTTGTACAGGAAATTGAGCCTAATTTTAGAAAGAAATTCTTCACGGCCTATAATAATTAAATACAGTCTTTAAGGAAATTTGAAATGTGATAAATTCGAACAGCGTATACTGAAGTACGTCTGCTATTAGGAACTCGATAACAGAGTCACATTAGACCACGTGGATTCTAATTTGTCGTGATAAGACAGACATAAGTCGTTGGGAGCTTCCGCGAATAGTGTACTATACTAAATTATTTACCCAATCGCCGTTACGGCAATTTCTGGGTTCAAAAATATCAAGAAGCTACGAACACGATAAGGCTAAAAATAATTAATTCAGTTGAAATCCATGCATAACTACTGAACATTACGAGTAAATTTGACATATTAGAAAATAATTGTATCCCTAATGCCTCGTTCTCACATTGCCGGTTGAAGGGCCGGAAGACACCCGGAATCGATTCCTGGGGTACCGGTTATCAAACTGGAGATCCGGGAAATGAGATCCAGGAGTTTCTGGAGGGCGTGGCCATAATCCGGCTTGGTCGGAAAAATTATTCAACATGTTGAATAATTTTGCCGGTACGCCCGGAACCATAAAAATCCGGGAGCCAACCTGCTCTTCCGTTGCTATGTGAGAACTCAACTGGCACGGCCGGAGGACCAGCCTTGGGTAGCGGGAGGGGTGAAATCGTCCCAAATTTTTTTTTGTGCGAAAGCCTTGCCACTTATTCACATTTTCAGCCTATGTGCTGTTTTAACTTTGTATTTTTTTGCAAATGCATTGTCAATTGTTCATATTTAATACTATCTGCTGTTAAAATGATGTACTTTTTCACATTTTTGTGCAAGTTTTGTTAATTATTAACATTTCTGTCATGTCTGCTGATTACACTTTGCAAATTTGCATTAGATATACCGGTATGCATGTTTATATATTGTAAACACAATGTAACAATAAATGGGGTGTGATTAATTAAATGAAACATTATCACCATTTTCTTTTTTGTAAACACTTTCTGAAATAATTGTCTGAAATAATTTTGTAAACACTTTCTGAAATAATTTTGTGTTAAAGATGAATACAATTTTTTAACTGAGGCTGATACACATTTTTGCTTTTACTTTCCGAAAAGTTGTCCTTATTCAATAAAGTTCCTTAAACATTTTAATACACTTTTTAACTTATAATACCTGTCCCCATTTACTTTAAATCTGAATATTGTGGAAAAGGTATTAAATTAAATCGGGGAACTTTTCCTTAAACATTGAAAGCTTTTATTGAAAGGGGCGGGCCTAAATTTGCATAACTTACCTGGAATACCGGGAAAAAAGCCGGGCCTACCCTGGTTTTACGGCAGTTCTTACTGCTCAAAAGGCTCTACCTGCTGTTTTATCGTTTTTTCAGGGAATTCCGGCGATTTACCTGGAAATCCGGGAGGCATACGGGACTTCCGGTAAGCTCCCGGGAGTACCGGGAATACGTTGACAGCCGGTATTGCAGGTTCTCCCGGCTACTGAAGCCGGATCTCCCGGATATCCGGCTCTTCCGGGAAACTTACCGGCTCTTACGGAACATCTACCTGGAGGGCATTACATATTAAGCCCTGCCCCTTGCATATTACGCCCTGCCCCCTATACCGGCTATGAATCCGGCATTTCAACCGGCTTGGCGTTTCCGGGACTTCCGGCCCTTTAACCGGCAAAGTGAGAACGAGACATTACTAAACTATTCCAACGCCCTGGCCTCCAAACATCACTATACATATTAGTCGACTCACATCAAAAAATAAAGAAAACTTTGTGCTGAAATTAGTTTTAAGATTTTAAAATTTAATTGCATGCGTTCAAAAAATTTGATTAAAACGATTAGAAACGATAGTTTCCAATCGTGCGCTGTGTTCACTCAGTGTCATTTATTATCACTGTTTACTAAGCACTTACCGCTCCACATCTCGACTTGCGCGGGGCGCCTGAAGCTCATAATGAGCTTCGCTTTGTTGACTAAGAAGGGCAAAGGTTAGAATCAAAATGCAATAATAGAAGTTTCATTTATATAATTTAACATACTTTAACCAACTTCCAATTTGCTATAAGTGTTTGTTTTATTGCCATTTTCATGTCATGCCATGCATTATTACTTTGCTGTAATGAGTTTACTTAAATTTGTACAAGAAGTTCAGCCTAATTTTAGAAAGAAATTCTTCACGACCTATAATAATTATATACAATCTATATGGAAATTTAAAATGTGATAAATTTGGACAGCGTTTTCTGAAGTACGTCTGTTATTTGAAACTCGATAACAGAGTCTTATCAGACCACGTAGCTTCTATATTATCATGATAAGACATAAGACAGACATAAATCATTGGGAACTTTTTCGAAATGCGTACTACACTAGTATCTCATACCCGATCGCTGTTTCGGCGATTTCTGGGATCCGAAAATATCGACAATCTGAATATGAGAAAACAATCCATAAATCTAATGCAGTTGATATCCATGCATTACTACTGAACATTACGAGTTTAGTTGACTTATAAGAAAATGATTGTATCCCTAACTAAACTATTCTAACGTACTGGCCTCCAAACATCACTACCTATCAGTTGCCTGACATCAAAAAATAAAAAAAAATTGTGCTGAAATTAGTTTTAAGATTTTAAAATCTAGTTGCATGCGTTCAAATATTAGATAGTTTCACTCTTGCGCTGTATTCACTCAGTGTTATTTATTATCACTGTTAGCTAATCACTTACCGCTCCACATCAATTATAGCAATTATGGAAGGTCCATTTATGTAATTTAACATACTTCAACTAACTTCCAATTTGCTATAAGAGTTTGTTTTATTGCCATTTTCATCATGTCTTGCCATTATTTCTTTGCTGGAATAAGTTTATTTACATTTGTACAAGAAGTTGATTCTAATTTTAGAAAAAATTCTTCGCGACTTATAATAATTAAAAACAATCTATAAGGAAATTTAAAATGTGATAAATTCGGACAGCGCTTTCTGAAGTACATCTGCTGTTAGAATTAAAGTTATCGTTAAAGCGATTTCTGGGTTCAAAAATATCCTTAAAGTTAAAATAACAACAAGCTTTTCAATTCAGTTGAAATCGATGCATAACTACTGAACATTACGAGTAAAGTTAACGTATGAGAAAATAATTGCATCCCTAACTATACTATTTTAACGTACTGGCTTGTAAACGTCACTACATATCAGTAGCCTCACATCAAAAAATAAAGAAAACTTTGTGCTGAAATTAGTTTTATTATTTTAAAATCTAATTTCACGCATTCAAATATTAGACAATTTCTACTCTTGCGCTGTGTTCACTCAGTGTTATTTTTATTTATTATCACTGTTAACTAAGCACTTACCGCTCCACATCTCGACTTGCGCGGGGCGCCTGAAGCTCCTAATGAACTTCGTTTTGTTGATTAAGAAGGGCAAGGGTTAGAATCATAATGCAATTATAGAAGGTCCATTTATGTAATTAAACATACTTCAACTAACTTCCCATTTGCTATAAGTACCTGAAAAAAGGCTTAAAAGGCATTCACCTTCACATCGCAAATCAACTTCAATACTCGGATAATTTATCATCGTAATTGAAATTTTTATCTCCGAGAGAAATTAATATTTTCATAGAACTATTTGAGACTTTTTTGAATTGTATTTTAAGTCACCAGTGCGTTGCCAAAGTTATTTTTATTTTACTAGTGTAAAGGTTGCTAGTCATAGCAAATGCTGCTATCGTGACCAGAGAATGATAACAACAACAGTGGAGTAAATAAAGTAAGATCAAGGTTTTAGTTGTGTCCGCGAAAAGAACGAATTTCAGACCATCAAGAACTCTGCAAAAAAACTGCTGTTGTAAAATTAATGTCATGTTTCGGTACTCCTGTCTTATTTTATTGTTTGTTTTATTGTCATATAATGTCATGTCATTAATTTATTTGCAGTAATAAGTTTATTTACATTTGTACAGGAAGTTGAGCCTAATTTTAGAAAAAATTCTTCACGACCTATAATTACAATGATTGCAATTACAAAAATTGAAATCCTGCCAACCCAAGTACTGCAACTCATCAAATACGTGTCATTCGTCGATAATATTTCGCGTTTTTCTCCTCCAAAAGACGCAATCCATAATAAATTAGCAGGGACAATTCATTATAGAATTATGTTTTTTCTACTATTTCAGTTTTCTTACGCTGTAAACGGGGAATTAACGTATTTCTCAATCATAGACCAATACTTTTGAAATGCTCTTAAACGTCAATAAAACAATAGATAATAATACTTCTCATAATGTCTTCCTTTCATATACCACCCACAAACTGACTGGATCTTTCGAATCGTGTTACAGCCGCAGGGGAAGTAAAACTCTGCTTTGCCTCATGTATTCACTCGGAAATGTCTCATAATATGTACCACTTTTGAAGATTCCACTCATTTGGACAATATATTACTAATATAACCCAGTCCTAGTATTACTTTAATATCCCATCCCGCGACTCCTGGTTAACTTGAACTTCCCGTGTCATGACTGTGACACCCAACCTAAAAAATTATCTTGACCGACCGAACATATCAAACCTGCTCACAGGGTTGAACCATAGAAAACCTGATATATTTTAAAACAGCAGTTGAAGAAAAACAATGCGTTTATGATCAATCCTAATAGTCTTCAATCTATTATACATCATATCTAAATAAAGTTGAATAATTTCAATAGCTACGGTTTTCGATTAGAAAGATTTTGGCATATAATGTTACAATTGTACTCTTTACACGTGAAAATTTCACAAGGCTTCCATTTATGCTTATACTATGGTTTAACAATTAGTTAAGCGCCTCGCCGGATAACTGGAGCCTAATGAAGCTTGAGACAGAGATTGCCAGCACAAGTTCTAATTATAGAAAAATCTTTGGGGTAACTCAGGCAATTATCGCTGGCAGCAATTATCAGTCACGACAGCAGCGGCTACAGCAGTTGCAATATCAGGCAGGTGGCTCGCAGAGAGCCTTCATTGCAGTTCGTTCTCCTTAACTGTACCCAAGGTATCGTATACATTTTATTCGTTTTATTCTTATACATTCGTTTTAAATTGACAAAGTTGCCTCATGTACATTGTGTTAATTAATGAAGTCCTAACCACTGAACTCATGGCGTAAACTGAATTTCATCAGGAATTGCATGCACGTTGAAAATTCGAAAAAGTTTCGATTCACATTCAGGATTTTTAGCGCATTTTCTCATCTATGGAAAAAATGCCCTATTATGCTCGCCATGTCCGTCCGTCTGTCCGTGACTTCATGTTTTCGTCGACGAGGAAATGCGCTCGCTGTCACTCAGTGCAGTGAGTAATGAGTTGGATATTTTTGCTAGTTTCTAGTACATAGTTTGTTAACCCGGTCGTGTTAAGTTTCGAGTTGTAAAACTAGCCATATAAACTTTATATTCGAAACTCGAGTATATAGTTTTAGATAGTTTCTAGTTTCCGGTATGTAATACAAACGAATGAAAATATTTATGCAAGTCAAAATTAAACGTGCAATCTCTTCCTAGTAGATTTTGTTGAATATATGCCTTGTTTGTTTATCAATTATGATACAAATCTGCCATTATCTCTAAAACTATTCTTAACGAGGTGAAAATTTATTTATTTATTTCTCTATAAATAAATAAATTTCTATTTCTCGATTTCAGTTATTTATTTCTCTGTTAGTTTTATTTTTGATTTTCGAATGCAAATATTGTAATGAGAAGCCAGGTTCTACGTTACACGAAAATTAATAATTTCCCACTGTGTGCATAAAGTTTTATTTCGTCTATGATTATTATCTTTCAATGCAAGTTTTTTTTCGAATGTCTTTAGCAGGATCAGAATTGTATACATTAAACTCAAGATTTTTGTAATGGAATCTAACATGATTTTTGCGACTGATTGACTGTCACTATATGTAATTCGTTAATTTAACAAATTTCAAAGACATAATGGATATTTTCTAAAGTCAAGTAAACAGACTGTATTGGAATGTTTTGTAGAGGATAAATTAACGATAAGAGCTATGAGGAAGGTAATAGCCAAGAATACTAATAAAGTTCGATTGACGCATGTATAAAAATGCATGACACAGCAATCTTTATCAAGTTCAGTTTGATACTCTCATCAAAAGAGCGCACGCACAGAATCATATGCCTGTGCAGTGGGCATCGTATATCTAGGTATACCAATGCCAATTTGTGGATATCTTGAAACTATTAAATATTCATGACCACGCAAATTATCTGCCAAAAAATTTATTGAAATTTAGCTTAAGCATTTGGGTAAGAGAGCTGGAGAATGAGGGTTCTATTCAATCATATGAAGGTTATAATGATTTAATTGTAATAATCTAATTGCTGAATAAAATTCTTCTGACAATAAATGTTCGAATCGGATTCCTCTTAATGCCCACGCCCGCTGAACAGCAAATCCACTTTTTCTAATATCCGAAGTCTGCCCTCCATCGCAGTCAAAACGCAGTATTTGGGTTTAGAAATTTTTATTTCGTCTTTACTGGAAAGCAATGAGCACGAAAAATAATCAAGGTGTTATTTTTTCTTGAAATAAAATTATTTGATTATGTTTATATTGTACTACATCACATTTTTCATTCTTTTCGCGTTATTTATTAACCTTCCTGGTTCCCGCCCAGTTTCCTATAAGACTAATGTGACATTTTTTATCCAAAATTCCAAGCCACCATTTATTTTGCACATTTTCTGATTCCAGGTTCCAAAGTAGAATTTTTTTTCTTAACTAAAAAGTACGTGTCGACACCGAGGGATATCTTATCCAGCTGAGGACCAGCTGACAACTATGACGGTCAGTGCACAGTGTGCCAAATTCTTTCTTCAAACACCAAATTCTTTTCTCTGTACTAATTTTGTTGCAATGTCGATTTTTTAGTGCACTGATGAAAAATAATTTTGTATTGTAAATATTGAACGACGTTTGTCTTACTATAAACTATGATTTCGATCAAAATGTACCTTGCTTCGGAAAAATAGGTTGTACTGACTAGGCATAATAGAAAATTCCAATTAAATTATAGCTTATGGCCCTACGCGCATGAATGACGTTGGTCGAGGCAAACAGACTAAAATTCTTCATTGCATAACTAAATTAATTTTTCTACGTAGAAGATCACGCAGATCACGCTGTTTCAATTTGTTGCACATTATTTTTTTGGAATAAGTACATTGAGGACGCACATTTTCGTTGAATTCGAAAATTCATATCAGTGTTTCCTTAAAGTCATGTGATACTACAAATATTAGAATTTTGGATTAAATTTTAATTTTTTATAATCAAATTAAAAAAAAAATTATCATTTTAACGATTATAACCAGTGCCAAATTTCCTACTGTTCGCGGTATTTACAGTAACACAACTCGACAAATATTCAGCCCCGTGGTGCCCGCAAAAATAAATAAAATTATGATGATTAAATTGTGAACGATGTCAACAAATCAGTCTATTTGCCTTACAGTTCTCAAAATAATTGCCAAAATAATAATTTCTTAATGATAACATTATTTGCCTATGTAAAGTTGATTTTATTTCCTCCCTTGAATGCAGCAAAAGCGCATTCGTTTGAACTGGTGGCCGCAGCTGCTGCTGTTGGCTTGGCTCTGCGCAGCCGTCGCAAGCTCTGAGCCTTCCGCAACTTCCGGTGAGAGATGCGGAGTAATGAAATTTTCATTCCAAGTACCAAAATTTGAAATTTTCCTCTTTCATTCGAAAATCAGTCAAATTCTGAACCCTCCTGCTGGTCATAACATATCCCTCCTGTTGTCCTGATCATAACATATCCCTCCTGTTGTCCTGATCATAACATATCCCTCCTGTTGTCCTGATCATAACATATCCCTCCTGTTGTCCCACAAAAGCGTGTCCGGAGGGCAAGTTCCAGTGCGCCAACCTAGCGTGCATCAGCAGCGGCTACGTGTGTGATGGCGACAACGACTGTGGTGACGGCAGCGACGAGCGTGACTGTGAGTATATCAAACTATGTAAATGTTTCACTGATTGTCTGGTACCAAAAAATGAACTGAAACTCCTAAATTTTTAACATTTTTTCATTTGTATAACAAATAATTTTATTTGTATTGTATAACACTTATTTCTTCTTAAAAACTCCTTCGTACTTCGAAAACCTACATCAAAACTAAATTTTCTTCGACAGTAAAACGAAAATCAAGACATTTCAATTTTAGAGATCCTGATTACATGGATTAATTCAAATTTCTTATAAGTGAATAGAAACTGCCGCTCATTTAAAACAATTCTTAATACCTTTAGTATTAGTAAGTATGCCTTTAGTATTCAAAACAATAATTTTTAAAAATTCTTTGTTTAGGTTCGTGCGGCGTAGATTTCACGTGCGGGAGCGGCCTCTGCGTGCCACAGGAGCAGCGGTGCGACGGCGACAACGATTGTGGCGACGACAGCGACGAGCGCGACTGTCCTGAGGGTGAGATGCAGCTGTTGCGTGGTACTACACCTGCTGTGCAGCTGCTGAGTGGTACTGCACCTGCTGTGCAGCTGCTGAGTGGAACTGCACCTGCTGTGCAGCTGCTGAGTGTTACTGCACCTGTTGTGCAGCTGCTGAGTGATACTGCACCTGCTGTGCAGCTGCTGAGTTAGGGAGTGCCTGCACCTGCTGTGTGCAGGCGCTGAGTTATTCAGGGAGGGACTTCAATAGATGTGTCACGTTAAAAATTCCAGAAGTCAGTTTTTTATTCGATAGAGCAAGATTAGTTCCAGGTAGGATATGGATAATTGACACTTTGAAACACATTTTTTTATATGTAACATTAAAATTGGTACATTGGTATTAGTTTTCTCCGTTGTTCTCATTCAATGGTCTAACCAAACGAATTCAATTAATGCTTAAATTTTGAATAAAATAGGTTTTGCATTTGTATATTTCCCACGACAGCGTGCTGATACCGAATTGTAATGACCCGGATCCAAGTTTTAATCAAATATGAAGATTAGTTCTAATTTCATTCTCGGAACCCTGCAGGCACTTGCACCGCTGGTTTCCTGTGCGGCGGCCGCCGCTGCGTGCCCGTGAACTTCCGCTGCGACGGCGACAGCGACTGCGACATGAGTGGTACTGCACCTGCTGTGCAGCTGCTGAGTGGTACTGCACCTGCTGTGCAGCTGCTGAGTGGTACTGCACCTGCTGTGCAGCTGCTGAGTTAGGGAGTGCCAAGGCATCTATTGAAGTTAGGGACTTCAATAGATGTACCAAGTTTATTATTCTGAAAATTTTTATTCGATAAAGCAAGATTAGTTACAAGTAAGATATGGATTATTTTAACTTTTGCGACACATTTTTTATGTGTAACAATGAAATGGGTTCATTGATATAAGTTTTCTCCGTTGTTCTCTTTCAATGGTCTAACGAACGAATTCAATGAATGCCTAAATTTTGAGTGTAATATACTTTGCATTTGTGTATTACCCACCGACCTTCAGCGCCGAAAAGTAATAACCAGGATCCAAGTTTTAACAAATATGAATATTAATTTTTAATTTTTAAATTTGTCTCAGGTATTTAAACAAATTTAAACAGGTATTGTTAGCAGCCAACCGGCCACAGCTACTCAAATTTCTGTTATATAAACCGTACAACAGGAAGGATTCATCAACGGTAATTCCGTTCACGCGTAATGACCGGCAACAAGCCGCCGGAAATAGACAAAATTTAAAAGTCAATTTAATACCTAATTACCGTAAATAGACAAATTTTTAAGTCCATTTAATACCTAATTCCCGTAAGTAGACAAATTTTTAAGTCCATTTAATACCTAATTCCCGTAAGTAGACAAATTGTTAAGTCCATTTAATACCTAATTACCGTAAGTAGACAAAATTTTTAGTCCATTTAATACCTAATTACCGCAAGTAGACAAAATTTTAAGTCCATTTAATACCTAATTACCGCAAGTAGACAAATTTTCAAGTCCATTTAATACCTAATTTCATTCCTGGAACCCTGCAGGCACTTGCACCGCTGGTTTCCTGTGCGGCGGCCGCCGCTGCGTGCCCGTGAACTTCCGCTGCGACGGCGACAGCGACTGCGACGACGGAGAAGACGAGCTCGAGTGCGAGAACTACAGTGAGGAAACCAGCATTTATATTGACCATCAAATTGATTTAAATTAATTAAATTAATTGCAAACCACAACTTTTGAATGTATTTAGCACTGAAGTCTGAAATGAATTAAAAATTTTATTATCAATTATTAGCCTGTTTTTGTTAGTCGGTATTGCATGTGTTTTAAAGTCCCATGCACAAAGTTCCAAGTAATGGACTTTCCCATGAAATGTCCCATGTAATTAGTGAAGAATAAAAAATTTTACCGTTTAACATAAAATAAAGTAATTTCAAAGTCACGAGTAACATCAATCTCTGCAAGAATCGCCCTGACTTCATCTATATAGCCCCCACTGGGAATATCATATTAGCTGATAATTACAAATTTGGTCTAATATTAGAATTTTTAGTACGATATTCACTCAAAAATTAATTAATTTCAACGTTTTAGTTTTATTCATTTCTAACCACAGTTTTCTTGCAATTTACGGGTTTATATTAAAGAAACACATTTTCTACTGTGCATAATAAGAGATAATCAAAATGTCGGAAAATTTACGTTAATTGTCGAGCAAAAGAAAAATTTGACGAATGCATGTTCATGAGCTAAATAAAAGGAAAAAAATCCACTGATCACTGCATTATAAATTGATCACTGCAAAATTCCCAATCCCCAATATCTTGTTTGTATACATGCGGTGTACCAGAACGTGAAAGTTTTACTTTCGAATAACTTAAACTTTTTCATTTGAATTAGCAACACTGCTATGTAGTTTACGTCTTATTTACGTTTAGTCCTTCATAATTTTCTTCGATCTGATCCTATGCAAAGCAGATTAGTTAGTTTATGCTTTATTAGGTTTATTTTTAATCATCTGAATAACTGTTATATCGTTTTGTCATTTCTTTGTTAATATTTTCAACGAATATTATTTATTAGATTCACTTCTCAACAGGACATTGAGTTGCCAAAGGTATTATTTACTTTATTCCTTTTCTTTACAAGAACATCATTTTGCATAATTTTACTCCAAAAAAATCCTCAGATCCAATCTGTTTGATTCCCAATCTTGATTACTGTGTGTGTAATGACTGGCACTCACCCCACATACACGCCGATCTTCCCTTTATGGCTTTCAAACGCCTGATTTGATTGACTCTCGTAAGCCATCTGACCGGTATTCTCGGCTTCTCTTCATCTCATGCTTATGGTTACATAAAATAATTTTTTACTACGTTCACTTTTCGCACTCGACGTCTAACGTTCTTTATTTCAACGGTACACGTACGTTCCCAACGCTAAAAATCGAGCGCCAGGCTACAACACTGCTTCGAACCTCATCCAGGCATACCTGGTCTGAAAAATACAAAGAAATTCGCAAATTATCCTGTAATTTTCAAAATTTCTAGGTAGACCATACATCGATGTTCGATCATCAGATTCAGTTAACTGATGTTGCTGTATGTATGTATATTCAATGTCTCTGAACTTCCACCCACAGACCCGTGCGAGGATGAACAGCTGAGGTGCGCTAACAACCGCTGCGTGTCGGAGCGCTATAAGTGCGACGGCGACAACGACTGTGGTGATGGCAGCGACGAGCTCGGCTGCACTGTTCGTAAGTTTCACAACGACTGTAGTGAGAGCAGCGAATAGTTCGACTGCACTGTTCGTAAATCTCACGTCGACTGTGGTGACAACAGCGACGAACTTGGCTGCGCTGTTCGTAAGTCTCACAACGACTGTGATGATAACAGCGACGATTTTGACTGCGCTCTTCGTGAGTCTCACAACAACTGTGGTGACGGCAGCGACGAACTCGGCTGCGCTGTTCGTAATTCTCACGTCGACTGTAGTGACAACAGCGACGAACTTGGCTGCGCTGTTCGTAAGTCTCACAACGACTTTGGTGACAACAGCGACGATTTTGGCTGCGCTTTTCGTACGTCTCACAACTGTAGTGACGACAGGGACGAACTCGGCTGCACTGTTAGTAAGTCTCACAACGACTGTGGTGACAACAGCAACGATTTTGGCTGCGCTATTCGTAAGTCTCACAACAACTGTGATGACGGCAGCGGCGTTCTCGACTGCACTGTTCGTAAGTCACATAATAACCGTGGTGACAGCAGCGACGAACTCAGCGGCACTGGTCGTAAGTCTCACCACGACTGTGGTGACGGCAGCGACGAACTCGACGGTACTGTTGGAAAGTCTCCCAACGACTGTGGTGACGGCAACCTCTTTTCCGTTTATTCCGTTGAAAATTGTGACAGATCTTATTGTTGGGCGATAAACCTTACCATCTATGTTTAGTGACAGACACCAGTGATCTAATCGTTGTTGGAATGGATTCACAATAGTCCAGTCGGCGCTTGGGTTAATCATGCCATCAACAACTCGATTCAAAAATGAGGTTTTGTCTATAAAAAATGTGCAGAATGAGAAAATGTGAAACGAAATTTTTATCCGACAGCTGGCAGTAACTGCACAATAACTCAGCATGAATGTGACAACGGAAAATGCGTCCCGGTCCGCTTCGTCTGTGATGGCGACAATGACTGTGGAGACCTGAGTGATGAACGCAACTGTACTCTGCGTAAGTAAAATTTCGTCACCTTGTGGTGCCAACACATCTCTGTTACCTTTGTACAAGGAAGGTTATAGTTGTTTATGATTGGCTATCGTGAATATTACTTTTTCGTGATAAATGGGATTTGTTTTACACAATTAGAGCTAGAACTGATATCAGCCCAGGAGTCTAGTAAGGCGAAAGAGCATTGCGTAGCTGAGATGTTCTCTATGAGACACCTCATTTCTTGTGTGTAACCTTAGTCTTACCATACGATGATAATTTTTCTGTTTTTTTTTTACGCACGACAATAAATTTGTCTGTCTTTTTTTTAATTTATGCTACAATTTATTAATTTGCAACCTTCTCATTGCATATTAGTGTAGTAAAAGAAACCATTGAGAACCATTCCCTGATTAGGATATTTATTTTTTTCTATAAATTTATATTTAAAAGTTGGATTTGAGTCAGTAATTGAAGAAATCGCTATTTCTGGTAGAGGGAAGGAGTTGCAGGACAGATCAGTACGAATGCGACAACGGTAACTGCATCACGGCGCGCTTTGTCTGTGACGGCGACAACGACTGTGGAGACATGAGTGATGAACGCAACTGTACCCAAGGTGAGTCAGATTTCGACTCGAAACTTCTACACCTAACTTTTTAAATTGTTCATTATCACGTACAACATTTAATGCAGCCTCTGTTCGCCAAACTTGTCCATTCCAATCATATATGCTGTATACTTCATTGCAGTTAATTTTAAAACTCGAGAGATAATTTAGTTCTCGCTACAGCTGCAACGGAAACGTCATGTGGGCCAACGGAGTTCAGATGCGACAACGGTGACTGTATAAGAGGTTCATACCAGTGCGATGGTGACAACGACTGTAGGGATCTCACCGATGAGCGCAACTGCACTGATGGTACGCCTCAATAGAAATAGCTACATAAGATGGAAAAAAAACAGCAAAACGTGAGTGTACAAGATGATGAAATATTCGACACCTTGTGTGGTGAGCAGCTGGAAGAGCGGCAAGAAATTTTCCATTGGAGATTGATAGCAAAAATTAATTTTCTTGAATTACTGTACGGTACCATGAGTGAGTTATATCGCTTATATATCATCATTTTCGAGTGTGAGAACCAATAATTTATCTGATCTATTATTATCTTGTTTTTTTTTTTATTATTTGGCGAACTATATGAATAAATATTTATTAATACCAAAACTTGAGTGTAAGGCAAACATTCCTGAAACGTCTTTATTGTACCGTACAATTAGTGCTCATGATTATTTTTCTTTGCAATATAAAAAAATTCATAGGCTTCGTCTGAGCTTACTTTTTCATTCACGTTTTCCGATCGAGTAAATTTTTTTTCCCAGTCCGTTACGAATAAATAAGTAATAAGTTCAATACTATTTAAATGGTCCTATAAAAATTATAGAAATAAATTTTAGCGGGCTCATGACTGAGTTCTTCATATGAGGTCACAATACGATGTTCGAAAAATTTCAGCATTAAATTTTCATACGAGTTTCATTCATGGGGCTCAATTTTAAATTTTCCTAGAGCCTAATTTGTATCATCGAAAGCTAATAAGTTTTCCGCCTTGTTTCAAGCAATTAACTCTAAAAAATTGTATCTGGTAAAAATTTTAGGCCATAATTGGCCTGATATCTTTGTCTTTCGGATAAACTAAAAATTCATAGTATTATCAAATAAGGGACCATAAGTGACGCATTTCTTTTGCAGAGGAGACGGGCTGCCGGCGTTCACAGTTCTTGTGCAACAACGACAGGTGCATCAACAGAAACTTTGTGTGTGACAATGACGACGACTGCGGTGACTCGAGTGATGAACGAAACTGTACTCAGCGTGAGTACATGTAACTTAAGCACGCACTAGCAATGAGTAAAGACTTCCCAATACATTGGGATCAATGTTGCATCCTCAAAAATTTGGTCGTTGATTATCCTCTGGTGAAAAAGTCTAGAATAGGTAGCATAAAAGACATTTTTTGGATCCATAAAAGAGGTTTTATATAATTTGAAATCTTTTTCTTTTGTGGTGCGTGCAAATGTACTCTACTTGTAGTACTGATCTTCCTATAAATTTAGATCAAGAAATAACATTTTCAGTTGCTAAAGATTTCACTGGTCCTGAACTATGGTACTATTAACGCAGCGGGAACGAACTGTACGTGGACTCAGTTCGCATGCGACAACGGGAATTGTATCAACCTGAGCTACAAGTGTGATGGCGACGACGACTGCAACGATATGAGTGACGAACAGAACTGCACCCAAGGTAAGGCCGGCTTCTCAACCCATCATCTCAGTCTGCTTGCTTAGTTCTTTTACCTATTTGGTGTTTCCCAAATCAATAGAATTTAATACACGGAATAACAAAACAGCCGGTGTGTTTTGCGCGATCGACAATCTCGAAAGTCCGCGAATGTATCGCAATTAAAATTAAAAAGGATTTAGGGAAATGAGCTCCACGCAAATGTCACAGTAATTTTAATCGTACAACTTGCCCTTACTTAGCTTGAATGACAACAAAAGGGAATCACTGGTTGAATTAAATTTTGCAGAGAACAACAACTGTGATGTGTTGGAATTCGCTTGCGCCAACGGACGCTGCGTGCGTTCGAGTTACGTGTGTGACGGCGACAACGATTGTGGCGACTTCAGTGATGAGACGTGCAATGGAAACAGTGGTACAAGGGCCAGATAGGCAATAAAAACAGTGGGAAGGGACGAGTGGGCAATGACAGTAGTGGTTATTGTTAAGTGGGCTGGAAGTACTAGATGGGCAATGACATCAGAAAATTTAATTACAGTAAAACTTGATAAACCGGAATATTTTTAATTGAACATGTATAAATGAAAGGCTCAACCCTAAGATTTCTGTTCATGCACATTTATTCTAGACACAAAGTTTTTCAATATATTTTGTCGTTCGCATTCAGGCTTGAATTGCTCAGAGGACGAAATGCTGTGCAGTCACGGCAACAAATGCATCCGAAAGGCGTACGTCTGCGACGGTGACAACGACTGCGGTGATAGGAGTGATGAAGTCAACTGTGAGTGATATTGGCTCACATTGCGCCAATTATATGTGATATTGGCTCACATTGCAAGTTCGTTGTTTACGCAGCACCCATGTGAAAAAGAAACTTGATGCCTCTATTTCCATATTTATTACAAAAAGATATAAGTTTTAAAATAACACTTCAAATAGTGAATGATAAATTTATTAATTAAATGCATCTAGGTAATGTCTGGACCTGTGTGCTGATTGAACTGTGGTCACCACCATAACATACTAGTGATGAGTTTTCATAACTATTACGTATAACCGCTCGTTTCTTATCTGTAGGCACGTATCTTTTTCCCACACACGTATCTTATCTGCAGCCTGTAGGTACGTATCTTATTTACAGGCACGTATTTTATTTACAGGTACTTGCAGCCCAAGTCAATTCACGTGCACCAGCGGACGATGCATTCCCGAACGCTTCAAGTGCGACGGTGACGACGATTGTGGCGACAACTCCGACGAAGGCGACTGTGAGGCTACAAACTAAAATGATGCTTGAAGATCACGATCATTGAATCAATAAATCAAAAGTCATTTAATATTATTTCCTCGCTCAAAAATCATACCTGCAGAGTTTATTGGTGTCGGCCATAAACAGACATGAATCTTACTAGTCTTAATACAATTAATACATGCAGAGTTTATTGGTGTCTGCTATAAACAGATAGGAATCTCACTAGCCTTAATAAAAGTAATTCTTAGTGTAAGAAAATTACTGGAAATATCATTGCATATCTCTGCGACGTGAAACTTCCAAGTATTTTAAATACCACGTCTTTTTCTATCAAATATTATGCTTATTCTTTATGTTTTAGCGTTTAGAATGATTGCCATTTTTACTTTAAACTTATGTTTTGCATGGCATTGCTTCCTTTTTTCTATATTATGCATGCCATTTCTTTTTCTTTGGCCCATTGAATGCTTGCTTGTTCTCTTTTTAGCCTATAATATGCTTGGTATTTCCTATTTTCGTCTATATTATGTCACTTTATTTCTCTTCGCAGCTAATATTATCAGAGAATTTCAACTTTATGTAGATATTCCCTCATGATAAACCTGTTTTAGATGCATTTTAGAAAATAACTTGATATACCATTTTAAAACCTAAACAATATGATTATAAATTCCTCCAAACTGCTAGAGTGAAATCGCACTTTACAAGTCAGCTGACCAGGTTGTCATAATCTGCAGGCGAGTGTGCCGAGGATGAGTTCGACTGTGGCGGCGTTGGCTGCGTTCCTCTGGACCATCGCTGTGACGGCCTGGCTGAGTGCCGAAATAAAGCTGATGAAACAAACTGCACGAAAGGTCAATCTTTCAATAAAAACCTGCCAAAGTTTTGAGCAAATGGATAAATTAGTGTTGATTTTATATACTCTCGTCTTTCTGCGCAGTTAGATGAGACCGATCCAACGTTAACTCAATCTCTGCATACAAGCTCTAAAAAGGTCATGTTAAGTACGACATATAATAAATTATATTCAAATTTTTCCCCAATTTCCATTAAACATTTGAACATTATATTTCTTACTCCCACATGCATGTTATAAATTGAGATTTAAAGTATATTTTGTTACTTGTTGCAGCTGAGTGTCGTGGCTTCAGCTGTGGCGACGGCAGCTGCGTGCCGCTCTCGTATCGCTGCGATGGTGACGACGATTGCGCAGACTGGACTGACGAGCACGACTGCGTCACCGTAGTCGAAAGTGAGAGATAAGAACTCAGATGACGAACACCGGAAGATTAGAATAAATTATAACATAACAACATAACATAGTGATGTCGGCACTGAAGTGTAGGCCTGATGTGGCCTGTCGCCGATTCTTTTCCTTTTCGTGCCTTGTTCAAGCCGAGGATGAGTTCGACTGTGGCGGCGTTGGCTGCGTTCCTCTGGACCATCGCTGTGACGGCCTGGCTGAGTGCCGAAATAAAGCTGATGAAACCAACTGCACGAAAGGTCAATCTTTCAATCAAAACTTGGACAAAGTTTTGAGCAAATGGCTAAATTAGGGTTGATTTTATATACTCTCGTCCTTCTTTGCAGTTAGATCAGACCGACGCAACGTTAACTCAATTTCTGCATACAAGCTTTAAAAAGGTTTGATACTACTTATAAATTATATTCAATTTTTCTTCTAATTATCATTGCACATTCGAATATTATATCAATTACGCCCACATGCATGCTATAAACTGAGAGGTAAAATATATTTTGTTACTTGTTGCAGCTGAGTGTCGTGGCTTCAGCTGCGGCGACGGCAGCTGTGTGCCGCTCTCGTATCGCTGCGATGGTGACGACGATTGCGCAGACTGGACTGACGAGCGCGACTGCGTCACCGTCGTCGAAGGTGAGGGATAAGAACTCAGCACACGACACCAAAAAAAAAACTAGAATAAATTATAGTTAAATTTACAAATCAAGAACACACAATAAGGTTAAATTTCATGTGAGAATGTGAACAACATCCAATGATTTCGTTCATGATCAACAATGAGAATATGCGTAACATCAACAATGAATGCAAGAGTTATGGTTACTGTGTTCGTGTATACACGTATGAACAAAAGAGAGACGCAGTCGAAGATTTTGTTAAAGAATTGTATGTGGTCTTGGTTAAATGTTGTTTAAGAGAGGGAATCTGGAGCACTAACGACTTTTATGGTTGTTCGCTGCTTGCCGGGTAAGAGCACACGATTCGCTGTAGGAATATTGTTGTCTCTTCAACATTTACGTATTTGATTCTAAGAAGGAATAAATTAATAATATGATTGCAATCGAGGTAAGTGCGTTAACACTTTACGTTTTGCGATTTCAACGTAAATATAGTACAGTTCTATTTCAATCCTAGCCATCAGGCACTGAGGCAATAGAGCTTCTACTTTGAGGAACACTTATTCGTTCTAAGCGTTTTAAGCGATTGAGTAAGATCTTCTATAGCTGCATATGGGATTTAAATGCTTTTAAAATGATGCTCCTGCAAAGATCAGCCAACCCTTCAGAGTCACATGTCAGATCATGCTACTTGAAACATGTCATTATAGGAAGATCATGCCACTTGAAACATGTCACTATAGGAAGATCAAAGATCATGCCACTTGAAACATGTCACTAAGATGTCACTGGAACTGCAGGACAGTGCCCCGACTCTCAGTTCGCGTGCCTCAACGGCAGGGAATGTCTGCCTGCCATCCTCCGGTGTGATGGAGGCCCTGACTGCTATGACGCCAGTGATGAGCGAGATTGTACCCAAGGTATTTATTGTTAAGAATTATCATGATCATAGTGATGACGTACGTACACTGTGGCGAAAAACTGGAACTCGATATTTTTATAACCACTGTAATCAACGCGTAAACGAATGTATTCATTGTGACTGAAAATAGTGAATTAAGATTTTGATTCGTCACTGCGACGCTGCAGCTTTTTCTTGATCATACGGATAACATTACTGAACTGACATTATGTGTACAACGATTTGCAATACAAAGGCCAAAGGTGGTCTAAGAAAATTAATTAAACAATTTAAAATAAATCTTCTTCAAAACATCGAGTCATATCTAATCGTGAAAATGTTGTCTAATTCTGTGTTTCGTCAGAGCTTTGCCAGGGCTTCTTGTGCCGGAACGATTCCACCTGCATAACCACATTGCAAGTCTGTGATGAGACTGTTGACTGTCGTGATGGATCTGACGAAAGTGAATGTAAGTTTTCGCATTAGAACCATTGCATTATTAAAACCTTCTCCTGCAAATAGGACTCCTCAGGATAACTAAGCCCTTTACTCAATGAATAATAATTGCATCCATGAAATCAATTTCATTTTATAACATTCTCTGTTCGTGCGATGCACTATTGCACATATCATTATTCACTTCCAATACTGCTGGTAGATCCACATTCTTGTATTCTTTGTTCGTTTATGGCACAATTTATGCAATCACATATCATAATTTTTGAAAAATAATTAATGAAAAGATCAAATACAACTCTCAATCATATTAAAATTGTCAGATCACTCTGAATTTTTAATATCTTACATCATTAAATGAAATGCGCTAACGTTTCAAACTTCACTCTGCAACTGAATAATCGCTTTCGTGAGTCGTTAGAAATTTGCAAGAAGACAAAAAACAATTTTGCCGAGAGAGTGAAGCACAGACGCTGGAAAAAATTACCCTAAGTTATCAATGCCCAAACCCGTGACGCTTTTTGTCCTCACGCATAATGTACGCACTTCTCTATTAAATAATATCATCTGAGTCTCCTATTCAAGTTAACGTGAACCTAAAAAATCTTGTTCAAACCGTGCCATTCTTTGAGCGTATTGAACCTCTGTTCATCGAAGTTTCACATGTCTGAGGGAATGAGTTGCTAACGAAGAACTTTATTATTCGCACAGGTTCATGCAAAGATAACTACATGAAATGCGATAACGCGAGGTGTGTGCCTGAACGTTACCGATGCGATGGCGACAACGACTGTGGTGACATGAGTGATGAGCGCAACTGCAGTGGATCTACTCCGTCTCCTGAAGGAAGTGAGACCAACTTTCCAGATCAGCAGTCGTTGGGCTGCATTTGATAAGATGGAGGAATCTCATAGGCTTTAACAAATTAGAAAGAAATAAGATGCAAATGATGACCTAATGATTAACTCAGCTTTTGCAGGTGATACTTAAGTATTGGTCAAATTGAAGCAGCATTACCTGGTTTTAATGCGATTTGTATTCATAAAAACAATTGTTAAAAGACTCGCACTATCCTCATTATAGCCACAAATAGGAGAATAATGGCAAAATTTTCTCCTTGAAATGTTCCTAACGCGGATCGGAAAGAAAGAAGATGTGAGTGCTGGCTCTTCTCTTTCATGTTAAAATGACTTTGATAGGAGCCTTTTAGTGTCTGATATTGCTTACCCGTCAAAGGTTGGTTCATGTTAGAGGAGTAGCAAGGACCAATTGGACTTTGTAACAGTTTGATTTAGACTTGCAATTTGGTTGCGGGTCTTATCTTCCAACAAATATTCAGTTTTCATAAATTTAACTGATAATTGACAACGTATTGAATATTTCCTAGATGCTTTCATAACGTATCAATCTCACTTTAACAACTTCTACGGCTTGCTGTCTGTCCTCTTCTAACGATTGTTATATCATTCACTCGTTCGCAACCGTCCGTGAGAGCTCCTCACTAACTGCCTGTCCCTTTTCTCTTTTCGATGATCATCAACGTTTCAATAGGTTTCCGAATGGTAATCAAAAATCAGGTTAACGGCTATCAAATTTGTCGCACTAACAGAAAGCTGGTTTTTAAATACAATTAAAACCATAATATCAGCTACTGTAATATAGTTTTTCGCTGATTTTAGAATTTTTCCTTGTTTAATAAATCTTTTTTTAATGGCATATTGATATTTCTTATCAAGTTTCAAGATTCTGACTGCACATGAAAACTAATATCAAATAATTGAATGAATTGTTAATATTTAACTCCTCCCTTTAATATTCCAGATTGCAGCAACGACCAATATTCCTGTGCAAACGGGAGATGCATCAGAGGAAGCTACGAATGCGACGGCGACAACGATTGTAATGACTGGAGCGATGAACGGCACTGTGAGTAAAGTGAATGTACAATATTTTCACCATATATTATGGTAATATTTTATTCCAAACAATAAATAGTATTTCACGTGGAATTGAAGAAGGTATGAAACAGTTCCGATGCCAGAAAATGCAAAAGTTGAAATATCTACGTAACATTTTTTCCCAAAAATTCAATAATAAAACAAAATCCTCCAAATGTAATATTCTAAACATCTTTCTGTTTTTTTTTAAATTAACAACTGTCTTAGATTCGTTATTTTAATCAAATGTTGTGTGGTAGGCGCGTGTTCCTCGGAACAGTTCAAGTGCGAGAACACCGGCCGTTGCATCAGAAGGACGTGGCGATGTGACGGCGATAACGACTGCGGCGACAGCAGCGACGAGCGCGACTGTTCGGGCTCATCGTCATCCAACTCGAGTGGGTTCTAAGATCAATAAATGAAACAGCGAACGAGAAAATAAAATTCGATCTGAAATACTTGGTAGTAAAATATGTTCTTTTCAATTCCATGTCTAGGGCATTTCTCGTCCCCTTCATGCATTCAAAAGACTTCAGTGTATTTCATTCAGCGATTTCAGAATTACCTGAATGAAATCTATGCTCTACCTAGGTGCAATGATCCATGCTTTCTGTTTGCAATCATAAGAAAGTCTCTTAAATTTTTTTACATTCGGAACACTTTACCCTTTACCGTATATCTCCTGCTCTATATTTCAAGTTTTTTTTTCATGTCGTAATTGGCTTCTCTTTCGGACTCTTTAAGATTATTATATGAGTGCGAATCTTAGACCAACAGTGACAATTCAACCAGTCTTGAATTTTTATCATTTCGTTATATGTGATGTAGGCTGCAGCAGCAGCCAATATTCCTGCGCCAATGGCAACTGCATCACAGGACGCTACGAATGCGACGGCGACAACGACTGCTCCGACTGGAGCGACGAGCGTCATTGTGAGTGTCATAACATAACATAACATGGTGATCTCGGCGCTGCAGTGTAGGCCTGATGTGGCCTGTCGCCGATTCTTTTCCTTTTCGTGCCTTGTTCACAGAAGATCGAAATCGTGTCATTTGACCAGATCTTTTAATGACTGACGAAAATTTGAAATAGCTACTCGACTTCCACCGGGTTCGATATGGTGCTAGGCATATCAAATCTGAACATATATTTTTCCATAGCTTTATCTAGTATGTTCCTGAACGCGTTCATACTTGGAGCCCCAACGATGTCATCGGGGAGGTTGTTCCACATATCGGTGATTCGAAGCGAGAAGAAATTTTGTGGCGTGGAGAAGTTGCAGCGTAGTTTTTTTAGTTTATAGCTGTGGCCCCTGGTGTTGGTTCTTGGTTCAAATTCTAGTAATCCTTCGGGGACCTTGTATAAACCATGAGTATACCTGTGTACTTCAATGAGGTCCCCACGCAGACGTCGATAACTGAGGCTTGGAAGCTTCATAATCTTTAATCTTTCTTCATAGGACTTGCCCTTCAAGCCTGGAATTATCCTTGTTGCGCGTCTTTGAACATTCTCTATTAAATTTCTGTCCTTTTCAAATCTCGGTGACCACACAACATTTCCAAACTCTAGATTCGGGCGCACTACAGCAACAAACAACTGCTTCTTCGCTTCTGCATCTAGGAACTCGTATGAGCGCCTGATTAATCCAAGAAGTTTGTTGGATGTGTTAGCTTGCGTTTCAACATGCTTAGAAAATTTTAGCTCCTTGTCGACATAAACTCCGAGATCTTTTTCCACACTAGACTTTTCAATCATTACTCTCTCGTTGCAACCAAGTCTTCTCATACTGTAATCTTGTTGTTCATTGTTCTTCCCGAGGTGAAGTACTTTACACTTGTCAGCATTAAACCGCAGTTGCCACGTATCAGCCCAGTTAACTATAAGCTGTCAAGATCATCTTGCAATTGCGCTTTATTTGACGCATTCTTCACTGTATTATAAACTTTTGTGTCGTCGGCATACATGGAGCACACGCTGGACACTTCTTCTGGCAGATCGTTTATAAAAGCAACGAACAAAATAGGCCCAAGAACGCTTCCTTGTGGCACGCCACTGCGCACTGATGCCCAGTCTGACACGGTTCCGTTAATACTGACACGTTGTCGTCTACCTACTAGAAAATCTCTAATCCATTGGAGTACGTTTCCCTCAATTCCCAAAGACTTCACTTTACGTAACAGCCGCTCATGCGGAACACTGTCAAATGCCTTGGCAAAATCGAGGTACAATGCATCCACTGGTTCCCTTTGTCCAGCAGGCGAGTCCACTCGTTCAACGTAGATAATAAGTTAGTGGTGCAGGATCTACTGGCAATAAAACCATGTTGAAAATCTGATATGAGATGGTGAGCAGTCAAGTGATCGATAATCCTATCCCTCACAACAGATTCCATTAGCTTACAAACAACACTTGTCAGACTTACAGGGCGATAGTTGCCGGGGCTGCTTTTGTCACATGCAAGTATAAAATTAAAACCTCGTAGTAGGGTAGCATTACATTGGAAATAAATAAATAACGGTACACTTCATTGACCAAATGGTACGATGCAGATGTGCCACATTAAAAATAATTAACACGTAAGAATATGCAGGAGGAAGGTTGAAAAAAGGCGGATGATAGGGTAACATGGGGCAGCGAGCCCACTGCGGTCATGGGCCCATAGTGGGTTTCTCGCTAAGTATGGCAGATATTGGTCCGTGTTCTCTACCGCCGGTCGACAGTTTCACTGGGATGAAGTATACGGATTTACGTTTTGCTAAGTGTTATTAAGTTATTTATGAATAACTGTTTTATTCCAGATGAAAATTTTTTTGCTGCTAAATAAAATTTTTTTCGATTACTGTAGATGAAGCTTTTGAAATTACTGTGAATTACATTTTCAAAGTAATATTTATAGGGATAATTTTGAGATCAATTTTAGACTATTAGCTATCAAAATAAAATTTTGACACGATATAAATTGAAATGATACCTAGTGGGGCAACGGGCCCACGCGTGTCACGGGGCAAAGCGCCCCATGGTGAAGTCTTGTGTTATACATCATTAGATTTGTCTCAATGACCTTTTCAAACTATGACTAGCTTTTTGAATTATAAATTACACTTCATATTGCATGATTTTTTAATTGGCTGCCTCAAGGCAGCAGGTTTAGTTTCTAGTTATGCGTATTTATGACCCATTATCGAGTTATTGACTCTTGCCTTGCCAAAAGTTGATTTCAGCCAACACCATTGAGCCGTAAGTTGATGAGTTTTTATGGTGTTGGCTGAAATCACGATTAGTTACAAATTCTCTGCACATAACATCTGGATTATGGACGAAACTGGAACGAAGTTTTTTTCTGATCAACTAAATATTTTTTTTCTAGTCAAGGATACATTTTTTCATATCAAGGACGAATTTTTTATCGCAAGGATATATTTTTTAAGTCAATGATATATATTTTATCTCAATGAAATATTTTTTTTCTTCACGTCAGTGATAGATTTTTTAAGCCAAGAGTATATTTTTTTCAAATTAAGTATACGATTTTTTGAGTTGTTAATAAATGAGTGAATATCATATTTTTTTATTACATTTTCTTATTTTTAACTGTAAAGTGTTGTTTTTCATTTTTAAACGAAAAATATGCATTTATGGTAAAGGGACCAAGGGTGGGCGCCTTGCCCCAAGCCCAAGGGCCCATTGCCCCAGGGGTGGGGCAATGGGCCCATTTTGACACTTTTTACCAAATAGTGTTTCATTAAAAATTGAATAAACATATAGGCGTCAAATTCACATCATGCATTCCTCATTAGTTGTACATTTAAACAAAACAAAGAACCACCTCATATCAATCAAAACTTCATCAAAAATTTAGTTTAAAAAAAGGGGGGCGCGCAGCCCCATGTTGCCCTACTTGTTTTGTGTCACAGATCAGAATCCAGTCACGACACCCTATTCATTTGATAGAATTACTGCTACGGTTTTGAAATTAAGAACACTCTTGTTTCCGTCACGTTTTTCATATTCATCGCGACAGGCGAGTGTACTTCGGAACAGTTCAAGTGCGAGAACACCGGCCGTTGCATCAGAAAAGCGAGGCGATGCGACGGCGAAAACGACTGCGGCGACAGCAGCGACAGCAGCGACGAGCGCGACTGTTCTGGCTCATCGTCATCCAACTCCAGTACGTCAGAGAACTTTCTGAATAAGATTGGGCAATTGGGATCTTGATTGATGCAATATGAGATGCAATTCATTCAAATTTGAGTTTCTAATCTCAAGTTTGAGATTAGATTCACTCAAAGTACTCTAATCTCAGAGTTGTTTTTTCTGATCGAATCTTTTCGAACAGAATCCCAACATTTCGACTCGACTCTTATGTTTTCTTTATCTCTATTGTCATGGGTCACCAACTTTTAACATTGTTACACTAGCGAAATTTTTAATGTACCAGCAGTCATCTTGTATCTTAAATTATTTTCTACGTGATGTAGGCTGCAGCAGCGGCCAATATTCCTGCGCCAATGGCAACTGCATCACTGGACGCTACGAATGCGACGGCGACAACGACTGCTCCGACTGGAGCGACGAGCGTCATTGTGAGTGTCATTTAAGTATAAGATTACACCTACAACCCGCGACCACCTATAAGATTAAAACCTCACTAGCATTACATCCGAAATTAATAAATAACGGTACACTTCATTGACCAAATGGTACGATGCAGATGTCATGCCACATTAACGACGACATTGCCAACGACTGCTCCGACTGTCACATTGCCAACGACTGCTCCGACTGGAGCGATGAAAGGCACTGTGAGTGACGTGAATGTATAGAATCATAATATGCACAGAAATTTAACAAACGATCTCACGTGAGGGAAATAATTTGTGGCGTGAAAATTAGGCATCCTTATTCTTTGAAGCGTGAGAATTTCTTTCAATTCCAAAGGCAGAAATTAGGGAAGTTCACGTGGCAGCAGTAATAATTCTCTCGCTCTGAACGGATTCCATGGTTATCGCAAAATCTTCCAAACTTTTTTTTCTCAGCAGTCACATTAAAATCAGAGTAACTCATTTCGCAAAAGGGCTTAGCGAAGGAGATTAAAAGCGTCAGTGATTATTTAGCTAGTGAGGGGATAAAATAATATAATAAGATCTCTCACGTCTAAATTATATTGATTACTGAGCCCAGATAACAAACACGGGAACAAACATAAAGTTTCTTGATGGTGTAAGTAATGGTCGCACCTGTATGCACGTGCGTTAATTTCAACTGGGGCATCTCAAGTTTTAATTGTTGTAGTTGAGGTAATACTTTTAATCCTGTAATTCATTATTTCTATGCAGTTGATGGCGAACATCTACGGCAAATGTATGGTGATATCGAACATCTACGGCAAATGTTGCTATCATTTTTGTTTTAAAAACGACCTTTCAGTTTGTGATATAAATAGTGATCGAGTGATTAAAACCGTGGCCGTCAATAGTTTATTAACAGATTTCACCTCGTTCTCAAATTGATTCTGTAAATTGTATGTCTCTTTGCGTTTTCCGTGTCATAGTCGTGTCAAGCTACGTCTTCCCGGTATCGTTTCAAATCTTAGACTAACTAGGAGTCCTCATCGTATTGGAAGTCCCATTCCGACCGTTTGTGGGTGTGAAATGACTATTTTACATAGTGGAGAAAATAGGGACTTTTCATCGAACCGAAACTCAATTGACGCCACAAGGCTTGTGATTGACGCCAAAATGTGCAGGTTCATCTATGTTTGGAGCAAAATTTTTATCTTATTGTAAAATTATTTCGGTCCGCGCGTCAGGCTTTGAGTTTCCCGAAACTAATCCTTAATTAAAAAATCACTCACCTAAAATGCTATTTCACAGACACTTGCACTTCGATACATCGTGTTTGACTGTCAACCCCAGAAATCTATTGTATGATGTTCGGTCCAATTTCATCAAACTGGTAGGTATATCCAAAACATGGTTTTGCGGTAGACTAATAAAGCATTTAAAAATAAGTTTCAGAACTGTTTCGGTACGTTAGCAGATGCGCCCACTAGGGTAGCTGGTTGCGTCAGCATTGATCGACATGATACGGCTGCTGTATGGCGGTGCCTTCAGTATAAAAGAAAGAAAAATTGTCATGAGCTGAGAAGTAAAATTTTCGCGACGTTAGAGCATTTACAACCCTTAAACATTTACAACCCTTAGAGCGTCGTTGCTGCCTAAACTTTTTCCGCCGGACGAATACCCTCATTTTCCGCTGGACGAATACTCGAGATTTTTCGTCCGATGAAAAAATAAATAAATTACTATCCACCCTTATGTGCAAGTCGCCAATGTTTGCTTCTCACTACCGCATACGAACGTTCACAAGCAGCAATGCAAGTATTTTTTCTTTAATTCTTCACATGCAGGCGCGTGTTCCTCGGAACAGTTCAAGTGCGAGAACACCGGCCGTTGCATCAGAGGGACGTGGCGATGTGACGGCGATAACGACTGCGGCGACAGCAGAAAGATTAAAACCTCACTAGCATTACATCCGAAATTAATAAATAACGGTACACTTCATTGACCAAATGGTACGATGCAGATGTCATGCCACATTAAAAATAATTAGAACGTAAGAATATGCAGGATGAAGGTTGAAAAGGGCTGATGATACTTGTTTTGTGTTCGCAATTCAGAATCCAGTCATGACACTCTATTCATTGAATAGAATTAATGCTATTATTTTAGAATTAAGAACACTGTTGTTTCCATCACGATTTTCATATTTTTACGACAGGCGCGTGTTCCTCGGAACAATTCAAGTGCGAGAACACCGGCCGTTGCATCAGAAGGACGTGGCGATGTGACGGCGATAACGACTGCGGCGACAGCAGCGACGAGCGCGACTGTTCTGGGTCATCGTCATCCAACTCGAGTGCGTTAGAGAACATTCTGAATAAGATTGGGCAATTGGGACAACAACTCTGATATTGTAGGATCTTATTAAACCTTTTTAGAATGACTTGATTGATACATTATGAGATGCAATTCATTCAAATTTGAATTTTTAATCTCAAATTTGAGATTAGATTCATGCAAAGTTTCTCTAATCTCAGAGTTGTTTTTTCTGGTCGAATCAATTCAAACAGAATTCCGACACTTCGACTCGACTCTAATGTTTTCTTTATCTCTATTGTCATGGGTCTCCAACTCTTAACATTGTTACGCTAACAAAATTTTTAATGCAAAAGCAGTCATTTTGTATGTAAAATTATTTTCTACGTGATGTAGGCTGTAACAGCGACCAATACTCCTGCGCAAACGGCAACTGCATCAGAAGAAGCTTCGAATGCGACGGCGACAACGATTGTAACGACTGGAGCGATGAACGGCACTGTGAGTGACGTGAATGTATAGAATCCCAATTAATCGATAATATGCACAGAAATATAAATGCGAACACATGTCAGTGAAAGAATTTGGGGCATGAAAATTAGGCATTTTTATTCTTTGAAATCTGAGAATTTTTTTCCATTCCAAAGGCAGAAATTAGGGCAGTTCACCTGGCAGCAGTAATAATTCTCTCGCTAAGAACGGATCCCTATGATATCGCAAAATCTTCCTAACTTTTTTTATTCTCAGCAGTCACGTTAAAATCAGAGCAACTCATTTCGCAATAGGTCTTAACGAAGGAGATTAAAAGCCTCGGTGATCATTTAGCCAGTGAGGGGATAAAATAATGTGAATAAGATCTCTCACGTAAAAATTATATTGAATACTGAGCCCGGATATCAGACACGGGAACAAACATAAATTTTCTTGATGGTGCAAGTAATGGTCGCACCTGTATGCACGTGCGTTAATTTCAACTGGGGCATCTCAAGTTGTAATTATTGTAGATGAGGTAATACTTTTAATCCTGTAATTCATTATTATTATGCAGTTGATAGCGAACATCTACGGCAAATGTATGTTGATAGCGAACATCTACGGCAAATGTTGCTATCATTTTTGTTTTACAAACGACCTTTCAGTTTGTGATATAAATAGTGATCGAGTGATGAAAACCGAGGTGGCCAGTAGTTATTTAACAGATTTCACCTCGTTATCATATAATTTCTGTACATTGTATGCCTCTCTGCGTTTTCCGTGTCACAGTCGTGTCAAGCTACGTGTTCAAGGCATTGCTACAAGTTTTAGACTAGCAAGGAGTTCTCATCGTATTGGAAGTCCCATTCCGACCGTTATGTGGGTGTGAAATGACTATTTGTTTGGGGTAAAATTTTTATCTCATTATAGAATTATTTCCGTCCCCGCGTCAGGCTTTGAGTTTCCCGAAACAAATACTGAATTAATAAATCACTCACCTAAAATGTTATTTCACAGACACTTGCACTTCGATACATTGTGTTTGACTGTCAACCCCAGAAATCTATCGAATGATGTTCTGTCCAATGTCATCAAACTGGTTTATCCAAAATACGGTTTGGCGGTAGAATAATAAGGCATTTAAAGAAAAAGTTTCAGAATTGTTTTCGGTTGGTGTAGATGCGCCCACTAGGGTAGCAGGTTGCGTCAGCATGGATCGACATGATATGGCTGCTGTATGGCGGTACTTTAAGCAGAAAATAATGACAAATAATTGTCACAGAGTTGAGAAGTAAAATTTTCGAGTCGTTAGATCATCATCGTAAATTTATACTGGAAAATTCCGGGAATCTTTTCAACTCTTAAAGGTTCTCGTTTTAATGAGAATAATATATTATTTAACACGCAATTATAGATACTGTCTTAACTTTTTCCACCGGACTAATACCCAAACTTCAAAGTCTCGAGATTTTTCGTCCGATGAAAAAAAATTACTATCCACCAATATAACGTGCAAGTCGCCAATGTTTGCTCCTCAATACCGCATACGAACGTTCACAAGCAGCAATGCAAGTATTTTTTCTTTAATTCTTCACATGCAGGTGCGTGTTCCTCGGAACAGTTCAAGTGCGAGAACACCGGCCGTTGCATCAGAGGGACGTGGCGATGTGACGGCGATAACGACTGCGGCGACAGCAGCGACGAGCGCGACTGTTCTGGGTCATCGTCGTCCAGTTCAAGTACGTAAGAGAACTTTCTTATTAAGATCGTGCCATTGAGATAACAACCCTAATTAATCAGCCTTTTAATAGGGTTAAATATGTTTTGTTCAATGTTGTTCTTAAGCTACTTAATTATATCATCCGGCACTTGCAACGAATATATGTATGCCTGCATGCATCTCATACGACTTTTTCAGAATTACTTGTTCAAATACATACATTATGAGATGCAAATAATTAACGTTTGAGTCACCAATTTTGAGGAAGTGTTATTTCCCTTCCAATCACTTCGAACAAGAGGTAGTAAGATTTCGACATGGCAGTATGTTTTCTTCAGCTCTATTGGCAAGGTTCACCAACACTTCATTATTATTACACAAGCGAAAATTTTAAGTTAACTGCAACCAATATTCGTAATCATCTGGTATCTTAAATCCTTGTCTATTTGATGTAGGCTGCAGCAGCGGCCAATACTCCTGCGCAAATGGCAACTGCATCACAGGACGCTACGAATGCGACGGCGACAACGACTGCAACGACTGGAGCGACGAGCGTCATTGTGAGTGACGTGGATGTACATAATCCCAATAATTCATAAATGAAAAATTCCAATTTAATAAAAAATTATATGCAGTTGAATTATTTTGCGGAATGAGAATTAAGCATCATTATTATATGGGCTCGAAAATTTTTTCCAAAGCAGGAAATTAGGGCAGTCCCTGGTGAAGAGTGGAAAATTCTACGACCATCGAAAGTTCTCGTTGCTACTAGAACAACCAAATTTTTGTGACTTTGACCCGTTAGCATCGTAACAATTATCAATAATCCCACTCTCATTTTATTTATCTCGTATTTTGGAGAGTTTGAGTTTATTGCACGGTTAGAAAATGCCGCATGAACAATTGAAACCTGGAAAACTTGTAAATTTTTATTTTAATTAACTCACCTGTTTACTCAACTCGTAGTCGGTAAAAACGTTTTACTCCTCACCATTTATTCCTCACAACCGGCAACAAGTGTTTGCTTGCATCATTACGAAAATTTTAGTTTAAATTTCTCCCAGGTGCGTGTTCCTCGGAACAGTTCAAGTGCGAGAACACCGGCCGTTGCATCAGAGGGACGTGGCGATGTGACGGCGATGACGACTGCGGCGACAGCAGCGACGAGCGCGACTGTTCGGGCTCATCGTCATACAACGCAAGTACGTTACAAAAGGTTATGAATAAGATTGGTCAATTAGAACAACAACTTTGATGTTGTAAGATCTTATTGAACCTTTTTAGGTTCAACACTTGTTAGGTTCAACACCTTTTTAGGTTCAACGTGAACCTTACTGTATCGATACTTGATCGATACAGTACGAAATGCATCTTATTCAAATTTGAGTTAGAATCTTACGACAGCATTGCTCTTTTGGTTGAAACACTTCAACAGAATTCTAAAATTTAGACTCGACCTTCATGTTTTCTTCAGCTCTATTGGCATGGCTCACCAACTCATAATATCGTCACACAATGCGTTTCCATTTTCCATCTAAAATTTAACTGATTAGAAAAGACATCTTCAGATGAATTCGTTGATTCTTTGAAATAAATTTTGTTTGTCGTTAGCTCTTCAGTGTGATACATTGTTCCTATTATTATCATTTGTAATTAATCGTATTTGGAGAATTTAAAATAATATTAAAAAATAAATGTTCATGAAGAATCTCATTAATGAGGATTGGCGTGTCGTCTCTGCATTGGCGTGTCGTGTTGCACGAATAATCCCAACATAACCCCAACGTTGATGAACCATACAAAAGAATATATAAAAGGGTGTGTTTTAAACAAAACAATGATTATTTGAGCATTTAGTTACTCTGATGAATTTTTACCGTAATTAAGGCACAGACAGTAGCAGCAACCTATATTCCTGTTCAAACGGGAGATGCATCAGCATCACAGAAACTTCTGAATGCGACGGCGACGACTGCAACGACTCGAGCGGTGAACGGAGCTGTCAGTGTTGTGAACGTGCTTTGAAAAATCAATTGTAGTGTATTCATGAATTTTATATAAAGTCACGTTTGACAGAAATAAATTGTGACTTGAGTAGAAGGTACAAAATTATATGTAAAATACCAAACTGTGAGCCTAGTTCACAGGATTGTTAGTTTCCCGCAGGAATCTACATGGCGATCTTTTTTTCTTCGCCAAGCTTCCAAAAAACATGAATAGTTGGCACTCATACTGTCTAATTTGTAACAAATGATGAACTGGTTCAACACTTGGCATTTAATATTAATACATGATGATAAGTGATCATATCTCCAGTTCGATCATTATATTCCAATTAAAAACCTTTAGTTAACTGCTCGCAAAAGGTCGCTGTTTGATTAATTCGTGGCAAAAATGAAGAAATAAAGCCATTTTAGTCTGGAATATAATTAATCGTCTCTTTGGATAGTTTCACCTTATCGCGGAGTTCTCTAAAGCTTTCCTATCATCGAGAGTCACGTCCGACTTATTTTACATAAGCCTCATTAACATACAACCTAAATTTAATCAAATTTTCAGCCAGCTACGACTTAAATTGACTGAAATACGTCGCTTGTTTGCAAATTGTATTGAGTCCAAATCGCACATCAGTGCGATTCGGACTATTTTCCTCATAGCAGTAAGATTGAGATTCATTACTCAGAATAATAATTTCAGAAATCAATTGAAATATATCTTGAAATTTTTATGCAAATTGTTGTAAACAATATTTATTTGTAGCCGATGACACTTCATGTCCTCGTAATTTCGAGCGAGTGGCGGACAAGTGCGTGATGTATCTGAGCGAGGAGCAGACATGGCGCTCTGCTGAGGACACTTGCAGATCCAGAACTGGTCACCTCGTCACCTTCGCCGACGTGGACGAGCTCATCTTCGTGCTGCGATTCCTCACCCGGCCTGGTGAGTCGTGCAACTCCAGCAAGACCTTGGAAACCCTGAGGGTTCACTACCAACAAGTCTCTTGTACTGACTAATCCTTATGTTAGGGGTCATAACCATCGGGTCTCGTGTGATTACTAATCCATATGTTAGCGGTCATTACCATCCTGATGGTTGTAGACTCATTCATACTTTTGTCACAAGGAATTTGTTTGTTTTTTTTCTCCTCAAGGTTCATTATACTCACTTTCAAGATTCGGGATGGGCGGCGTATTTTTTCGACTTGATTGTCAAAATTCTTTGAAAGCGATAAAAAAAACTCTAACATGTTTTAAGGGCTTTTCATGTTGCACATAAGACTGTCAACAGTTGGCACATATTTTCGTTGCAACATGGATATCGTTTCAATTTACAATAATTATGAAATTCAAAATGCGATTTTTACACAAACCGCTCCACAGCGATGGAAGTCGACTAAGTACGAAAGGTAACTGTAAGGAATGAATATTAACGATGATATTCTTGGGAACTCATCGAGTTGTTACGAGTATATCCTTATACAGTTTGAAGCCGTAAATACCATCAAGCCATAATAAAGCAGATACTTTCAGTTGGTAAATTATAAAGGGGATACTATGCTTGATACCTGATGGTTTCGGTGTAGTAGGCATTTAGGCCTGTCCACCCGACTTGGTTGCTTCTAGGCTATTTATACTTCGTTTGGTAGATGGTGTATGGTAGATGACGCAGACAACAAGAAAGCAGATAATTGAACTAGCTAGTGGTAGCTCTCAGAGTCGAGGAGGCTCGGCAGGTTCGCCTAAAATTCATTAAGCCTGTTTTTGAAGGCGTTTAAGGAGGGGGCAGTTACGACTCTGCCTGGAAGATCACTCCATGAGGACAAGACCCTATGTGGAAACAAACTAGTCATTAAGTTTCGTCTGCTGCATTCCTGGGCGAGCTTCAAGCTGATACCATAGCTTTTCTTCTGTGTCTTGTCTTGAAATTTCAATGATTCCCCATTCTCAGGACCTGCCACGAACGTTTTCCCGCCGCTGTGGGTTGGCATCTCCGCGGAGAAAAACACCGACGTCCCGGACTCGGAGGAGCTGCAGTGGCGTTGGGTGAACGGTCGTGTCGAACCACACGTGAGTGACACCAAACTCGCTCAACTTCATAAAGCGAATGATACTATACATGGAATGATAAATATATTACGAGCAAAAACTAATTACTCCTCATAATTCACAATCAATTCAAAACACGAGAAAGTTGAATTCCATTATTTCGTTCTAAAAAGCTCGTGATCTCGGCTAAAATAAATTCATGTCCTGGACTCGTCCAAGAAAGAAGATTTTTTGACCCGCCAAGTAAACAAAGTATAATATTTCCAGCCATCTGCTCTGCTGGCGACGTCACGCCCAACCGAGGAGCGCTGCGGGTTCCTGGATTCGCTATCGTCGGCCTACATAAGCCTCACCGTCGACTGCCGCGATCGCAAGCGCGCGCTATGCGAGGCTCCGCCGCTCTAACGACCATCACGACCCCTGATGAACTACGCAGATTACCGACGCACTGGAACGCTCTATGAGGATCTAACTTCGTCTTAATTTTATTCACCTTGGACTTGAATATTCTCTGCAAAATCACTTGCGTTTTTGCTTTATTCCGGGCAGTAGGAAGCCACTTATTTCAAGTAAGAAGCTCAGCCACAACCGTTGACCACATTTGGCAATTTTTTCACAATTTACAGGCTTCTTATCTCCATAATTTTGTTTCTCATTATCGATTAAACATGAAATTTATTAATATGAAAAATACGTATTGTTTTGCCCACATAACGTTGAAAATTATGGTGACTAGGGAAAGATTATATTTCTCATAAAATCAAATTAATTTCACTCAAAAAGTCAAATCGGCTAATTTCTTTAAATTTCTGTTCATGTATTTTTCTAATAATTTCAATCAGATAGACATTTTCATTTAAAAATATCGATAATGCAAATGAGAGTAATGACTTAGTTCGTCATATTATCATATAACGCCTGAATTTGGAGACTTTTCTTGTATTATCAAATGAATTAGACAATATGTTATAAAACATCGCTGCATAAATTGCTTTTGTTTTCCCTCCGTTTATCTTTAGCAATAGATACAAAATCAAATTAATATTAGAAGAGTGAAGAGCGAGAGTAAGACGTTGTAGAATGACGATTAATTTACGAAGACGAATGACGTAGAAAGACTTCGTCAGAATGATGACGAAGTCTTTTGAATGACGAAGTCTTTTGATTCGGGTAATTCCAATTATTCAACCAAATGACCATTTACCTGATATAATAGTACCGGCTATCCAACTACTAATTATCATAACTTAGTTCAAGTTAGCATGAACCAATAACTAACAGAAAAAATATTACACAGAGAATTTGAGGTTTAGAAATTAACGAGACAGTGAACACACGTTGAATAATTGACCTTTCACTACGGTCATTACCACACGACTTAGTCTGTGGTTAATGTCAGACTATCTTACAGGAAATCAAACTACTTCTAATCTACTATAAGCTTCACTCGACCGTGTCAATGATATACATTGAATACGTTTTAATTCACCTTTTACGATTATTCAGAACTCTCTGGGTTAAATATTCCTTAGGAATTACCTTATAATTTCATAAACCTGACGAGGTCATTGATGATATTAGCATCAATACCAAGTAGACCTTAACCTTATTTCGTAACTCAGCAATATCTGTGTTGTAATTCAGTAGCCATAAGAGTTTAACCTCTGAAACCTAGTTGCGGTAATGGATAAAATCTTGTGACCGTGAGTGATTTTTTGTGACAGTGATTGAATTTCTGTACAACGTGGAGTGAAGATTGGCAGCCGTAGTGTCAGTGCTTCCTTTTTAGCGCATTTTCTCATTTATGGAAAAATGCACTATTGTGCTCGCCATATCCGTCTGTCTGTCTGTCCGTCTGTCCGTCCGTCTGTCCATGACCTCAAGTTTTCGTCGACGAGAAAATGCGCTCTCTGTCACTCAATGCAATGAGTACCGAGTTATATTTTTTCTTAATGACCACTCCATTGCATACGTTGGTAGATATGAGCAATTAACATCCAAAATCTCACACAGCCCTGGTTAGAGCTCATATGATGACAATTATTGACACAGAATGCAGAATAATGATAAATATACTTAGTTTCATTATTTTCCTAATACGTGAACGTATTTTTACAACTCGCTGAATTTGCGGAATTCGCCCGCCCGCGGCATTCTTCGGATCATTTGTTCGCCACTTTAGCGTCTGCTGATAGCCCTGTAGGGCAGCTAACATGGGCCACCAAATTCCATTTTCTGCTATGAGCACCCTAAGCATAGAGGAGACACTTACTGTCCTGAGGGAGATACTACACAAGTGCTGGACTAGGAACTGGAAAACGACTGTTGCTCACACTCAGAAAGGAGCTTTTTTGAGTAACAATATGGTAGAAACTGGAACCGCGACTTCGCCCTTGGCTTTGCCTGAAGTCCCGCAAGCTAGATTCTAGAATGTGGCAATGTGCATCTGCAAGAATTAGAATTGGGCATGCAGGTGTCAGGAGCTATCTGCACAGGTTTAAAATGAGTGATTCTGATCAGTGCACCACCTGCAACACAACAGACACAATTGTTCACTTTCTTCTGGACTGTCAACGTCATGTGCAACCAAGACAGGAGGCTGGAGCTACTAAGTAACTTGAGAAGCATCAATGTCGAACTTAACCTTTGTAATCTCCTGGGGGGAGGTAACTTTAGTGATAAGGTGTCACAGAAAATCTCTCAATTTTTCAATGCATTTATTTTAAAGTCAGGTAGGCTAAGTGATCTTTAGATGAGCGCCTTGCAAAGCTATATATATGGAAGCACGATAGAATTGTTAATGCATGGCTACTGCTGATATATGTTTTGATTTAGCAAGCAGATCATCTAGGTTTTTTTCAATATTATTATAGTTATGTATATATTTCTATTATTATTGTTATTATTATTATTATTATTATTATTATTATTTTGTTTAATTTTGTTTAATGAAGGCTGTTATATTAGCAGCCCTTACTTATCTAAATTACATTAGCAGTAACTCATTTCATTTACTAATATATGTTCCCTGTAAACTTCTACCCAATCCTGCACTGAGCTTACATCAGCCAACCTCACTAAATGGCAGCAATTAACTTCGTATACAAAGAAGCTGAAAACCCCAAGCTATAAGCTCTCAGGCCCAACGGTCATCCATCTGGCAGACCTGCGGCTTTAAGTCCACTCCAAGTGGACACCCTGCAAAGAAAGAAGAAGAAGAAGAAGATAGCCCTGTAGCATCATTTACTACATTTAGCATCACTTGACACTTGTCAGTTGACACTAGTCTGGAAAAGTCCTATTTTTGTCTGAAATATCGCGGCTCTAATATCATATAATTTCAGTAGGTATGAAATATCGCGGCTCGAATGTCATAAATTTTTGTTTGATTAAAAAATCGCGGTTTGCACTTCGCAAACATGTCATTTCATAAAATTTTCAACTTCCGCAAATGCCACTCTGCAAAGTGCAGGGAGTGGGCGAACCATCCTTGTTAAACCACAAGGGCCTAATGCCATGACTTTTCTAAAAGATCCAATTGGCCTGGCCAAAGGAATAAAAAACTCTCCTTTTGGTACAGTAAAGGATTTGATTGTGCGTCCTAACCCACGTCGCCAGCTGGTTGCACTTGAGTCTCCCTCATTCAGTGGGCAAAACATTGCTAATTATTTAACTATTTCAGCAATTGGGAAGTGGGCTGTTCGCTGCTATCAGCCAGGTTCTGATATACGTGTGCCTACTATGCAGAGAGTGGATGAATATTGCAAGATCTTTGGCGACGCTTCAGTAGCCAAATTTTGGCCTTCAGAAGATCTTGCCGACACATTTAGATTGAAATTCTTGCATTCAATATATTTCTCAGTCTTCGGCCAACTATTTAGAAAAAAAGTAAGGTTTCCGGTACGTTGGATGGATTACGATGCAGCGAAGCTTGTCCGGAAATCAGTTGTGATGAGTTCCCACAAAAAATGTAAACAACATTTTTTTGATTGCGTAGTTTCGGTCACATTAGAGCGGTCAGACTGCTTTATTACATGTTCAGTTGACACTTGCTGTACAATCAGACTGTTTTTAGAGTAAAATTAGTTATTTGGGGTAACACGTGCATGCAACCTTGTAAATAAGTTCATGGCTTGTAACTAGTTTGTCATTACTCAGCGTAAATGGCTTTTCATTAAAAATTACCAGGCGACGCATCTTTAAAGTGGCCGGCAACGCTTTGGGCTTAAAAATCCATAAATTGGCGACGCTGCATCCACCCTCTGCATAGTGGCGTGTGCATGGTGTTTTTGGACCAATTGAACCTAATGTCAGCGTGGAAGAAGTGATGGAACTGGCCTGTGCAGGAGATATTGTCATCTCTGATATCATTCGTCTGACTAGGTTTCACAATGGAAATCGTGAGCCATCAGCCACACTTAAGGTTACCTTTCAAGGTCAAACTCTGCCCAAAAGAGTAAAAATTGGATATGTTTCCTATCAGGTGAGACCATTTGTACGACCCGCACTGAGGTGCTACAGATGCCAAAGATTAAACCACCTTGCTGAAGGCTGTAATGCTCCCAGACGTTGCGTACTGTGTGCTGGGCCGCATGAACATACTGTGTGCACCTCAACTGAAAAATGTTGTGCAAATTGCAGTGGACCCCATGTTGCAAATTCTACAATGTGCCCCTTTATCTCCAAAGCAACTGCTGTAGAAAAACTGCGGGCCACGGGACGCTCATATGCACAAGCTGTCAAGGAAGTGAACTCAAACACTCGGTGGAAAACCCCTAATCAGGCAGTGAATAGTGCTTCCCACCCTCAAGCATCAGTGGATGTCATATCGGATACCAGCTCCACTGGGGTGGGCCTTTCCAACAGAGTGGTCACTGTGGATGTGCATCAATCTCAGGGCCCCTGCTCAGTTTTCAGTCCTACCCACG